TGTAAGTGTTGGATACCATAATATCATAAATGAAAATTAACTACTCATAAATAATAATCTTTGTTTAAACTGCATTTATTATGACTATGACAATTATAACTTCAAATTGGATTTCATAGATATTAATAAAAACTGCTTATAGATTTCTGAAAAAGAGGTATTCAGTTATATTATAGTACATTGTTAAGGGGTTATTGAATATGACATAAATTATTTTCATGATTAAAAAAATATTTATGGATTTTACTAAAGTTTTCTTGCTTAAAAAGTTAGAATTTAATTGACTTTTAACTGAATTTTAATAATCAAAGATATATTACAATAGGTCGGGGACACGAAATATATTTTATTAAATCATAGTCTTGACTTTCTCAATCTTGTAAAAAACTATTAATACTAAAATCTAAACTATTTTTTACATTTATTAAATTAATGGGAGATAGGCCCAAAAGGCAACCCAGAGATAATAGGGATCCAAATTTTATATACACCCCATTAGTTAAAAAAAACTAAAGCAATGGCTGTGACCAAAGAGGATTTGGAAAGAATCTTTTTAAAGTATAAAGAGGTGATTAAAGAGGAAGTTAAAAACGCATATCGGTAGTTGTCTGATTTTATTAAAAGAGTACGGGAAGAATGCAATACACTTACAGGCGTGTTAGAAGTAATACGACCCACCGAGGTGGGAAGCTGCAAAGCCCTCACTGAGAAAAATGTTGAAAAATAGTGTATAAAAATAATGGGATGTAATATTAAATTATGATTTAATAATATCATTAATACTATGATGTCAGAATGTTTGTATTTAATTATAGCTAAAAGAAGATGGGGGAAGGGGGAATTAGGGTATAATATGATAATGATCATGAAGTATATTCAGACTAAACTAATAGGTACCTATCTTATAATTCAATTGTTAAAATGTTTATTACTAATTGCCGTGTCTAAATTTTAGTGGGAACATACTTCCCCCCAAAAAAAAACACATATTTTGTCATTTTTTTTGTAGAGTTATAACAAACATATTACATTATAGTGTTGTTAACCTAACCTAACCTATCCGAGAGTACTAGTACAGTATAGAGTATAGCCATAATGGAATCAAAGCAACGAGGGGACAGAGAGGTCACAGGTCTACAGAAATTATTATAAATAAAAGTGATAAAATTGAATAAAATTATTTTTAAATAAACGCTTTGGTGCTTATTTGTAAATACAGCACCTCAATTTAATACTTTCTAACTTTGCTGGTTTTTACTGTGCTTGGTTTGGACTGTACTGGCTTGAAAATACTTACTACCGATTTGCATCGAAGCGTTTTTCGAAAGTGATTTTATCACTTTCAGATTTTAAAACTCCTGTAAACCTGTGACCTCCCCGTCCCCACTATGGTCCGACCCCACTGTACTGGTTTTTTCAGTATATTGTCACATTTCAAGATCAACCGTTTTGACATTTTTTATTCTTTTTTTTTTATTTAAGTTCTTTTCAGCCCTAAATTTAGCCACACTCTGACTTAAGTATGTCTAAGAACCACGTACCGACAGCATATCTGTTAACATACTCAGCCGAGTACAGACCGGTTTATTTTTCAATCATAATTACAACAATTTTTTCATTAGCGCGTACCGGACGGTATGCCTTTCAACATAACTGACCAAGTACTTCCTGCTTTGATTAGATTTTGTTTTTAGATTCGATATTGAGCTGAAAAGTTATTATTTTATCCGTAAAAAACACGATCGTTTTTTCCCTCTGGGCCGAGTTACTCGAGGAGCAGCTCTGTACAGCTCAGAAATCGTATGCGATTGGTACTTTGGTGGGTCGAATACTAAAAAAAACCAGTACAGTAGGGTGGGGCATAGTGGGGACGGGGAGGTCACAGGTTTACAGGAATTATTATAAATCTGAAAGTGATAAAATCACTTTCGAAAAAACGCTTCGATGAAAATCGGTAGTTAGTATTTTCAAGCCAGTACAGTCCAAACCAAGCACAGTAAAAACCAGCAAAGTTAGAAAGTATTAAATTGAGGTTCTTTATTTACAAATAAGCATCAAAGCGTTAATTTGAAATTGATTTTATACAAGAGGACTAGTACAGTAGAGTATAGGCATAATGGAATTAAAGCAACTAGGGGACGGAGAGATCACAGGTGTACAGGAATTATTATAAATAAAAGTGATAAAATTGAATAAAATCACTTTCAAATAAACGCTTTGATAGATCCTTAAAATGTAAAGGGTGGGGTAGTGAAACGGGTTTTTCCATTTAAATACAATGGAAAATCACCCGTTTTACTGTCCCACCCCGTATATTAATTTCTTGTTATTTTATAAAGAAAAATTGAGTTTCTAACATTTAAATTAAAATTAAATTGTATGCTGGTACTGTGATGGAGAAAACAATAAATTTTACCTACATATATAAGTAATAACTTATTAGTTAAATATTACTAACGTTTATAGCCACTAGCTGTCGGCTGTTGCCTATTATTTAACAATAACCTTTTTTTGGAGATTTTAAAAATTGTGTTTTTTTTATAATAGTATAGGAGCAGTACCATAAAGTTATAAATGTAATAAAATAATGAAATATTTTATACAAAATTAGAGCTACAAGTTGATAAACAAAAAAATTAAAATTAGCACGAAGCAGGTTATCTAATATTAGATAATTTAAACAATCAAGCGTGAATCTCTTTTAATGAATAATGGTATAACAATATGCAAAACATTAGTGATCCTTTAAAAAAATTGTGTAATATGAAATTCATTTTGCGGCGGTATACTGCATAAAAACCAACACTTAATCTGGATCCAAAAAAACAACAGTCTTCTTCATAATTTGCAGGTAGTTGGACCTTATAAATTTGGTTCAGTAGATGGAAGGAATTGGTTCAGTATTAAAAAAGTTACAGTGTATACAGATAAAAAAAAATTTTAATTTAATTTCAAGTATATATTATGCTTAAAAATTGTTTGCCCGAACCTCGACAGCAGATTTAGAAAATAATTACACTATCAAATTACTAAGTACGATAAAGCTAAAGTTTAGTGTTGATAATTATCTTAATTGTCTTTTTTTGGGTCTTTGATCTTGAAGGACCCCATGGTTTTGTGAACCTGGGGGGGGGGGCCATGGTCCTTCCAGGCCTCCCTTAATCCATTACGTTTCGACATAGTGCCTAAGTTGATATTCACTTATTCTTACAAACACTAAAGCCAAATATAATATCAATACAAGTCGTTGGCGTGAAGAATCAATAAAGATAATAATTTTTAAAAAGAACACTTGCTAGTATTAGAAAACCTATATCAAAAACATTTTCTGATAACTGGTCTGCGGTTAGTGCAGATGATGGCAATATAGTCACCGTAATATGTATACAATCATAAGTGTACTTCTATTGTGGTTAGGGTTTATTTATAATTGTATAACAAAACCACAATTGAATCTACTTTAAATTGACTGATAACTGAAGACAATTCTATTGTAGGTTAAGTAAATAATTTTGATGAAGAAAACAACATTGATTTTTTTCAATATCCATATCCCTGTGGCCGCAAACAAGCTTAGAGGTAAAACATTTCTCTAATAAATCAAAGTCCAAGCAATTAGTTTGGTCGAATGGTTCGTGTTTACCGAATATATACATGGTAAACACGAAAAAACTGATAATTGATAAGTAAAATAGTAAATTTGCTATAGCGGTTAACGATTTTTACATCTGATATTGTCTGCTTTAATACAATAGTTAAATTTTGTTCATTGGAAGATGAACACAATTCATAGGAGTGCCTCTAATAAAAATAAGGCAGGGGAAATTATTTATGAAAGAAGAGCCGGAAAAACAGAATAGCCAAAAAACCCGAAAAAGAAGGAAAACAATTTTTTTTTCTTAAGGAAAACCCCTTTTTATTGAGGAATAAATTCAGACTTAGTTCCAGAACCTAGCTACTTAGCAGAAAGTTTGAATTCATTTGATTTGATACTTTCTGAAGTTATTTAAGTGATCCACTCAGTATAATAGGTTTAATTAAAACCTTATGATATATTAATATATTGTAAAAAGTATAAAACTATCAGCTACTTGCAGGCCCTTTTAATACATGTGTAAATATTTATTATTATAACGATTTATTAAGTATAATATGCAAGGGCGCCCGCAAGTGAAAATTCTTGGGGAAAGGGACGACTGTGTTTTTTTAATGGTTTTTGTGATTTTAGTCATTTCCCTGCCCCTCCCCGTGGACGCCTTTGATAATATGTATTTTATGTTAAAGTGATCTACCCAGTATATCATTAGGTTTAATTAAAACAGTATGATAATATATTAGTATAATATTATATATTAGAAAATAGAAAAACTACCAGCCACTTGCAAGCCCTTTTAATATTTATTATTACAATACATTTTTAAGTATAACATGCAAGGGCGCTCGCAAGTGTAAACAATTTGGGGCTGAGGGCAAAATAGTATGATTTGTTTGTTTAATTTACAGGTTGCCAAAAAGAACTAACATGAACAACAATAAATTTCATTTAGGTTATGACGGAAGAGCACAAAAGCAACAAAACTGTAAAAGCAACTATGATTGTCCCTAAGTTTTTTAATTAATGAAAAAATAAGAACACTCAAGTTACATGTACCTTGTTACAGTTTGTCTTTTGTTTGCACATAAAATAAATAAAATTGAAATTTGTGATGAAAATTCAGGGGCCAAGTAGTAATACCATACACAACTGTATTTTATTAAAAAACTTGATATATATAGAACCAATATTATTTAACTTCAATAAGCGCCTAAATATTTAAACTGCGCAAAAACCATGTGGTATACTATTGTGAAATGCATAGGTAAGTAAATATATATATATAACATTTTATATTGTCTAAAACGACGATTTTACTTAGTGAATTAATTGCTATGATATTGTGTTCTAAAAATTAGTTATTATACCTACTAAAAAAAAATTTCAATCTTTAGAAAACACTTACCTATACTTGAAAAATTGCATATCTGGAACTGTATATCAGCTACTACCGAGTTTTTAAATTGAAAACATTTTCCTTTATTTAAAAGGAATCTGTAAACAACAAAAACAACTTTATGTAGTATTAAATATTGCTGTCCGCGAATATAACGTTAATGAAACTGACTGTGTATTAAAAAATACAAAAAATACTACACTTAGCAACGTGGGAAATAGCAGCCAGCATAACAAAAACGGTTTTGCTCATCGCTGATATTAATATTATATTGTACAGATTATATACAAATTTATGAAACTATTGACTTACTTAAATTACTTTTTATGCTTAAAAAGAAAAAATCTAGTTATAATCTAAAATAAAAAATATGTACGTTTTTTGGGTGTTTTTCTTTATTTTGAAGGGGAATGGGTGAAGTTTTTAAATTTTGGCCCGCATTAAAGTACCTACCTTTAAGGTACGATCTTAGATCTATAGATTTGCTACATAAAATAAGTCGGTTCAGCGGTTTATTAGATATCTTAGGTCCAGACACTTTAATAGACAAATGAAAATACATTATTGTAAAAACATTATCTTGTCAACTCCACATGGAAATAAAAAAATGTTTAAAAATACAAATGGTACAATAGGTTAATGAGTACAAATAATATTTAATTAAAAAAATGTTTCGGAAAAATAAAAATGTCGAGCGGTACCTATAACAGTAATAATATTTTGTAAAAAAAAGCGTTCGTGAAGTAATGTGAAAAAGTTCAATACTTGTATTAAGTTTAGTTTAAGATACGGTTTTGGTGGGGGAAAACCTGGACAAAGTAGTAAAAGTATGAAAAAAAAACGCTACCTCGACTAATGGAATTTTTCTATCGCTATAGCGTTAATATAATACCTAATATAAAACTTGGACTTGTAATACTTACGTCGACATCGTTGTGGTGTAGGAAAAAACTTAAAAATGCACACCGTCGCCGTTCGGCGCTCAATGCGAAAATACAAATGAAATGAATACAGAATGAGAATAATTAATAATATAATAATATTATAACGTAGCAACCGTCGCCATAGACCAGACAAACCGAACCGACACGATGCGCGACGTTGTCAAGTCATCGGTAAAAACCCTCCAAAATTCAAAAATAGTTTGCCAACATTTATTTATTTTTTTTTTTTTTGTTCACTTAGCTCATTTAAAATAGGGAATTTTAAAAATTCAATATAAAAATGTATTATACATTATAAATATATTTACAAAAACAACTAAAATGACTATTATCAAAATTTAATCATCGCCGTGCTACAACATAATTAGATAATATTTATCTTTGACTTAAAGTAACTGATGGATGTAATGTATGATGTATTATTATTATAGTATAAACACTAAAATGTTCCTTAAGCAATACGTGAAAAAAAAATTAATTTTATTGATGTCTCGCCCCTTCCTCCTCCTAAATGTGTGTTAAATATATTTGGTATTAAAACTAACCTAAATACAAATTCAAACAATCATTTTAAACCTTCGTGTTATAGGTGCGATCGGAAGATTGAAGCTAAACACTATTTTCAATAAGGAATCCATTATTTTTCCTGCTGAAAATTTGCTATTTTGTAAAAATATGTCTATTGTAAATTGTAATAACATCATAAAATGATTACTATTATTTTTAAATTTGTGCAGCCACTTTCAGGTCCATAATAATTTTAGTGGAAGAAAAAACCGGTTTGTTGTGTATAATTTATTAGTATCTAATATTGTTCGATCTAAATAATTCAAAATATCATACAATATAGTTTATTAATATCTACATCTACTAATCATAGTTAACATTATTTCGAATGTATTGAAACCTTAAAACCTATAAATTACAATTTATAAAAGAGGCCGTTAAAGTCAGGTTTAATTTTGAAATGATCATACCTACCCAATTACGACACATTATACAATGTAGAAACATGTATTGTAATGCGTTGTAAAAAATTAACTTTTTTACCACTTATTCCTACGGCCATACGAGGTATTAATTCAGACCAGCTAATTTCTTATTCCCACCACCGTGTGGTGACTTCAGAATTGCCAACTAGCGCCTACGCTTTTCAAGTTAAAGGCAAACACAGTTTTTTTTTACTTACTTTTTTTTTAATCGATATAAATTTGTCAATCTTTCTGGCCTCTTGCAACCGCAACGATCTGCCTTTGCCAGATGATGGATCGTCTTTCGCCTGGAACAAACCCCACGTTATTACTCTCTAAAACCGAAGCCGAGTTCTTTTGTTTTACTTGATTTTTATCAGCCAGCGCAGTTTACTGTGGTACATAATATATTATTGTAACATCCATTTCACATGCAATAATTGTACTGTAAGTACGGAAAATCGCAAATGTCGTACCAAAAAATAAAACACAACCGACAAATTTGTTCTTGCCTTGCGTTGCCATAGATGTCTCCCACGAAAAACAGTGTTACCGCCGTCATGGTTATCGTTTAAAGTCCAACTCAGAACAAATTGATAATTTTTTCACTGACCAAATAATAATTTCGAGAGATCATACATGGTTATAATTTTGTTTTGACCCAAAGAACTTGTTTTAGAACACGAGCCAGGAATCTAATACACAGGGTTTGTGGCGAATCTAATTTTTATTAACATTAGGAGGTAGATGGCACCACTACAAAAAAAAAAAAAATAGGAAAAAAAAAACGAATTGATAGACACCAAAAACACAAAAATCATCAATTTTAAGTTGCCTTGTCTTATAAATTGTTTAATTCGTTAATTATACTATATTGATAATCAATTATAATAACGGACATAGATAGTAGGCAATGGAATGTGAATAAGTTTCATCAATTTAAATCACAATTAAATTTAAATTGGCACAAACGAATGTTGTTAGGTACCTATGTTCTATACCTACTTGACTATTTTTAATATATATATATGGTTAGTCGATCAGCCGTCACGATGTCGCGTGGAAGGTCTAGTTTTTACTCTCTCAATATTGCCATTCACTTTTGTTGTATCGAATATATTTGAATTGTTTATAGTGTTTATTCTGCGACAATATTTTTTTAGATAACAGAGTATATGCACGTTTATTACTATTTGTTAATAAAATTGTCTACGTCACGACTGGCGTGGTAATCGCCAATAGTCAGTCGTACGGCTTACATGGTCGTTTGCATGACATTAACTGCATTTGAAATACTCATCAGACTAGTAATGGGCGACCCAAACACAGAACGCACTTTCATCATGATCAAGCCCGACGGCGTTCAACGAGGCCTTGTCGGCGAAATCATCAAACGGTTTGAAACCAAAGGATTCAAATTGGTAGCCATGAAGTTCACGTGGGTAAGTTCTAGAGCTAAATAATGCACGGGCTAAATATGTCACTGCAAGATGTGTAAATTGTGTAAGACCAAAGTCATCAAGCTTTGAGAACAAAACGAAATCGCTGTATGGTAATTTGGGAACAAATTCATTTTTTCTTACCATCTTGTAGTATTTTTCAGGTTGATTACGAATCTGAAGTAAAAAAGTCGGCAGATTTCTCTATTGCTGAAGTTGTAGCTTGAAAAATATGAACATTTTTCTTGATTTTGTGGGCGAAAGAGCATGGTTGATTTTCCACTAACTAGGTAGACTGACTTTAGTCCTACAGTTTGCGTCACATTAAAACCACTATAGCCACCCCCTGACTTATTATTAGTTCGTTTACCGTTGTCACCGACAACCGTCAACCGTTAACTTTAATCTACAAAAATGGAAAAAATTGGGTGTTACCATTTTAAAAATCCAAAGTTGATATGGTTTTAACGCATAAGTGATGGTGTTAAGTTTTTGAAAAATATATCAAATTTTTCCCTACTAATAACTATAAAAATAAGGGGGGGGGGAAATTAAAAAGTCAAATATCTTCTAAGATATTGGGTGAGCCGTAGTTAACAAATCAGCCGGTATGCTACGTATTATAATTTGATTATAAAATTTCAATTTACAAATAAAAAGACCTTCTCTTTAATTTTAATAATCATTTAACGCATATGACACATAGTCTATACCGCAGTAAAGTATAACTTTACCTACCTAATTGAAGATTAAATATGATATTTAGACAATCTAAAATATTTAACATAAGTATAAGTAAGTAAGTTTTTTTTATCGATATTGATATGATACACACAAGTCGATTTAAATGCATTGGTTTAGAATTGTAAAGGTCATAATTTGCCTGCTTAGTATATTAATTAAAATTGTTTATTAATGGACTATTTATATAATAAGTTGCATTTATTGTAGCTAAATTGTATAAATGGTAGGAAAACAATATTTTACGACCAAAGTGCATATTAGTTTCATAGCTCAGTAAAAAAGCAAGTGTATTCATTCTATTGGAGGAATTTAATAGCATTGCCAATTTTATTATAGCAAAAGCAAATAAATTTTAAATATTTTATTTAAATATATATAGTTATTTATTTCATCTTATTTATGTCTAGGTATGAAACTAGCTTCTTTACCTACAGTTCATATTATTATAAACATTATATTTTAATATTAGGTTTTAATTATTTGTGTTGTATGCATTTGTTTATTATTAGGAATACAACAACTACACTTAACAGTGCACTTTTACACAAGTAGAAAATACACATTCTTACAACCCAAAAAAAAATTTGACCTCTTTTTAACCGACAACTTTGATAAACCAAAAAAGATCGAATCAATTCGAAATTTTTAAAGAATATCGATTAGGCTTGCCTCACATGCCCTCAAACCCATATAAAAACAACCCACCACCCCCTGGCAAGGGTTAGAGATGTTTTTATTTTTTATTTTTAAGGATTTAAGAGCTGAAATTTATTAATAATAATTAATAATAACTTTATTGCAACAATACAACACAAAATATACATAATTTAAAAAATTAGAATTTCAGTCCTAGGATAGGTCTAACATATTATTAACATGTAAAAAAAATATTTTTACTCAAAATAACCCAAAAAGTGTCTTTAACACTAATCAATGTGGATTTTGAAAACTATTATGGGTTTCAACACTTGAAATTTAGTTTATGACCTAGTTTTGATATTTTTTTTATCGGTGTTGTTGAGTGGTTTTCTTACTGCGTAAAACTCTGCAGTATACCTATATTTGGAGTATTTGAAAATGATATCTTATCGATTGTACGAATAAACAGATGCACAAACACATATATTTCGACGCTTTTGTATTGATACTGGGTATCCCATCGGTATATTTTAATAGCTCAAATATCATATATTCCCATATTTATTCTAATTAGATGGTTCAAGACTACGAACAATTGATAGGAAATAAAATAAGCTTTCCTTGGTGGGTGTATATTTTTTTGCCCTTCCTATTAATTTTTAGTTTGACGCCGCTGATCCAGATTTTATGATATACCACGAAAATAATAAAATAGTATATAGTAATAGTAAGATTTAAGCATTACTTCGGAAGTTAAACGGCATCTGGGTTTAATATTTTTTTTTTTTTTATAAATAAAAGGATCAAACAACCCTTCATCCTTTTTTTTTTTTTTTTGAGTTATTAGTATTTTAATACACGGAAGATAAACAACGCGACTTATATTTAATATGTCTTGATTTAACATATTTTAAATGGTAACACCCAATTTTTTTTTTTTTAATTTAATTTTATGCATAAAAACTAGCTAAATCGATTGAGCAGTTAACGAGCTGCACAGTTTTAAAACTACTATTTCTGTATTATATATTAACTACATACAGCTAATATAATTGTAATATATTATACTAAAAAAACAAAAAATTGAATGTTATTTACTGAAGTTTTTTTTAAAAATATTTTTACAAACACAACTAATCATCACTAGTACTCAAACACCAGTACAAAATAACACTTGTTAAGACCATGACATAAAATAGTAAATATCGCTCAACAATAATTATTGACAAATTAGAAGAATAAACTGATGAATGATTAGTTTTCAAGTAGTCGAATTTTTTCGCATATTAAATAAATAATAATTACCTCAAACTATCTTATTGCTACTACAGAATACGCTCAAGGTGGATTGATATTAGTCTACGCTAGCATTTATAAAAATAATTTAATCAATGCTATTACTGTATATTTTACCGTGTACTTAGGTATATACTTGATTTTGATTTTGATTGGCTGCCCGTTATGCTGACATATTTGTTTTTATCATCGAATATTCGATGAAGGAGAGGTATATGTGCAATAACTTTGTATATTTCAATCATGGGAAAAGGTAAACTTTTACAAATTATGTCCTTATAAAGTATCTTGAAGGTACGACCTCTGATCTATAGGCTTGCTACGTGTAGAAGAGGTTCAGTACTTTTAGAAAATATCGTGAGTCCAGACAAAATAAATAAAAATGAAAACAACACATTGTTAAACGAATACCTACTAAGCCCTGCATCAAATCTGATAATAAATTACATAAAACAAATTTTTTTTCGAAATTATTATAACGTCAAATAAAAAATGTAAAACAAATAACAACTTAAATGCGCGACAACAAATTTTTTTTTTTTACCATCTTGTGTTATTTTTCAACTATCTAGAGATGCACACTTTTTCCAGCCCTATTCGCAGGGTGAACATTTTTTAATCACTTGTAGTTATATTTTTTCTATTTACAGCCTTCGGAACAACTGTTGAGGAAACAATACTGCGACTTGTCCAACGACAAGTTCTTCCCAGGTTTTATCAAATACATGATGTCAGGACCCGTTGTACCAATGGTAAGTAACTTTGGACGAGCATATTCAATTTTGAACCAACATCTAAAGAAATGCATTTATTTATCTTTTAGGTATGGGAAGGATTACACGCTGTCAAGACTGCACGTCTCCTCATCTGCGCAACGCACCGGAAGGATCCCAGCCCTGGTACTATCAGAGGAGATCTTTGCACTCAAACCGAGCATTCAGGCCCGTGTGTACTTAAGCTAATATCCAGGACTTACGATGTGCTATTGCAAAACAATAACAACGATTTTTGTGTTTATATTTTTTAGCAATGTAATTCACGGAGCAGACTCCTTTGAAGCTGCCGAAAGAGAAATCCGTCTGTGGTTCACAGTAAAAGAAATGGTCACGTGGACGAGGACTGTTGACACTTGGGTTTACAACAAATAACTAGGTTTACTGTAGACAAATATTTGTTTGCTAATTATTTAAATTTTAAACAAAACAATTATTTTACGGTTATATTTTACTGAATTTTTCCTAATGTCTCAACTTTGGTATAGTACGACAAAAAACCTTTTTTCAGTGGCCCCAACTTTGACAATACAATATGCAATACACGATTATTAATGGTGTTTGTTGTGCGGCTAGCACCACATATTATTTAGGAGTGATGATCCATCTCTTTTGACTCTATATTAAATTTGAAATATTAGTTAATATATTTGACAATTGTAGAAGTTTTTAATGTTCCAACATTATACAATTATAATTTTATTTATTCAATAAAATATTATCTAATCTTAGAATTAGCTATCTCAATTAGAAGAGACATTAACCAAAATAAACTTGGAATGAAATACAGTGTCGGTCTAGCGCTCGGTTACTATCCAATTCGCAAATCTGATATCTATTCATAGTGATAAATCCAGTATTTATTTTTGTTTACAAACTAAAACAATAACTATTTACAAGCATATAAAATAATAACTGCTCTACAAAAACCAATTTAAAAAAGAAATAATAATAACGTACCTATTAAATGTAAACGCGTTGCCCAGATAATTACTTGAAAAAATAGTATTGTGTTATTAACTATAATTATAGTTAAATAACAATTTTTCAGTAATAAATGTTTAATAAAATCTACTATAAATTCTTCGAACTTTAAAATTGTGAAATTTTAATAATTCGATGTATTATATAGGTACCAATAAATTCACGATAGAAAATATAGTATATAATTATATTAGAACACTTGCATCCAATTAATGCATAAATGATAATAGGTACACACACACACATCCTACTGGGGCATTACACACATAGGCGGACTTAGGGGTTGATTTTTGGGGGGCTTTAGTCCCAGACAATATTTAGACACTGATGTAGCCTACAAAATCTTTATTTTTTGTAAATTTTCCGCTTTAAGTATGTGTGGGCATGTATATGCAATATTTTGTTATATTTTTTATTGATGCAATATGTATAATATTATAATCGAAGTTGATTATCAACTGATAACAAAATTATTACTATATAGTATATACTATAAATATACTGTTAATTTATATTTTACACTTGCTGACTACTTTTATTATAGTTTGAGTATGTTTATATACAAAAAATATTTGCCCCCCTCAGGCAAAGATTCAAAGCCTCTACTGTAGAAGTGTTTATAATTAATTTTATTTAACTTTTTTCTAACTATTAATCGAATTAATTTTCTAATAACTTAATCAAAAATTTGCCTTTTAACGCCTATACATCATTTTTTCTATTTATTTTAGCTAAAAAATGTCCAATAAAATATAAAGTTTAGTTTAATGTTCTCGATGAGGTGATAGAAGGCTAGAATACTATTATTTCCATTCACCAGTTTTCAGTTTTCACTAGGTACATTATTGTTCTATACTTAATGGATGAATTAAATATTCAGGTTAAAATTTGACTATTAAAAGTTATCTTCAACATTTATCCTTTAAAATAATACCTACTGTAAAATTGTTTTGCTTAAAACAACTACAGTAATTATAATTCAACTTACGAATATAACTTGCTCCACAAATATTTTTGATGTATTAAAAACACTATCCGCACTATTTGTCAGTAAAATAGGCAATGAATTGGTTATATTTTTTAGCATGGCATAAACCTATAGAAAAGAGATATACCCCAAAATGTTTTAACATGAAAAAAAAAAAAAAAACATATCATTTTACCGCCGGTTTTTAACTATTTTTATAATATCTGCGATAAGTTTGCTTTATTATTAATATATATATATATACCTACAGCAATCTCTTTTATCGTTAAATTTTTTTTTTCATTATAAGACTACTAATACAATGTTTATATTTTGTATTTGTTTATACTTAGCTGTGAAAAAGTAGTCTAAAATGACAATAACAACCCTTCACCCCACCTTCACAATAGGTCTTGCCGCCAGACGGTTGGCGGTCGCAACCAGAATAATATAAAGCATCAGAAGTTGCCTTGTGTAAAATGACACCTTAACCACAATCAAACGTTATCCAACTAGTCTAAAAAACCTAAGTATTGAATTATATATTATAAAAAAGGCACATTTGAAAAAAAATACGGTTTTTATACATTTTTAGGTAATAGAAAATTAAATAAGAATTTTACTGAAATAAAAAAAGGCAATTGGGTTTGGGGGGGTTAAATCATATATTGGGGGGGCTAATGCCCCTTTAGCCCACCCCTAAGTCCGCCTATGATTACACACCTAAACTAACTAACTCTAACGTAGATTATGCTATTTTTTCTTTTTTTAGTAAAAACTGTGAGAACTTCTCGTTGCTAGCTCATGATCATTTTTTATCAAACATAGAATCCAGTATAAATTATAACTTAACATTCTTTTGGAATTGCATTAAATCACATTGGTCAAATCCTACAAACGCTCCCTCTTCCGTATTTCTCGATATTGATAATTCAAATTCTATTGAACATTCCTTACAAGATTATTCACTACATACTTTTCCTCTGTTTATGCTGATAACAATGTAAACATTGATTCATTAGACTTTGAACTGTCTAACAATTATAATCTAAATATAAGTATTGAATAATATCCCCTTAGGTACCTTGGTATTCACTTCAGCTGTTCTGAACTTTCTTTTAAAATAAACCATGAAAATATCATCCTCAGCAAATCTTACAAAATGTTAGGCTTCATAAATAGAAACACTAAACAATTTTAAAATTGAAGTACTATGAAAACCCTTTATTGTTCTCTCGTACAACCTGTTCTTAAATTTGGCTCAGTAATTTTATCTCAATCGTTATCCACTTATATAAAAGATCTTGATAATATTCAGTTAAAATTTTTAAAAAGAATGTCTCTTATGACTAACGGTCCCATTTCTAGAGACTCTTAAATGTTAGTCCAGAGTTCAGTAAATTTAGATTCTCTTCTATTAAGACGTCAGTTGACTGACATTATGTTTTTGTATGATTTATAAACAGTTATTATTATTATTATCATTGCTGTGCATTATTTAATACATCTTGTGTTGTTATGTATAAAGTTATCGTGAAATCGTCACGTGAACGATAGGTGTTGATACTTGGATTTACGAACAAACTAGGTTTATTGTCAAAAAATATTTGTTTGCTGATGATTTAAACAAAAAACTATTTTACGGTTGTGTTTCAATTAATTTTTTTAAATTACCGAATAAATGGATCGACAGACTACCGCGTGGTTAATAAACGGTTAGCTTGTCTTTGTGGCCGCACGTTTCATCGGTTGGTATTTTCATACTTAATATCGTTGAAAAATTACAATTGCAGCATTGGTAAACTGCATCAAACTTCCTAAAAATAGTTGAAATACTTCAGCTTTAAATGAAATAACAATAAGGTTTTAAAGATGTGTAGAGGTAAATAATTTTACGTCGATCGTTCGGTCCCCGATTCGATCCCAAAAAAAAACCCATCTATTTCCGTACAAATTGATTTATTTTATTTTTCTATACAAAAAATCATTAACCTTCTTCAAAGTGCTCTCTCCATTTGGAGTCGATACACTTGTCTAAGCATTTATTTCACTGGTCCAAACATTTTTTTAATTCATTTCTTGTGACGGCTGACAGCGCCTCCGTTGTTTGTCTTTACTTCAGCCACGTCCGCAAAATGTTTTTCTTTCATGATCCTTTCCATTGGGATCCTTTCCATGGTAATACCATTGGGAGCGTTGTCATCGTGAAAAAACCAGTCCCTCGACAGCCACAAATCGGGTATTTTCCTCGGCAAACTGTTGCGCAATCTTTTCAAAACTTTCAGGTAAAAAGCCTGCTGGTTAACTGTCTGACCCGGTGGAACAAACTCTGAATGGACGACTCCTCGTTGGTTCGGACCACCGAAAGTTTTAAAACGGGAAATCCACTAAGACAATTGAGTTTTCTCCATAGCATCATCCTCGTAGGCCGCTTTAACGACTGTCCCAAAAAAAAAAAATGAACACAAGCAGAACGGATGCCTGAACTGTTTAAACAAAATATTAAGTTAGAAATAAGTTAAAATCAATTTGTTTATTGATATTTGTTATTTAAATACAAAATTATCAGAATTGTTTATTTAAAACTTCATTAAAGCTTGAGTGAGGTATTGTAATTTTACTGTTAACATATGCTGTTACTGTCATTTGAATAAATTATTCAATTAGGCCTAACCGCAAGATACCGAGTACATATGTGTAGTGTAAGACAAAAATTATGAAGATTTGGGAATAAAGTGAAATGGCTGTACGGTAATTTGGAAACAAATCCACTTTACCGGACAGCCAATTTTTCTTACCATCTTGTAGTATTTTTTTAAAAATTACTAAAAAATAGAAAAAATAATAAGTTTCACATAAATTAAAGAAACATTGCAATCCGTCCAATAGATAAACGTCAGAAAAAGACTTCTGCGAAAGTAATTTTTTTCAAACTTTCGCCATAACTCATAGAAAAATTAACTTTAAAAGTATTATAACTAGAGAAACTTAATATTTTTTCACCTTAAAATTATTAGTCGGCGTATTAAAAATGGCTACTAGATAAATTTTTGTCAAATATTGCCTATCCTTTGCCACTTAATAAATAGCTCCTTCCGTTCCCCTCAAACCAGAATTAATATATTCCTTAAAAAAATACACTTTTTCCAACCCTGTTCGCAAGGTCAACATTTTTAATACCTAAATGATTTACAGTATTGAGTTTTCTTGTACTTGTAGTTAATATATTTTTTTTTATTTACAGCCTTCGGAACAATTGTTGAGGCAACACTACTCTGATTTGTCCAACAACCAGTTTTTCCCTGGTTTTATCAAATACATGTTGTCAGGACCCGTTGTACCAATGGTAAGTAACTTTGGATGAGCATATTCAATTTTGAACCAACATCTAAAGAAATGCATTTATTTTTCCTAGGTATGGGAAGGATTAGACGCTGTCAAGACTGCACGTTTCCTTCTCTGCGCAGCGAACCGGAAGGATGCCAACCCTGGTACTATCAGAGGAGATCTTTGCACTCAAACCGAGCATTCAGGCCCGTGTGTACTTAAGCTAACATCAGGACTTACGATGTGCTATTGTAAAACAATAACAATGATTTTTGTGTTTATATTTTTTTAGTAATGTAATTCACGGAGCAGATGCCGTAGAAGCCGCCGAAAGAGAAATCGGTCTGTGGTTCACAGAAAAAGAATTGGTCACTTGGACGAGAACTGTCGATACTTGGGTTTACGAATAAACTACGTTTATTGTCGGAAAATATTTGTTTGCTAATTATTTAAAGTTTAAAAAAAAGTCTTTTCTACGGTTATGTTTTACTGAATTTTTTTCAATAATACATCTGAACAACAATTGAATCCATATTGTTATTTCTTTTTTTTTTTTTATGATATTACTGTTCTGCATGACAGTTTGACAGTGTAATAACACAGAATAAATGAAATCAGAATGAAAACATTGATAACTTAACATGGGAAAGATAGGAGGCATTATCTATGACCTTCGGCCAATATCTCAGTGGATCGTTCTTTTATAATATGAAGTGGCATTAGTCTTGTACAATATTTATCTGTCTTTTATATTGACTGGAGCCGTCTACCTATTTTGGTACGTAACATCCAAATTCCAAAATATATATTAATAAAAAAAAAACGAGGGTCGAAATTCAAAAAAGTTGTTATAATGCTGATTCACTGTTATCAATTATGAGGGAATCACTATTTAAACACTAAAACACAGCTGCCGGCTATCGAATTGCCCTGATTAAGAGAAGGAGATTTAAAAATATTTTTCTCGTAGGCGTTTCTCTTCGACATTACTTATATTAGTACCTATTGATAAATCTACCGAGTATTGTTAAATAAAATTATTCGTACAAATATCTAATAACCCAGAATGTGTGTGTATTTCTTTGAAGTACATTAATTGTTTGATGTTTAAAAATGTCACTTTCATTAAAGTTAAAGAACTCAACATTTGACAAAGGTCGACGCTTACACGAAACGAACGTTTATAATAACGTCAAGCCTGACGCAGTTTAACGAGGACTGGTCGGAAAATTGTTGAAAGAATTAAAACTCACACTAAAATTAAAACTAGATTAATTGTTTTTTTCAAGCACTTTTTTTTTTGTGAAATTCATTGGAAATTGGAATTAAATACGCGGTGTTGTTTATGTATTGATAAGGCTTGTCAGTTAGATAAAACGCGAACGAGAGCGATAATAGAATTGTAATGTTTATCATGAGGTTGTAAGCGGTTAGCGCTGTAACCGCGGTCGGTCCGTAACTGTCTTTGTTGTTCACTCAATCGTTCGATTGAACCGTGGTTTACCGTGGAAAAAAAAGTGATAGGTATGTCTGCAACTCGTGATAACCCTATTGCAGCTGCCGCCGTTCACGGGCGGCGGTGCGTTTGTTACAGGATAACGCCAACACGGCGGATGTTGTGAACATATTGATAACACAAGTCCCGGGCGTACCTGCTGCAGTTTACCGGCCATTTTGTAAATCGTCTTTGTCCAACCGCCAACCGGCAAGATTCCACTCCACTTGTGTCTTGTCACATGTCTCAACTCTGATCCCGTCCATTTTTAAATCAATCGTTCAAGACTTCAAAGTTCGCCGTTCAGTATCTGATTCAATTTCTGACCTCTCCCACCGGTGCTAAAATATACTTGGTCAGTAGTAATAATTTTTTTTATGTCCATATTTTATTTAACATAGTATATATTATTTTTTATTGACATTGTCCACGTCACGACTTACACGGTAATCGCCGGTAGTCAGTCGTCCGGCTTACATGTTCATTTGCACGATATTAACTGCGTTTCAAATACTCATCAGAACAGCAATGGGCGACCCAAACACGGAACGCACTTTCATCATGATCAAGCCCGACGGCGTGCAACGAGGCCTTGTCGGCAAAATCATCAAACGTTTTGAAACCAAAGGATTCAAATTGGTAGCCATGAAGTTCACGTGGGTAAGTTCTAGTAATGCACCGGCTAAATATGTCACCGATAGTCTACCGCGTGGGTAATAAACGATTAGCTTGGCTTTGGGTCCGCACGTTTCATCGGTTGGTATTTTCATACTTGGTATCGTTGAAAAAATACAAGTCCAGCATTGGGAAATTAATTTTATTTTTTGTCAGTCCAATTACACTACTAATGCCGTGGAAAAATTTTAGTTCATACATCTACTTCCAAGTTACTTTATTTTCAAAGTCTCATTACTTTTAAGTTAAAACAAATACAGTCGTAGAATAAAGAGTATAATAACATAGATAACTTCAATGGGTTTCCCCCAAGTCCACTTATTGTACAGTGTCTCATTATGCTCTATAAATATTTCTGTTGATAGTAGACAATACCCGTTGAGTTTAATTAATAATAAAAAATTGTAAATTTTAAAAATAACCTATACATTTTTTTAAAACTGTTTAAACAAAATATATATTTGAAATTAGATATAATCAAGTTATAATCAAAATATGTATTGTTACTTGTTATTTAAATAAAAAATTCCCAGATTTTTTTATTTATAACTGTTGAAGCTTGATTTAAGGTTTTTATATATATTGCTGTTACAAGTCTGGGAATATTTTTTAAATAAAACATCGAATAATAATTATAGTAAAGAAATTAATATTTAAACCTTTAATGGGGGTGGGATGTTTTCATTATCCTATACTTTAAGTAATAATTTCAGTTATTTTATGGAAATAGGAAACTTATTAACATTTTACCCCCTACAAGTTTTTTTAATATTAATTTGTTGATTTACTTTTCAATAGTATAGCAGTTGGTATGTTCAGAACACCCCTTGGTACGTAATTAAAGGTTAATTATAAAAATAATACACTTTTTGCTTATACGTATTTTGGCAACAATGTTGTCATCTCCAGCACTAACATGTAACAACAGACTGAGACATAATTAGCGCTAAAAATAACAACGCTGTTGCCTGATATGTTTACGCATAGAGTGTACTATTTTTGTGGTTAAGGGTTTAAATATTATTTCTTTACTGTATAATATATAGCCATAAATTGCTAAAGTTTTCTCTAAATATAAGTATATTGATTTATCATTATTCATTGAAAAATAAAACTAAAATTTCAAAAAAAAATTTTAGTTGGTGTGGTAAGTGTTTTTTATTTCAAGTACTTTTTTTAGTGTAGTTTAAGGACTGATTCAGATTGAATGTAGCTCTTATCGGAGACTTAAAATATATGATTTTCTTAAAAATCTGATAGATATTTCTACCATCTACAAATTCGAATCATAGTGTTTATTTGAAAGAGATTTTATCACTTTTAATTATGATAATTTTTTGTGACTTGCCCTGTTCTAATGTGTTCAGTTCCCACAATGGTCCTGACCCCCAAATTTGTATTTACTTCTTAAACCAGAAGTTCAAACCTATTAGCAGGGTCAACATTTTAATATACAATTAAGTATTTGGTTTTCTTGTACTTATGTTTTTTTTTTATTTACAGCCTTCAGAACAATTATTGAAGGATCACTACGCTGATTTGTCCAGCAAAGGGTTTTTCCCGGGTCTTATCAAGTACATGTCGTCAGGACCCGTTGTAGCAATGGTAAGTAACTAAGTTAAGCATATTAATAGTTAATCTAACAACTAAAGAGATACATTTATTTTTCTTAGGTATGGGAAGGATTAGACGCTGTGAAGACTGGACGTTTCCTCCTCGGCGCAACAAACCCAAAGGACTCCAACCCTGGTACTATCAGAGGAGACCTTTGCATTCAAGTCGGCCGGTGTGTAACTTAAGATAATATTAGGACTTACGATGTGTAATTGTAAAACAATAACATTAATTTTTATGTATAATTGTTTTAGTAATATAATTCACGGATCAGACGCCGTAGAATCCGCCCAAAAAGAAATCGGCCTGTGGTTCACTGAAAAAGAAGTCGTCCCGTGGACAAGAACTGTTGATTCTTGGGTTTACGAATAAACTATGTTTATTGTCAAAAAAAATATTTGTTTGCTAATTATTTAAACAAAAAAAACTATTTTACGGTTATGTTTCAATGCATTTTTTTACATAATAAATCTGAACACCAATTGAATTCATCTTGTTATTTCGTTTTTTTTTTCAATGATATTACTGTTCTGTAACTGTACTGTTTGGCCTTGTAATATTTTGTTCAATTAAAAAACTAAATAATAGTTTTAAAAAAAACCTCTCCCTCCCCCATTGAAATGGGATTAGACTTGAACAGTACTTATCTGCCTTTTGTATTGACTGGAGTCGCCTAACTAATAGGTTTTGCATTGTAACGTCCAAAATATAAATTATAATAAAAAAAAACGAGGGTCGAAGAAACTACTGTTATTTTGTTGGTAAATAATATTTGATTGCAAGTTGTTGACCCTAATGTGCGTTAGCTGATAAGCCATATGCCTATTTACTGTTATCAAAAAGAGTTGAAGGTCGCAATTAGAACACAATAATACAGCTGACGTCTATCGGCTTGCCCTGATTATGAGATGGAGATTTATAAATATTTTAAGTATAGGCGTTTCTCTTTGATATTACTTGTATTGTAAAAGCACCAACAAATCTACCGAGTATCGTTGAAAAAAATTTTTCGTTCAAATATCAGCTAATAACCAAAAATAAGTCAGTATTTCTAGGAAAAATACTTGTTTGATGTTTATAAACGAAATTTCTATTATAGATCAAAGAACTCAACAATAATTGACAATGGCCGACGCTTATGCGGAAAGAACGTTTATTATGGTCAAGCCTGACGGAGTTCAACGAGGACTGGTCGGAAAAATAATTAAAAGATTCGAGCAAAAAGGTTTCAAATTGGTGGCCATGAAATTTATGTGGGTACGTGATCTGTTTAATTGAAAAACAATTGAATCGGTCATTTCAAAAACAACTTGTTAAAATTTACAGGAACCACAATAAAACTAAATTACTTTTTACTTTATTTAAGTTTAACTTCTTTTGCATTTTCGCCTATTTAACACTAACTGCCAAGATAAATAACTGAACTGGGATCGTCGGCACTACCCATAGCAGTTAACGTGTTAAGCATTTATATGTAGGATCTGTGTTATTCATAATTCATAGTTATAATTAATCTACATTTGACCATAATTCAACAAGTCAATATAAAACTTATTTGATTTGTTTTTGCAGGAAATAAAAATGTATTATGTAAATAACAAGATAAAAAAACTAACATTTGCATAGGTAACAGAAGTTTTGAAGTTTAATTATTAATAATGCAAGCAAGTAGAAAACTAGTGGCTTATCGAAGGATTTGGAGAGTCATAAAATGTAGTTTTTGCTTAAAATAGGTAGCTGTTTTTATAAGTATCAAATTCGAAAAAAAAAAGTAATTTTATGACACATGTTTTTGAAATGACTTGTTCAATTGTTATAAATTTAAAAAATATTGATTGGTTCTATATGTTAATATTATATTAGTGTACTTAAGCCAAGCTGCTCAGATCTGACACTAAAAACTAAACGTAACTCATCAATTCACGGTGGGACTGGCCTGACAAACGCTTTAACTTGTTATAAATTCTTTAAATGTACTCTAATAAAAACATAATTTCAAATAAAGTATTTTAGATTTTACCAGTGCTCGAATTTGAAAACTATAAGCGGGAGGACGTTTTTACTTTAAAAACAAAGTGTACCCAGCATTATTTTTACCCCTAAAAAAACAACCGCTTATAATACAAATAAGTGGGCATATGCTACGATTTCTAAAAAAAACAGTTGGGGTACTCATTCCCCCCCACCCAATTATAGCACTGCATTTTACAATATAATTCTCGTAGAAAAGCGAGAAAAATTTAAATCTTATGTTTTAAAGTTTTCTTTTATTGGAGTGTAAACATTTTTAACCACAACTATTGTGTTAATATTGTCTTTGTTTTTTGTCTGTAAATTTGTACATTTAAATATTTTTCAATTACAAGTATATTTTTATTTTATAACATACAAAATATTAACACAATATACATTTTGATTACTTACTAGGCCATTTGTATAAAAAAAAAACTACATATCAGCTTTGGATTTTATTAAAACATTTTCTTCCCAAATAATAGGCCTCCGAAGAGCTGTTGTCGAAACATTATTCTGATCTTTCCAGTCGTCCGTTTTTCCCGGGACTCGTGAAGTACATGGCTTCCGGACCTGTAGTGCCGATGGTAAAAGCATTGCATTGCATTTGCACTTTCCACTCGACAATAAATTATTTAATCGATGAATATGTTGTGTATTAGGTGTGGGAAGGATTGGACGCGGTGAAAACCGGAAGATTTATTCTCGGAGCGACAAACCCAAAGGATTCAAATCCCGGTACCATCAGAGGAGACCTTTGCATTCAAGTTGGCCGGTAAGTTTGGCGACTTAATGCACATGACTAATATAACTAAACGACATTTTGATTTCCAGCAATATAATTCACGGTTCAGACGCTGTGGAATCGGCAAACAAAGAAATCAATTTATGGTTTACCGAAAAAGAATTGGTGTCGTGGCCGCGAACCGTCGATTCTTGGGTTTACGGTGAAAATTAAAAGTGTATCAATTTTGAGTGTATGAACTTTAATTAGATACTTCAATTGATTTTTATGCAATACAGAAAACAATATGCGTTTCCGACAATCGTAGTTATACATTTACATGTTGAAAATATTATAAGTGTTATATTAAACTTCTTATGGATATCTTGTTATAGATTTGATGATTTAAAATTTATCGTAATTTTTTGTTGTAAACTATTTTTTTATTCATATTAATAACAAAATAACCATTTATTTTGTCATGCTTAAATAACGGGTAATGTAAATTAATCAAGAAATATATTTTGTTAAATTTCATTATTTCTATTTTATTTAAGTCGACGTCAAACGTAGTTTTATTGTCGTTAAATAATGATTTCTCAAGTCATCTATTGAAAAGCTGAGCACATTATCTTATTTGTATAGGAATTAACTATATTTTCCAAATTTAGAAGTATAAATTGAAATATTATTTAATATTATATGTATTAATATTTGTTGTTTATAGCAGGCAACAAAAATTATCATTGCTGTACATTTTTCATGTTTATCCGCTTGAGAAGTTATTAATAAATTTCAACCCTTAATAACTTAAAAATTAACTACCCAAAACTGGTTTTAGACCAGTCAAAATTCTCAGCAAATGAAAGTTAGGCCATCAAAGTGAACTTTGGCTGTTCTAAACCGTTACCCGAAGTGCACGGTGTGAAGGAAATCATGATCGTTGCATGTGGTCCGTTTTCAAGGGGTTTTGTATAGGCAATATTTAAGAAAAAAAGTAGATTTTGACCATGTCAATTAATTTACCGGTCAATTTGTATAAGCTTCGAGGTGTTATTTTTAATTTAAATATTTTTTCTATGAGTCATATGCCATTTTCGGTTTATTTGAGACCAAAAAGCCAGACACAATGTCGACTACTCAGGATGGTCCAATTTCAATTCTGTAAAGAGATTCGAGTTCTTTGGTTACTTTACTATCTTATGTAGGAAGCCGATTTTCTTTTAGAAATGTCAGTTTCTTGTAATTAAATAAATTAAATTTGCAATTTTTTCAATATTAAAACCCAATTTGTTTACATAAAAAAATCAAAAATATGTTTCCTACATAACCTAGTAAAGTTCTTTAAAGAAATTAAAGCGGACCAATCTAAGTAGTTGAAATTTTGTCTGGCTTTTTGGACTTTGTAGACAAGTGGGCACATTTTTCTCCGATTTTAAGTAAAAGTGGTGAATCAATTTTAACTCTTAGCCCAATAAAGTACAATATCTCGTGTACGGTTTTTGATCTGTATGCAAATAAGAAAATAAAAATCTACCAGTTGATCATTTTAGCTTATAAGCCGTATATTACATTTATAACCTCAAAAAAATAAAAATATTAATTTTTGAAACTGAGTTATCATAATATTATGTTGAACTTACATTTTTTCGAAAGCTAATAACTTTGTTAAACAATTTTGTTTATCGAAAATCGCTCATATCGAAACTTTGATTAAGTCTTGATCTTTAATTTTGAAAATTTGTAGGTCTTGAGATCTGAAAACCTGACTAAGGATAGATCTAGTGTGGAACTAAAACATGTACAATTTTTTTCAAAAATATGTATATATATATATATAAATTCGCTTGGCGCGCGCAGGCATATACATATATATCTATCTATAGACTATATATATACAAATTAATGTATGTCTGACCTTTATGCATTAGTATACCATTCATCCGATCGCCATGGAACTTCGGAAAGTTGTTTTTATCAAACCGGATTGACTTTGGTAAAGGTCGGAAGCTCGTTAGGTTTTGGCAGCCTTATATCTATTAAATTATATAATTAATATTAATACTGGACTTGCAAGTACAACCCACCATTGAAAGATTGTTGAATTTTGTACTTTAAATACCTACGAAATATTTTTCGTTGCTTACCCAAAATAAACACTTGGGATGTAACCATGGTAACCACGGTAACATGGTAACCACGGTGACAACTCCAGCGAATGGTAGGTGATGATTTATTTTATATTTTTTATGATTAATTTTATGTTGTGGCCAAAAGTTTTTTATTAGTTTTTTAATATTTGGCCTAAATCGATTCATTGGCAACATTCACTTGGTTAGTTATTTTGACACAATAGCATATTTTTTTTATATTGTGAAGCATTTTTATTGCGTAGCTTCTGCTGGGACCTGGAAGAAGATCTGGATAATTTATGCGATTGATGTAAGTTAAATAGCTTAAGCATTCATTTTGATAAGTGTTTATTTTACGCGTAGTCGTACAAATTGTTTTTTTTTTAATTATAAAATAAATGTTCAAAAACAGTAGAGAAAAGTAATAATTTCGGAATAACGTTAACTCAGGGTTTATCGTTTTTCTTATCATATTCATAGTATTTATAAAAAAAAAACAATGAGGGCCTTAGAGTTTTATTAAACGAAACTGTTGGGATTTCAATAATATTTCTTGTCTGAAGGCCGAAGGTACTCTACTTCTCGCTGGTTCGTTCAATTCTTGAATATGATTCCAATAATGAGAATAATTCCAATTTAGTACTCTAGTCAACAAGGTCTGATAAATGTGTTTGAAAAAGTAAAATAATAAAACTCACAAGAAAATAAAAGATTAAACGAACTAGTAAACAACGTAAGAGATTATAATAAGGTAAATAAAAGAGTAAAAAACATAAGTCAATCTTAATTATCTTAAATTTTTATTTTAAGGCAAAGCCCGGCCTAGTGCCTACATTCAATAGTCTAGATAGTTAAAAAAGTACTTGATAATTATGTTATAGAAAAATAATAATATTTCATGACATGTTGCTAGTGTATTTTCAAAAAAAAAAAATTAATTAATAAAAATGGTGAATTTGTCACATGTCTGTATGAATTATAGGAATAAAATCCTATTAAGATAAACGGTTCGATAAAATAAAAGTCAGCCGCAATATGTTGTTGCGGACACACCATATATTTTTTTTACTTTTCTTCAAAAGTTGAAAAAAATTTCAAGGACAACCTATAATAGTTCGATAAACTCTATCGATAAGACCATGACCCTAGAAATCATCAAAATCTAAGTTAAACATTTTGTCGTGAATTATCATCACTTAACAAAAAATAAATAAAAATAATTAATAATTGGTTGCTATAAATGACAATTAGTTCAAAAAGTAAATAACAATATGTTATATTATGTTTAACACCCTTTATTGATTTGATTTAGTCACATTATTTAGTAGCAATACACACATTTTAAATTACATTAAATTTTACCTTTGAAATATATGAAGCAAAAGTTAAACAGAAAAAATCAAATATCGCTATTTTGTGATTATATACAAATTAATAGAGTTACTTATTTTCCGGAAAACCGATCAAATGAAGCGATAACATCAAAGTCTATGCCACTTAAATCTATTTCTACATACTTACCAAATAAAAAGAAACTTAATTGACTCACAATTTTTGTAGACATTGAATAGTCATAACTCGAGAACTTCCTTGCTAACACTCTAAACCTTTTTTTATAATATTCATTGGTAAATTTAGCCGGAGAAAAGTAACTTTCGGGAAAATTAAATTTCAAATTATTGACATCTTTCAGCGTAGCCAAGATTTTTTCTTCAACTTCTTTGATTTTTTCTAAATCAGTTAACGTGTGTGCAGTTGACGACGATTGGAACAGTTCAGCAATAAATTTCAACTGTCCATCTTCCTTCAAATTTAAAAGCCGTACAATTTTATTAAAATCGTCAAATATTAGACTGTTATAGTCCTTTATCCTTTTGATGGCAGAATCTTCCGTCATCCATTTTTCGTCGAAAAACCAGTTTTTAAAAACTTCAAACAACGGTGTTTTATCTGAGTCTTTAGATGGTAAGCGAGCAGCGATTTCAAGTACGTAAATCCACAAGTTGTGCAACATAGCATACTTCATAATGTTCATAAACGTACGGTGACATTCGACAATTCCATTGATCTGTGCCTCAAAAGATTCGATTTCATCATTACTGCCGCAGGTACGATCTATTATATTGAATATACGGTGTTTTTCCACTATATCAACTCCTGCAATGGTTTCCAAAAAATCGTTTAAAACATTTAATTGCCAGACACTGCCAGACACTGCTGGTCGTAAAAATAAATGGCGAATTTTCATATAATCTGTACAATCGTCGATTCTCATACTCTTAGTAATTATATTGATTCTCTCATCAATTGTGATCTTGAATTTGTCCAAAAATGTTTTGATAAACTTTCGCGTTATCGTATGTTCACTGCGAATTTCTGCCAGAGATGTAAAATATATAGAATCAACGTTTCGGTCGTCATACACGTTATTATCGTTATCATTATTGCATTGTAGTTGAGTGAATTGTGCTAGTCGGGTAGAAACCGTTTCGTGTTCTTGCAATAAACGCATTCTTTTCCGTTCGATTAATTCGCGGGTTTCAGGGAGTGGGTTAAAATTGCGCAATGTTGAAATATGCATGTAGGCGAGCCACAAGGGATCAACAGAACCGATCTTGCCGAAATTGTATAAAACGTTTAACATGCCGTGCATTTGGCGTACAAATAAAATGTCGCCGTCAACATGTACAGTATTTGGATTCTTAAACGGGTCCCTACCTTCAACGGCCAACAGAGGTTTGATGATATTCATGTAGTGTATGCAATTGAACACATAACTACACAGTAGTTTTCCGTAAACATCATCGATCGCTGTCCCCACTTTCCACGTTGGACTCTGTCGTTCAGCAAAACTCTTCCTCAACTGGTCGTGCGAGTATCCCGTATCAATGTCGAGCAATTTTCCATAGTGATCATCCGTTTTTACTGCGGCATATTTTTGACGGGTACATGTATCGCCGCGCGCTGTTATCAACGGGTTAGTAATAATCAGTAACGCCAATGGCCAAACAAACACCATGACTTAATTTTAACTTCAACAATTTTTTTATGTTACACGTCGTACAATATGACAGAAGTCTCACAACGTAAGGCACACAGTAGTGATGGTTTTTACAGTATTAAATTGAGTATTTTATGTAAAAACTGTATTTTGTTTTTCAAGTTGTACGAAAATATGGTCGCACAAAAACATATTTTCCATGTTTGGTTTTTTGTTGTTGGGTTTTCTTACGGTATACAATGTTTTTTAGCACTAGATCAAATAATATTTTACGGTTTTTGCGAAGAAACCAACGTACAACTACATGTTTTTCTACGCTCGTGTCGCTCTTATCGATACAGTGTGTCCCGTTAGGATTTAACAACGCCTTCTTGAATTTAGATTGAGACCACTCTAGCCTATGATGCACAAAATATATTTTTTTTTGAAACAAATTTACGATAGTCATTGTAAGACTAGGAACAAATAAACTTAGATTAGATTTTAATGTATTTCGATAACAAAAATAAGTATACTAGTTAATATAATTGTTTACTATATACAACGCGAGTATGACGTGTTCACAAAAACAAAATGGGTCTAATTCTACAACATTGATTAGTCAAAGCTCCTTCGCATAAAGACAATAACAAAATATAATATATTATAAGGAAATAATTGGAGGTTTGTAAATTGTGAAAATATGTTTAATTAAGACATATTAAATAAAAGTCGCGTTGTTCGTCTTCCATATGTTAAAATACTAATAACTCAAAATAAAATAAAACAACCAATTGCCGTTTATTATTTGAAGTAATTCTTAAAAGTTATATCTATTTTATTATTTTCATGGTATATCATAAAGTCCGGATCAGTGGCGCCAAACTAAAATTTAATTGGAGGGGCAAAAAAATATTATTGACACCCACCTCAAGGTGAGGTTAGGTAAAAAAAGCATCGTCGGGTCTGACCAACCGGCCGCCCGCCCTACCACCACCACTCTATAACAGGGATGCTGCCAACCCCTCCCCCGAGGAGCAGGTTCGACACCACTGATCCAGATAGTTTTTATTGAAATTCGAAATCCGAAAATTGGCTTTTACGGGTTTAAAGAAAAGCCTAATTTCATTCCTATCAATAGTTCATTGCCTTGAACTGAGCTCCAAGGCCCCATAAAAGACGAATAAGAGAAACCATCTAATTAGAATAATTATAAGAATAAGATAAATAAGATTTGAGCTATTAAAATATACTGATGGAACACCTTGTATCGATAAAAGCGTCAAAAATATGTTTTTGTGCATTTGTTTATTCGTACAATCGATATTGTTTAAAGTATTCTAAATGTAGGTACACAGTAAAAAACAACTCAACAACACCGATAAAAAAATTTTAAAATAAGGTCAAGTTTTGAAATCCATAATAATCTTCAAAATCTACATTTATTAGTATTAAACCCCCTCTTTGGGTTATTCTATATATATATGTTTGTCTGACCATTATGCATAAGTACACAATCCAATGACCATGAAACTTTGGGAAGTTGTTGAGTACACTCCCGCGAAGGTTTCTGGCATAGTACTTTTTGAAAATTCCACCTCTAAGGGTGGCCTCAAACACGAATTTTGTACTTAATACACGAAATATTTTTCGTTGCTAATCCAAACTAAACACTGGTTTGTAACCATGGTAACTACTTACCATATTTTTTTCTACTTAAAATTACGGCGCTCTGTATATTTTTAAAGAGAGTCAAAATTTAAATGGAATAATCTTCAGACATAGTACTACTGATAAACGTTGACGAACCAGAAAAAAAATTATAAAGCGTTTCCCCTTTTCTTATTTTGGTTTGTAAGTGAATATTAAATGTTTAATGTCTGAAAATCTAACAACAAAAATACATTTTTAAGACCATATTGTAGTATATTATATTTAATGGATATAACGTGTACTTTGCAAAGCCTTATAAGCATTGTCAGAGTATATACATTGCAAAAACGAATATAATAAACAATTTGTTCTCTGACTAGCATAGTAAGAAAGAATTAAAGTGATGGGCAGTGTTAAATAATAGTATAAAATACATAAGTAACAAATATTTTTACTATAGTGATTTAAACCTTTATTATTAAATAAATTAAATTTATCGACAATTTAGATACAAGTGCGATATGACACAAAATATGTTTAAACAAAACAATATCATTATAAAATAGGTTATTATTATAATTTCTGGTGCAAATTATTGATACTCAGAAGAAAAACGCGTAGCTCGAGACCATGTTTCTGTATCAACTTTCCAAAACTCATTTTCAAAGAATGTATATACGTGGCCGCCACTGAACGTTTCATCTATTATAAAGCAATAGCCGTTGACCATTTCAATATTGTATATGTATGTACTGTATTTAATACTTCTAAATACACCTGCTAAACGACACATCATCTCCAAATTCTGGAAATGTGGATCGTCTTGACCTTGAAAAAAAATTACCGAATTTAGATAATTTCTTACTAATTGTCTTTGTTTACAAGAAAACATGTGTGTAATAAATCATAGAAAATTAAAATAATACACAGGGATAGATATAATATATTCCTGTATATACCTACACAGGATAGCCCACAATGATTTGACAAATGAAATAAATTTTGTTTTAGTGAATATTTTTAAGTTTTTTTTTTTTTTTAATTAATTTATACTAATTCGCGCTATAATTACCAAGTTTTGTATTGCACTTAACTATTTTAATTTTTGAAATTTTCATGTCTTAGCTCTGGCACATAACCGAAAAAATTGTTACCAAAAAAGCGTAATGAAAAAATCGGGGTGAAAATAGGGGGTAGGAGATGGGAGTGGGAGATAGGAGATAAGAGATATGTTGTACGTTCAACGGTTAAATTAGAACTAAATGATAAATCCAAAATAGTTTTAGGGCCCAAATTCTCTATGAATTGTCTTAACCAGGAATTAAACACTACAATATTAGCCAGAAACTTGATGTTTTTATATAACAGCCACCTTAGATTCTAGCTTGTTACTGCTTGTTTATATACTATATCATTTTATCTATAATTCCACCACGACTCTAAATTTATTTGGTACTTCAACGAGACATGAAAATGCTCTTTCGTGGTAGCAGACTCGGCTGAAAAACTTTTTTAATTATTTTTTTATTTTTTCTGTTGCATTTTTTTTTTTTTAATTCAAGAGATCCATTTTGTTAAGAATAATTTGCTGAAAATGTTGACTGGTCGATAACCAGATTTGGATAATCGCTTTTAAAGTTACTAAAGATTAAAGGGTAGGATGGGAGGTGGAGTGCGGTAGAGAAATACGTGCAAATAAAAACAGCTCTACGCGCTTACTCGCTTACTCTATTTTAAAAAAAATCTCAAAAATATTCACTAGAACAAAAGTTATTTCTTTCGCCAAATCATTGTGGGCCACCCTGTATATAGGTAAGATCTAGATATAACGTATTAGGTGATTATTAATGTGTGTGTTACAGTGATAAGAATGAATGTCTGTACATTTATTAATATCTCTTTATTGTATATACTATATGTATACTTACGTAATACTGTTGTAATTGCTTCCAAAGTCATAACTCTTCTTGCACTTCCCAAAGAAGTCAGAGCTTAATTACAAATTAAAAAAAAATTAGTTGCTTGCGATTGAATCATAATGTTATCATAAATACTTGGTTTAATATAATAGGATATACAGATCTCATTTAACAAATATTATTAGTATTATTATTGTAACAAAACAATTTTTTTAAATCAATTATTTTCATTGGTGTATATGAAATTTATAATGGTTTAAAACCCAATATAACTCCATATTAACACTTACCCAATGAACGGATGATTCTATGAGTTCCTATAGGTTGAATTCTTCTCTCTATTAAAAGACCGGCTAAATTTTCTGCAAAAAAATATAAATTACCGTGTTCATAATCGAAAATAAAAATAAAATTAGTTGCTCGTGATTAGCAAAACCTCAGAAGAGTTCATGTATGATTGTGATTACCTTTTTTAAATTTTGTAGGTGCATCGATACGTTCTGTAACCAAAATATAAAATTTCAAACAGTTATTTGGTAAAAAAAATATTTTTTTTAATTATATTCATCACAGTATCATCCTAATTGAAAACACTTGTTTAACTCAAACAGTGCAAGATAGTATAAGAAATTTTAGTAGCCTCGTTTGAATTAACGATTTGGGCAATGTTTTAACGATCATCAAAAACCATCAGTTCCCATATCTATAGTGTCATTTAGTAATGGTAAAAAGCTAAGCAGTAAATATAAATATTATCACAAATTTGTTTACATTAGGTATATGGTATTAAACATTTATTTTTGACAATAACTGAAACGAAAACTTGAAATTAATATCATTGTCGTACTCATATTTCGACTATTAAATTATATACAGGTCATTCTTGCTTTGATAGAATTATGAAGTGTTAAAGTAAAAAACTTTGGAAGAAAAAACAACACACATACACAGTAAATTTCTCTGAATGACAGAAAAACTTTGAATCATTTTGCGTTATGCTAAATTGGGTGGAAGAAAAATAAAAATAAATGTGTACCCATAGCAAAAACATATAAATGCTAAAAAATCCTCATTTATTCTTAATTTTTAGAAAGTCAATTTAAAGAAATAAATCGTTTAATTTATATACATATCGTCTGATAATCTAACACATAAAGAATATTTATGCCTCTCAAATAATCTCATGATTACCTCTAGGGAGAACAGTTGATAGGCCAAGATTTTGATTTGGATCTGAACTTGAAGCTAGATTTGGATTTTGATTTGGATCTAGATTTAGAGCTGTAAGAAAATATATAATAATAATACAGTCAATAAATACTTTAAACTCAGATTGTTTAATACTTAAAGAATATTGATGCCTTTCAAATAATCTCATGATTACCTCTTAGGAGAACAGTTGGCGGATCAAGATTTTGATTTGGATCTAGACTTGGAGCTAGATTTGGAGCTTGATTTGGATCTAGATATGGATCTAGACTTGAAGCTGTAAGAAAATATATAATAATAATACAGTCAATAAATACTTTAAACTCAAATTGTTTCGATTTAATTAAGCAATTTGAACGTATGTCAATTAAAAAATATCTTTAGAAGCCACTATTGAGTTAGATAATTAAATTACAGTCGATCGTCAAAACTAGAAGTAAAAAAAAAAAAGGCCACATCAGAGTAAAACCAATACCTTCTCGCTTTGCATCGAAGCTAAAAACATATGCTTTATGACTTTGAACTCAAATAAAATTTATGTAATTATATGTAGTAACTAAGTATTTATCAATATTGAAAAATATTGTTCACATTAAAATGTTACATTCTATATTTATTTAGGGTTTTGGCTGAACTTTAATAGAATATTCATCATTATTATTTAGTTTATTAAAAGTTAATTTTTTTATTTACTTTTTACAGCACTTATTGCTGATTGCATCATTTTCTGGAACTCTAACTTGTCTAGCATTCAAAATAAAATTAATTTTAATGTAAATAATTTCAAATGATAGATATTAATACTATAAATATATTTTTACCTTTAAAATACATTATTTTTTGACCTGGATCTCGGTTTACACTACTTCCTAAAAAAAACATTTTCTACTCAATGAATATCAAATAACTATACTTAAAAAATAAATACATTTTTATTTTACAATCAGAATCTGGGTTTTCACTTTTTAAAAATAAAGTAGAAATATTTTGTACTCAATGAATATCAAATAACTAAATTTAAAAAATTTTAGTTAAATGTAACATCACAAAATAGATTTCTGCAATTAGTAAGTTTTACCACCAAATGTTATTATTTTTTTGGAAATATCAATTAACTCTACTGTAAAAAAAATAGAATACTTAGACAAGTAGTCTAGTGTTAGTTCTTTAGTATCAAAATTTCAACCTTTATAGAAAGAGATGTATATTAATTTATAACACAACTTGTTAACATAAAATTGACTATAACTGAAACGACTACTTAAATGAATATAAATGTCTTACTCAAATTTTGACTATTAATTTCAATTTTATATTTTCTCTTTGACAATTTTACTTTAAACTAAGATTGTTTTGATTTAATTAAGCGATATAAATTATTCTACAACTTAAGACACTGCGTTTTAATTAAAGATTAAAATTACGGTCGAAAACTAAATGTAGTTAAATAAATCAAGTTCAGTCATAACGAGGAGTTCAGTGCAAATCAGGCATAGTTTGAGCTGGTGCAGTCCAAAATAGTATCAAATGTAGTATAAATCGAGCTTAATTATAAAACAGCATAATATTAAAATACAAACATTGTTTTAACTAATAAATATAAAATTACTATGTTGAAAAATAATATTAAATTTTACCAGGTTTGGGGATTTCGTAAATAAATTCTGAAATAAAAAAAAAAACATTTTGTACTTAACGAATATCAATTAGAACTATGTTGAAATATGTTCATAAAATGTTAAGAAAAATATTACTTGGTTTTTGCAATACACATTCAAGTTTCTCTGCAATTAACATCATAACGTCAAAGTATTTATTTATGGCATTACAATTATTAATATATTATTCCAATGTAAAAACAAATGTAAAATAAGAACGAAGTTCACATTTCATTTGGTAACGTTTGATTATATTGGATTTTCGGAAGGCGTTGACAAAAAGGTGAAAAAAAAATTTAAGAAAATTATAAAATGTATAGTGAACTCGGTTTCGGTTTCCCTGCGTTCACTTCCCGTGCTAGCACAAATAATTTACAAATATATAAAAAACCAGTACAGTGGGGTCGGGGCATAGTGGGGACGGAGTATAGTTGGGTCGGGGCATCGTGGGGACGGGGAGGTCACAGGTTTACAGGAATTTTGAAATCTGAAAGTGATAAAATCATTTTCGGAAAAACGCTTCGATGCAAATCGGTAGTTAGTATTTTCAAGCCAGTACAGTCCAAACCAAGCACAGTATAAACCAGCAAAGTTAGAAAGTTTTAAATTAAGGTTCTGTATTTACAAATGAACATCAAAGCGTTTATTTGAAAGTGATTTTATTCAATTTTATCACTTTTATTTATTATAATTCCTGTAGACCTGTGACCTCTCCGTTTCCTCATTGCTTTGATTACATTATGCCTATACTCTACTATACTAGTCCTCTCGGATAAAATCACTTTTAAATTAACCTTTTGAAGCTCATTTGTAAATACAGAACCTTAAATTAAAACTTTCTAAAAAAAAAAAAATTGAATTTGTGTAAACTTAAAGTCAAAAGTGGTAATTGAGCACAAAACTTAATAGTATCATTCTACACAGATATACATAAAATTGTTTTAATGATTTGATCAATTTTTTTTAAAGATTTTAAATGTTTTTGTTAAAATATACGCAATCTACGAAAACACAGTTTTCCGGCAATTAAAAAAAAACTGTAGTGCCGAATTTTTCACCCGTTTAATATGTTATGGATACATATGAGTTCCAACTACTGGCAAATTTTCAACCCAAAAGTTTTAAAATTACGGCTAAAAACCCCGAAAAACAAAAAACTTGTACCCCCCTAGGGGGGTGGGAAATGGATATAAATTAAATTTGACACAATCGACGTGTGCGGGCATACGAAATAATTATTTTTTATACATTTCAACTCGATCCGAATCTTTTTCTCGAAATTATAGCCAGTAAAAGTTCTAACTTAAAAACTCGTACGGTTTTTTTTTTTTGTTTTTTCAAATTTCGTCTGTGAAGAATTAAACTTTTTCAACTTTTATCCCTCCCCCCCCCCCAAAGTACAAACTAGATAAAATTTGTGATTTATAAAGTTACTATTCGAAGGAATTGGTCTAGTATTAAAAAATTTACAGTGTATACAGCTAAAAAAAAGCCCACATCAGAGTAAAACCAATACCTTCTCGCTTTGCATCGAAGCTAAAAATTTTAATTTTATAAAATAGTTATAATTTAAAAAAAAAAATTTAGTCAGAAGCTAGTTTAGGGGGAGGGGTGCCAAAAACATGTGAAATATTTGCATAAAATGTAATGGTAATTATTACCCGGCATTGCCAACATCATCACCATTGCCTCTGAAAATAACATGCTTTGTCATTATTATATGTTTAATGTTTATTTATTATATTAATTTTAGTACCTATCCCATATACATCAGGCCTCACAATCATATTTTTAATTATTGTCGGCATGAATTCTAGAATAAACAAATCGTTTTATTAGATTACATAAAAAAAGTTTTAAATAGAGTTTTAATAAATATTACAGAACAAGAATGAACCGCATGCTTTAAAGTATGGTTACCATTTTACTTAACGCTACTCATCTTGTTAGGTTAAATTTGTCTTACTATAGATACTATACTCTTTTAAAAGAAATAGAAATTATTTGATTTGCATAAGTCACATTGTGTTTAAGACACTGGTTCTTTCACCTCATTCATTCTTAATCTGAACAGATTACAGAAACTAACATTTTTAATTTAATAATCATTCGATAAGTCAACCAAACAACATACCAAAGACATTAAATATTATTTTTTTTTATACATTATTTGGTATTTTAATATTAAACAAATTTTACCTTTTGCTTGCTTGATGTCATCGTCTGTAATAAATTGTAAAACAATATTAAAACATAATATTTTTTTTTGTACGAAAAGAAGTTTCTACTGACTTGTTAAGGTAACCTGCTCAATATATTCCTCTGTAAAAAAAAAATTAATATTGTTTTTTTTATTTTATAGATTTTTACAATTTTTTGTAGGTAGGTACGTGTACAATTTTAATAATCACCTAATTCAGCGACCAAAACATGGCCGACCAATGCAAATGATATTAAAACAAATAAAAGTTTCATTTTTTACCTGCAAAAGTAATAATAAACAATTAAACTTAATGTATCAGGAGTTAAGAAAATATTGGTTTTACAAAGATGACGTGTTCATTTCTTCTTGTGCCCAAACTAGGTGAATCGCAAAAACCAGGGAACGCTTGTTAATTCACTCACACAAACTTAAACTAATGTATACAAAATGTACTTACAATGTGTCAAAAGATGGTCAATAGGTATCATGTAAGTAATAAACTTCAACTACCGAAACAGGAACATTCATGAGCAAAATAACAATCGATCTGTTTGTTAAAATATTTTTAAGTAATTTTTCAGCGACTTTTGAATATTGGCGTTTAAGTCGACCGAAACGGTAAATCGAAACGTATTTTGCAGCGCCTTTGTTAATTAATTTAATTTATTTACATAGCTGTTTTTATTATTTGCTATAATGATGATGGCAAAATATACATATCACACCGACACAAGCTCAGACAATAAGTTTGGATTTTTAATTTTAATTTTGTTATAATTGATAGGTTATGATGTTCTTGTTGTAGGAGTTGTATGTGGGAGTGTTATTAAAATATCCTATTTTCTTCTAATCCCACTATTACTCTTATGTTGTTGTAATATGTAAATTTTACGTACTTTTTTTTGATTCTGGTGAATCTGACTTGATATTACTAGATAAACCAGTAACGATGCCAGCAGTTAAGCTCACTAGTTATCAAGGCACCACTTGACAAAGAAAACGGCCAACTCTGCCGATGGTCTTTTATCTGTATCGAACGTGGTATTACCCAAGTTGAATAGAAAACTTCTTAGCTGAACACAAACTTCATGAGTATCAGATCGTCAAAGAAATAATAAAAAATAGATGTAGAAATGTAAATGGTTTGAATAATAAGAAATAACCAATAACCTTTTTATTTTAGTTTGTAAAACACACACACACTGGTATTAAGCAAAGAAAAACATGATGTTTATGAAAGAAATTATTAAATGAGTAGAGAAACGATAGACTATGAGAGTGAAAAATTGACTACAGATTTTTTTTTACGGATGTCATAATGACATATTATGTTAGACCTATCGTAGGACTGAATTTCTACTTATTAAAATAATGTATAATTTGTATTGTACTGTTGCAATAAAGTTTGTTATATAATAATTAGTTAATATTCGCTCGGCTTTATATCTGACGATTCGGTGTGGTTTTGTCTCCAAGTCTTATTAACAAGTCGTCCGACCCCTATGTAATCAAAAGAGGAATCACTCTTCCTTAAAAAAAACTGTGCAGCAAAAACAAATCATAGTTACATGTGGTTTCTTAACAATTCGGTAAACAGCTGATGTCAACACTCTAAAAATATTTTCATAAATTAGGCGAGTACTTGAACCCTTATTCAGATGAAACTCAAAAAAGTTTTTCAGTCGAGTCTGCAACCACGAAAAAGACTGACGGTCAAAACTCAAAACGCTAACACGATAAAAATGTCAAAAAGAATTTTTCAAAAAACAAGAAAAACTTTCAAAATATATTGCTAATGATATAATTTGAACAATTAAAACATAATAAAATAATCCTCTATATTTATTTTGTTTATATGAAGTAATGGAGGACCTTTAAACATACTGGCATATATTTGACTGATGTATTTTTAATTTAGAATAGTATTTTAAAGGCAGTATCAAATCAATAAGCCGAGTCTGCAACCACGAAAGAGTATTTTTATGTCTTGTTGGAGTACCGAATAAATTTAGAGTAGTGGTGGAATTATTGATAATGATATAGTATATTAACAAGCTACTATCTAAGGTGGCTAGTATATTAAAACATATCAAGTTTCTGGCTAATATTTTAGTGTTTAATATCTGGCTTAAAACAATTCATAGAGAATTTGGGGCCTTGAATTATTTTGAATTTATCATTTAGTTGTGATTTGAACGTTGACCGTACAACACATCTCTTATATCTTACCCCATATCTCATACCTCTCATCCCCTATCTCACATCTCATACACCTAACCACCATTCCCTCCAACCCTACACTACCCCCAAATCCATCTCCGTGTCCTAACGCTTTTTTTGTTATTATTTTTGGTAGCACTTTTATCGGTTATGTGCCAGAGCTAAAGAATGCGAGACAAAATCATGTACAAAATAGACGGTCTTCTTTTGGATAATCCCTACCCTGATGAACGACCATAAAGTGCGTATTATACTAACAAAATTCTACTCCATCTCCAGTCAATAATGTGTCACATGTCAACGTGCCGGAGGTGAATGAAATGCAACATATACTTCCTCTAGCAGAGATCAGCATACCGGAAATGAACGTATCGCAAGGAGTCATGCAACCCTCAAACGTAACCCATTTAATGGATAATGCATACTTGAACGGTGTTACACAAAGTACTACTAAATGTAAAAAGCTTTTAAATGTCTATTTCTTGTACACTTTTTAAAACACTCACGTGATTGCTTATACTTCCTTTACATTCAGCCATTGCCATCTACTTCTTAAAATACTTCAGTGGCAGCGTCAAGGTAGTGAGTGTTTACATTGCCCATTGATTACATTGACCGGTTGAGTTGCTGCTCGCGCTGCACAAATTAGCTGGGCAATATAAACACCCACTGCCTTCGACGATGCCACTGAAGTATTTCGGGAAGTAAATACAGCAGCGCGAGGAGCAATGGCAAAGGCTGAATTTAAATGAGTTATTAAGAATTATCATAACCGAAAGTGATGAAATCACTTTTAAATAAACTCTTCAAAGCGAATCTGTAGGAATATTGAAGGCGAGTGTTCAACATAATATGGAAAAAATGTGATTAAAATTGTATTAGAATTTAGAGTGGATACGATTAAAGTTGATCGTCTGTCTTTCGTTCATAATTATTCGTTACCGTTGATCCATTCTTACAAAGCGAACTTAAAATTTACCTTTTTTTTAGTTTTCCTTAAAAAAGAAAAAAAAGTTGACTTCAGATGATTGAGAAAATTGTATGTTTGATAACTTCATTACAGATCTGACAACACCTAAAAAAAGCTAAAACCTAAGTTTGGTTCGTAAAATCAATAGTAAGATAGTACCTATCTGAAAATAGCATTAAGTATGTTATGTTTATACTGTATAGAGATGGTGTAAGGTATACAATTACCGCGTTCTATAAACAAAAAAAATTTTTTTGAATTTTTTTCAAAACTTTGTATAGTTATAGTTTGTATAGAACTCATATAATAATCCTTATACTAAAGTTCCTAAATCCAAAATAGTTTTTAAATTCAAATTTTAAGATTTTTTATATTTTTCCACAATAAAAAAAATAGTTGACTTTATAAAATCCGGATTTGTCATTAAATCCGGATTCTTCGTATGATCCGGATATGAGCTTCGAATTGCGAAACCCGAATTTTAGGATTTCAAGAAAATCCGGATTTATTTCCCAACACTACCTCTAAGTCATTTGTCTAGACAAACTGAATAATATATCTAAACTAGTTCTATATAATTTAGCATACGGCAGAAGTTTCTATAATTAGATGTATAATCTTGTGGCTCGTTGATAAGTCAACATAAAAAGATTTTTAGTTTTAAGTAGTGAAAATATCATTTTGTAAATTTTAACATTTAATGACTATTAAACAATGACAATTTGTTCACCGACTAGCATAGTAAGAAAAAATTAAAGTGATGGGCAGGGTTAAATAACAGTATACAATACATAAGTAACAAATATTTTTACTATAGTGATTTAAACCTTTATTATTAAATAAATTAAATTTATTGACAATTTAGATACAAGTGCGTTATGACACAAAATATGTTTAAACAAAACAATAATATCACTATAAAATAGGTTATTATTATAATTTCTGGTGCAAATTATTGATACTCAGAAGAAAAACGCATAACTGGAAACCAAGTGTCTCTATTTATATTCCAAAATTCATCTCCAATGAATCCATATACGTCGCTGTCACTGTTCGTTTCATTCATTAAAAAGCAATAGTTTCCATCCAGTTCAATATGCTGTATAAATGTACTGTATTTAATACTTCTAAATATAGCTGCTAAATGACACATTATCCCCAAATTCTGTAAAAGTGGATGGTTTTGACCTTGAAAAAAAAAATTACCGAATTTAGATAATTTCTTACTAATTTGTCTTTGTTTACAAGAGAACATGTGTGTAATAAATCATAGAAAATTAAAACAATACACAGGGTTAGATATAATATATTCCTATATATACCTATGCAGGATGGCCCACAATGATTTGACATTTTTTTTTAAAAATTCAACAGAGCCATTTTTTTAAGAATAATTTGCTGAAAATGTTGACTGGTCGATAATTAGATTAAAACAATCACTTTTTAAGTGCAATAAGAAGTAGTGCTTATAGCAAAAAAAAATTTTTAAAAATATTCACTAGAACAAAAGTTATTTATTTTGTCAAATCATTGTGGGCCACCCTGTATATAGGTAAGATCTAGATATAACGTGTTAGGTTGGTAATTTTTAATGTGAGTGTTACAGTGATAAGAATGAATGTCTGTAAATTTATTAATATCTCTTGATCGTATATACTGTATGTATACTTACGTAATAATGTTGTAATAGCTTCCAAAGTCATAACTTTTCTTGCACTTGCCAAAGAAGTCAGAGCTTAATTACAAATATAAAAAAAATTAGTTGCTTGCGATTGAATCATAATGTTATCAAAATTAGTTGGTGTAATATAAAAGGATATACAGATCTTAATTAACAAACATTATTAGTATTATTATTGTAACAGAACAATTTTTTTAAATCAATTATTTTCATTGGTGTATATGAAATTTATAATGGTTTAAAACCCAATATAACTCCATATTAACACTTACCCAATGAACGGATGATTCTATGAGTTCCTATAGGTTGAATATTTCTCTTTATTAAAAGACCGGCTAAATTTTCTGCAAAAAAATATAAATTACCGTGTTGATAATCGATAATAAAAATAAAATTAGTTGCTCGTGATTAGCAAAACCTCAGAAGAATTCATGTATGATTGTGATTACCTGTTTTAAATTTTGTAGGTACAACGAAACGTTCTGTAACCAAAATATAAAATTTCAAACCGTTATTTCGATAAAAAAAATATTTTTTAAAATTATATTCATCACAGTATCATTCTAAAATTGAAAACACTTGTTTAATTCAAACAGTGCAAGATAGTATAAGAATTTCTAGTAGCCTCGTTTGAATTAACGATTTGGGCAATGTTTTAACGGTCATCAAAAACCATCAGTTCCCATATCTATAGTGTCATTTAGTAATGGTAAAAAGCTAAGCAGTAAATATAAATATCATCACAAATTTGTTTACATTAGGTATATGGTATTAAACATTTATTGTTGACAATAACTGAAACGAAAACTTGAAATTAATATTATTGTCGCACTCAAATTTCGACTATTAAATTATATACAGGTCATTCTTGCTTTGATAGAATTATGAAGTGTTAAAGTAAAAAACTTTGGAAAAAAAACAACACACATACACAGTATATTTCTCTGAATGACAGAAAAACTTTGAATAATTTTGCGTTATGCTAAATTGGGTGGAAGAAAAAGAAAAAAAGAAAAAGAAATGTGTACCTATAGCAAAAACATATAAATGCTAAAATATCCTCATTTATTCTTAATTTTTAGAAAGTCAATTTAAAGAAATAAATCGTTTAATTTATATACATATAGTCTGATAATCTAACACATAAAGAATATTTATGCCTTTCAAATAATCTCATGATTACCATCTGGGAGAACAGTTGACGGATCAAGATTTTGATTTGGATCTGAACTTGAAGCTAGATTTGGATCTAGATTTAGAGCTGTAAGAAAATATATAATAATAATGCAGTCAATAAATACTTTAAACTCAGATTGTTTAATACTTAAAGAATATTTATGCCTTTCAAATAATCTCATGATTACCTCTTAGGAGAACAGTTGGCGGATCAAGATTTTGATTTGAATCTAGATTTGGAGATGTAAGAAAATTGTAATAATAATACAGTCAATATTTTTTTTTTTTTATTTCTCTATTACATTTACTTTAAACTCAGATTGTTTCGATTTAATTAAGCAATTTGAACTTATGTACAATTTAAAAATATCTTTAGAAGCCTCGATTGAGTTAGAGAATTAAATTACAGTCGATCGTCAAAACTAGAAGTAAAAAACATATGCTTTATGACTTTGAACTCGAATAAAATCTATGTAATTAGTAACTAAGTATTTATCAATATTGAACATTAAAATGTTCAACCCTTTAAAATGTTACATTCTATATTTATTTAGGGTTTCGGCTGAACTTTAATACAATATTCATCATTATTATTTAGTTAATTATCAGTTAAATTTTTTATTTACTTGTTACAGCACTTATTGCTGATTGCATCATTTTCTGGAACTCTACCTTGTCTAACATTCAAAATAAAATTAATTTGAATGTAAATAATTTCTAATGTTAGATATTAATATTATAAATATATTTTTACCTTCATAATGCACTATTATTTGATCCGGATCTTGGTTTAAAAAAATAATTCCTAAAAAAAAAACATTTTGTACTCAATGAATATCAAATAACTATACTTAAAAATTAAATACATTATTATTATTTTACAATCAAAATCTGGGTTTTCACTTTTTAAAAATAAAATAGAAACATTTTTTTATTGATCTTTACAAAACATCGACAACATAGGTCATTAGTTAAACAATTTTTTACGGTTATTATTTACACTTATTGTACAGATCAGTTGTTTTTAAGAATTTTAACATTTTAACTATATTCTTTCATCCGGTCCCAATGATTCGTCAAGTTGTTCGATTATTTTGAGTTGTTGTCTAAGTATTAGGTATTTGCGACATTCAGTAAGAATATGTTTGACGGGCTTCCTCTTTTCCCATGAGGTATCCATGCGTTAGAGCCGTGTGTCCGATTCTCAGCCTGTTTATGGTCTACTTAAGGTTATGATTTGGCCATTTGGAGATTTAATTTTAGTGTCTCTAAGTTTGTTTTTTTTTTTGTCTCTTTATCTTTGCCCATTCATTGTATGATATCTCATTGATATGTTTTTTGATGTAATCATAAGTGATAATGTTCAATACGGACGCCTCGGTACTCCTTACGGCGATTTTGGCCTGCTCATCTGCCCTGACATTGCCATCCATTCCGAAATGTCCAGGGATCCAGGTGAGTATAATCTGGTTTCTTCTGGCCTTTGTTTCCTCAAGTTCATTAGAAACATTTTGTACTCAATGAATATCAAATAACTAAATTTAAAAATTTTAGTTAAATGTAACACCACAATATAAATTTCTGCTATTAGTAAGTTTTGCCACCAAATGTTATAGAATACTTAGGCAAGTAGTCTAGTGTCAGTTTTTTAGTATCAAAATTTCAATCTTGATAGAAAAAGATGTATTATAATCTATAACACAACTTGTTACCATAAGATTAACTATAACTGAAAAAACAATTTAAATGGATATAAAAGTCGCACTCAAATTTCGACTATTAATTACAATATTTATAATTTCTCTTTGACAATTACTTTAAACTGAGATTATTTTGATTTGATTAAGCAATATTAACTATTGTACAACTTAAAATTTACTTAAGACACTGCGTTTGAATTAAAGATTAAAATTACGGTCGAAAACTTAATGTTAAAAAAATCAAGTTCAGTCATAACGAGTACAGTACAAATCAGGCATATCTTTAGCCGGTGCAGTCCAAAATAGTATAAAATGTAGTATAAATCGAGCTCAATTATAAAGCAGCATAATATTATAATAAAAACTTTTTTTCAATTAATAAATATAAAATAACTATGTTGAAAAATAATATTATATTTTACCCTCAGGGTTTTTGTAACTAAATTCTGAAATAAAAATAAAAACATTTTTTACTTAACGAATATCAAATAGAACTATGTTGAAATATGTTCATAAAATGTTTAAAAAAATATTACTTGGTTCTCGCAATCTACGATCAAGTCTATCTGCAATTAACATAACGTCAAAGTATTTATTCATGGCATTACAATTATTAATATATTATTCCAATGTAAAAACAAATGTAAAATAAGAACGATGTTCACATTTCATTTGGTAACGTTTGATTATGTTGGATTTTCGGAAGGCGTTGACAAAAAGGTGAAAAAAAAGTTTAAGAAAAATACAAAAAATACAGTGTAGCCAACCGCCTCGAACTCGGTTTCGGTTTCTATGCGTTCACTTCCCTTGCTAGCACAAATAATTTACAAATATATATAAATTTTTTATTTTATAAAATAGTTTTAATTTTAAAAAAAAAAATCAGTCAGAAGCTAGATTTAGGGGGAGGGGTACCAAATACATGTAAAATATTTGCATAAAATGTAATGGTAATTATTACCCGGCAGTGCCAACATCATCACCATTGCCTCTGAAATTAACATGCTTTGTCATTATTATATGTTTAATGTTTATTTAATTTATAATTTTAATACCTATCCCATATACATTAGGCCTCTCAACCATATATTTTATTACTGTCGGCATGAATTCTAGAATAAGCAAATCGTTTTATTAGATTACATAAAAAAAGTTTCAAATAGAGTTTTAATAAATATTACAGAATAAGAATGAACCGCATGCTTTAAAGTATGGTTACCATTTTATTTAACGCTACTCATGTTGTTAGGTTAAATTTGTCTTACTATAGATACTATACTCTTTTAACAGAAATATAGAAATTATTTGATTTGCATAAGTCACATTGTGTTTAAGACACTGGTTCTTTCACCTCATTCATTCTTAATCTGAACAGATTACAGAAACTAACATTTTAAATTTAATAATCAATCGATAAGTCAACCGAACAACATACCAAAGACATTAAATAGTATATTTTTTTTTATACATTATTCGGTATTTTAATATTAAACAAATTTTACCTTTTGCTTGCTTGATATCATCGTCTGTAATAAATTGTATAACAATATTAAAACATAATATTTTTTTTTGTACGAAAAGAAGTTTCTACTAACTTATGAAGGTAACCAGCTCAATATATTCCTCTGTAAAAAAAATTAATATTATTTTTTTATTTTATAGATTTTTACAACCTTGTGTAGGTAGGTACGTGTACAATTTAAATAATCACCTAATTCAGCGACCAACAAAACATGGCCGACCAATGCAAATGATATTAAAACAAATAAAAGTTTCATTTTTTATCTGCAAAAGTTATAATTAACAATTAAACTTAATGTAACAGGAGTTAAGAAGATATTGGTTTTACAAAGATGACGTGTTCATTTCTTCTTGTGCCCAAACTAGGTGAATCACAAAAACCAGGGAACGCTTGTTAATTCACTCACACAAACTTAAACTAATGTATACAAAATGTACTTACAATGTCAGAAGATGGTCAATAGGTATTATGTTAGTAATAAACTTCAACTACCGAAACAGGAACATTCACGAGCAAAATAACAGTCGATCTGTTTGTTAAAATATTTTAAAGTAATTGTTTAGCGACTTTTAAAAATTGGCGTTTATGTCGACCGAAACGGTAAGTCGAAACACATTTTGCAGCGCCTTTGTTAGTATATTTACATAGCTGTTTTTATTATTTGCTATGACTTTGTATTTCCAAAACGCAGTAGCTTATAATATTTACTGCACTATACTTTTATATCATTGCTCTCGAATATTATTTTTTTTAATACAGGGTGACAATATGGTAGCATTATACATACTATCAGAATTTGTGTACAAATATTTTTTTTCATCAAAACAAATTCAATTTTTAATAAAATATAGATAAAATAATTTTATTGCGCGCTGTGTATGTAATTTATACACATTTCTTATTAAAAATTGAATTCGTTTTGTTTATAACTATAACATGAACCTTGCAAATGCAATCATGTTATGAGTCTTCTTTCCCATCCCAAATCTATCAGATTAGCGTTTTCCCAATCACCTAACAAAACAAATAATAAAAACAAGTTTTTGAAATAATTAGTTGCTAATAATAAATGTCGACACCGTCTTAAAATGTAGCAAGCAAACTGATAGCAGCAAGCAAATAATGACTGTTTTTATTAAAACTTACTTTCTGTTATTGAGCGGTGTATATAGCACTTGTCTGACGGTCAAAACTCAAAACGCTAAAAATGTCAAAAAGACTTTTTCAAAAAACAAGAAAAACTTTTAAAATATATATTACTAATGGTATAATTTTAACAATTGAAACATAATCCTCTATATTTAGTACTTTTATATTTATTTTGTTTATGTGAAGTAATGGAGGAACTTTAAACATACTGGCATATATTTGACTGATGTATTTTTAATTTAGAATAGTATTTTAAAGGCAGTATCAAATCAATAAGCCGAGTCTGCAACCACGAAAGAGTATTTTTATGTCTTGTTGGAGTACCGAATACATTTAGAGTAGTGGTGGAATTATTGATAATGATATAGTATATTAACAAGCTACTATCTAAGGTGGCTAGTATGTTAAAACATATCAAGTTTCTGGCTAATATTTTAGTGTTTAATATCTGGCTTAAAACAATTCATAAAAATATGACCTCTTAAATTATTGAATTCAATTTAGTTCAGTTGTAGTTTGAAAGTTGAGAATACAACATATACAAATCTTTGGGTTATTTTTTTATAAACAAATAAATGCGTTAATACTTTTTTTAGAAACAGAGACGCCTGCAACAAAAATATTAAATAACTATACAGTAATTAAAAACCAGTATTATATTTTATCTAAAACTACATTTATTTAAACTAGTTATTAGGCGTTTGAATAATTATACTTCGAACAATTATCAAAACTTTTAGTAAGAAAATACAGGTGAAAAGGAAAGTTTAGGCTATTGTTTTTATTTTCCAACACATCACTGTGTGCACATCACTCATATTATGTTGTTTATATCGATACGAAACTTAAAAAATATGCCCTTAAATCAAATTTAAACGGTTGTGCTTTACACATAATACTTCATCGTTTTTGCACATCGATACGAATTTAAAGTAAATAAGACCCGAAAAAATATGTTTACTAAATTTGTGTTTTTTACACACTTTATCGTTTGTTGTAATATACTAGCGTATTTCATAAGAATAAAATAAAACCTAACGTATTACCAATTTGAAACCTAAATTTGGGCCTCTGGTTACAGCGGGACTGAGACAAGGGGATGCACTTTCGCCCGTTATCTTTAACTTAGTGTTGGAGAAGGTTGTCAGAGAATATAGTCACTCTGTATACAAGTCAACGTCCTTTTTAGTTTATAAACACCGCCTTTGTTTATAGAATGTAGTATTACTTTTGGAATGAATAATCCAAATCAAATGAACTTTTGTTTTAAAAATAAAATAGTAACTACTAACAATATATATTTGTCTGTACATTATAATTTATATTGAATCAATAACGTCCAAGACGGTAAACTATATTAAATAATGTAGGTATTGTTATCTCAATAACTAGCAACAACTGTTAAAAATTTGGCCATATAAATGTTTTTTTTAATTTAATTTAATTTTAAAAGTTTATGTGTACAATAATTTGATTGGTAAAAACCATAAACAAATCCAATAGCAACAATTAGCGACATACGTTTTTTGAAGCATATATATGTCCGTTTAAAGCAACTACTATATATTTTATAAAGATTACAATATAATATACTTATGTATATATATATTATGTATAATACAATTTATCGTCTTGGAAGTTATTTTTTCAATATCGTCACACTTGAGTACAAATAATAAAGCATAAATTATAATGTACAGACAGTTTCATCTTGTTAGTAAGTTAAGTATTTGAATCTTAATTTTGCACTGTACAACACGATTTGAAAATAAGAACAAATACGTTTTGACGATAATAACAGATTATAAAACATTAAAGTATTTTTGCTGTTGAAACACCAATTATCGATACTGTATAGCTGTTTTTCAATTCATCTAAGCATTTTCGATACACGATGCTTGAAACATTTGTTTGTATCAAAGTATCATCTGTACTTTTTCACATTGCTAATCTCACACACAAGTATATAAGTTTGAACGTTTTGACTTCGTAAACCGGTCTTTCCTCACACACGGGATTCATGTTGACGCGGTCAAGTAGAAAATTTCGATAAACGATTGAATTTTTTTTTTTTTTAGTGAAAATTTACAAAATATAATATACACGCTTATTATTATTCGGTATATTTTGAACGCCCTGTATGCACGAGACCGGCCGGCGGACGGTAGAACGTTCTAGAAGATTCTCGAAGTTTGGTCGGCGGCCGGGAAACGCAAGTCGGTATGGCGTTGGTCAAAGCGGGCGGCGGTCGCGGTTTTCGCGGTGCGCTTGGTCGATGCGCCGGGCGCACCGCGACGCCGGCTCACCGTTGACGGTTTCCGTTGAACGTTGCGCACCGCCGCGCCCCTTGACCAACGTCGCCCGCCAACGGCCGCGGCATGCAACCGGCGCCCGAAGGTTATATAAGTGAGTGCACCGCAGCTGCATCGAGACATTTCTGAATTTACCGCCAAGTCGCGAGCGTCCACTGCGGTCAGTCGCTGTTCAATTTTGTGCAAAGTTATTGTTATTATTTATTTTTTCGTTCCATTACAATCGAGACAAACACCACCGTAAGTATCCGAGTCGAATTTTGTTTTAATTTAATTTCGCATATTATATAGTTATTTTTTTTTTTGTTTACAATGGGCCCTAGTTTATTTCCCAAACGATATTTTTGTACCTAGAGAAAAAATAATTCGTTACCCTCGTACTTTCCATCGTTATATACTTAATAAATAGAGCTCGGACGTTATTGACCATAAATATTATTAAAATACGCAGTCGAAAATATCAAAATATGCCTTCGTTGAAATCTGTTAAAAAAATGTTAGCCGACTTCTATTATAAATAACATTGAGTTACAATTTTTGTTTCGGTGAAGTTTTCAAACTTAAAAGAACAACGACAATAGCTTTAGAAATTTTGGACAATATTTTATAACCAGAATTTTCGTTTTAAAACTTCTCAAAATATTGTGTATAATTTTCTCTATCTCATGCTCCTCGTAAACATGATTAAAGATATTAATAAAATGAAACATTTTTAAGAATTACACTTATACAGATATGCTACTAAATCTAGAAATAATCATTATAGACAAACATATGCTCAAAAGTGTCATATGCAAATATATGCAATACCTATAAGTTTTGCTGACTTGAAGTCTAGTCTGTGTGAATCAAATTTTTATCATATTTGGGTATAATACTGATTTTACTAAAAAATATGCAGTCATAAACATCCGAGCTTTATTTATGATTGATCATTTTACTTAAGTTATTATTTTAGAGATGGGTAATATTTACATAACTAGGTACCTACTATACTGTTATTTTTAAGAATAAAAAAAAAAAGTGTTAGTCGTAAACAAATTATGGCTACTACAAAGTTTACTTATCATTGTGCACCCTTTTTATTTTTGAGTTTTTTTAATTTTCCAATTTATAGTAATTTCTACTACCTAGGTAGTTAATAAGTTATTTATAATTTATAACGCGAAATTTAAATGTTGAACAAATCTATTAAAAGCACTTTCACAATTGATATGTGATTAATAATTTAAAAAATAATAACTAAATATTTTTTTGGCTGGTTTTAAAAAGTTTTAAAGTTGATATATAGTAATTCGTTTTTGTTACAACAAATTGTGCTTCAAAATCCACAAACTCCACTGTTTATAAAGTTATTTGAAAATATCTTTCCGCTAGTAGACGAGTGTATTAAATAGGCAGGTGCAAGCTAATTTAATTACAGTTCAGATTTAGTATTCATATAAAAAATATTTAAATAGTTTATATTAAAAATTAACCGTGTAAGAAAACGTAAAAATACAAATTTTTGTTACAGATGCCTGAAGACGTAACAATGTCGCAATCCGAAGATGTGGAAACTTTTGCTTTCCAAGCTGAGATTGCTCAGCTCATGTCCCTCATCATCAATACATTCTACTCCAACAAGGAAATCTTCTTGCGAGAATTGGTATCCAACTCTTCTGATGCATTGGACAAAATACGTTACGAGTCTTTGACCGACCCGTCCAAATTGGAATCCGGCAAGGACATGCACATCAAGATCATCCCTAACCAGGAAGAAAGAACTTTGACCATTATTGACACGTATGTATTACATTTTTAATAACATAAATTAGTTGTACTTAATTAAGTAGGTAAGTGTATTCATATTTTTTTTTTCAAATATATTTTTACAGCGGTATTGGTATGACAAAAGCTGATCTCGTCAACAACCTGGGAACTATCGCCAAGTCTGGAACCAAGGCATTCATGGAAGCGTTGCAGGCTGGTGCCGACATTTCTATGATTGGTCAATTTGGTGTTGGTTTCTACTCTGCGTACCTAGTTGCCGACAAAGTCACAGTCGTTTCGAAGCACAACGATGACGAACAATACTTGTGGGAGTCGGCCGCCGGAGGCTCGTTCACTATTCGTCCAGACCCTGGTGAACCACTTGGTCGTGGTACCAAAATCGTGCTTCATATCAAAGAAGACCAAACTGAATTCCTTCAACAAGAAAAAGTCACCGGCATCGTCAAGAAACACTCTCAGTTCATTGGCTATCCGATCAAATTGATTGTCGAGAATGAACGCACCAAAGAAGTGAGCGATGACGAAGCCGAGGAGGAGGAGGAAGAGAAGAAGGACGACGAAACCGAAGAAGACAAAAAACCAAAGATTGAAGACGTAGGTGAAGACGAAGATGAAGACAAGAAAGACGAAGAAAAAGATAAGAAGAAAAAGAAGACCATCAAAGAAAAGTTTTTGGACGAAGAAGTGCTGAATAAGACCAAACCCATCTGGACACGTAATCCAGACGACATCAGCCAAGATGAGTACGGCGAATTCTACAAGTCCTTAACCAACGACTGGGAAGATCATTTGGCCGTCAAACATTTCTCCGTCGAAGGACAGCTTGAGTTCAGAGCTTTGTTGTTCATCCCCAAACGCGCGCCTTACGATATGTTTGAAAACAAGAAGAAGAAGAATAACATTAAGTTGTACGTGCGTCGTGTGTTCATCATGGACAACTGCGAAGACCTTATGCCCGAGTACTTGAACTTCATCAAGGGTGTTGTCGATAGTGAAGATTTGCCTTTGAACATTTCCCGTGAAATGCTTCAACAAAACAAGATTCTCAAAGTCATCAGGAAGAACTTGGTAAAGAAGTGTTTGGAATTGTTCGAGGAGTTGGCCGAAGACAAGGACAACTACAAAAAGTTGTACGAACAGTTCAGCAAGAACTTGAAGCTTGGAATCCACGAAGACAGCCAAAACAGAAAGAAACTGTCCGACTTGTTGAGGTTCCACACTTCGGCCAGTGGTGACGACGCTTGCTCGTTGAAGGACTACGTCGCACGCATGAAGCAAAACCAAACCCACATTTACTACATCACTGGTGAGAGTCGCGAACAAGTTTCCAACTCTTCGTTCGTTGAACGTGTCAAGAAGCGTGGCTTTGAAGTCATCTACATGACTGAGCCCATCGATGAATACGTCGTACAGCAAATGAAAGAGTATGATGGTAAGAACTTGGTGTCTGTCACCAAAGAAGGATTGGACCTGCCCGAAACCGACGAGGAAAAGAAGAAGCGCGAGGACGACCAAGCTAAGTTCGAAAAGCTGTGCAAAGTTGTCAAGGACATCTTGGACAAGAAAGTCGAAAAGGTAGTCATCAGTAACAGATTGGTCGAGTCTCCCTGTTGTATCGTCACCTCTCAGTACGGTTGGACGGCCAATATGGAGCGTATCATGAAGGCCCAAGCGCTCCGTGACTCGTCCACCATGGGCTACATGTCTGCGAAGAAACACTTGGAAATCAACCCCGACCATCCGATCATTGAAACCCTCAGACAAAAAGCCGAGGCCGATTCCAACGATAAGGCCGTCCGAGACTTGGTCATGCTTTTGTTCGAAACCAGCTTGTTGTCTTCCGGTTTTGGACTCGAAGACCCGCAAGTGCACGCTTCTAGAATCCATAGAATGATCAAATTGGGTTTGGGCATCGATGAAGATTTACCGGTCGTGGAAGAAAAATCCGCCGATGTTGAAGCCACACCAGTCATTGACGCTGATGCTGAAGACTCGTCACGCATGGAAGAAGTGGATTAATTTTTTACGTAATAATTCCTATTTTTTTTTTTTTTTATTGTTATATTTTGAGACTGATCTGTCCATCTTTTTTTTTTTTACTTTTATTTTTTTTGTACTTCACATTTGTTTTCTAATCTGCAGCGCGTTTTATTTTATGTGTATGTGTATATTGCTTGGAGAAACTTTATTTAAAAAGGTCTGTTCTATTTGTGTTCAAAGTGTAATATAATTACTTTAAAATCCATATTTATTATACATCAAAACATTTTTGTTTACATAGTTTTTCATTATTTTTTTTAGCTCTTATTTATGTGTGTATTATAAATTGGTGTAAAGTATGGTCTATCAATGGTATAAATTACAGTGTAGAAACAAAGTTGGTTAAAATTACGTTTGAAAAAAAAAATACTTGTAGTTTTACAATAACATGAGAATCTAAGCAAGTTCTCGTAATCTACAAAGTAAAGCAGTTTAAAATACTTTTTTCTGTATGGACAAGTGCAAAAGTAAAATTGTTTAAGGGGGTAGATACATTTATTTTACTCGGTACTTAAATACTTCTAATTTATAAAGTTGGTTTCGTAATTAAATTAACTACATTTAGTAAATCATAAAATACTTTTAGAATACAGTATTTTAATTAATTACTAATTTTTTAGTTAATATTTATGTAAAACTCAATAATCTGAAGAATATATAAAAAAAAAATGATCAATGTAAGTACATAAAAAAACTGATGAAAACCAAAGCAAATTTTTTTAAAGTTGACCAAAAAAAAGTATCCAATTTTAAATAGTACAATTATTAAAATGATAATTTGGCAGGATATTAAATGTTAACAACACAAATATTTTAAGCATATTTCCCCTTAATCTTCAAGACAATTTGAATATTAAAGAACTATTATTAAAAAGTTGTAATCGTGTGCCGCTGTTATGTATCAATAGCTAGTCATTTAACATTTCATTTGTTAAGCATATTTTCTATTAAAAATTAAAAAAAAAAGTAATTGTCTTATTCATATAATTATTTTTTTTTAATACTTTCAAATAACTAAAATTTGTCTTTTAACAAGTATTTACAGTTAAATAAACCCCTTAAAAATGGCATAATAAAGTTCAAGATTATTTAATTAACATAAAAACTTTATACTTTTCACAAATAACTATGTAAAAAAAAAAAAACTCAAGTACAAGAATGGTAATGCATTTTACAACTGTACGTCTTCGCTTATGCGCATGCACTCTTATGAAAAATAAAAACCCTAATGTCCACTCGTTACATTAACAAACATTATACTTATAGTCAATTGAATAATTGTTTACGATCTGGTTTGACACATTAAACCCAACTAACATAAAACTTTAAGTAAGGCATATAAATACAGTAATGTAGCAAGTATCAATACAATACACTTAATAATATGAACATTTATTAAATATTTCAATTAGAAAATCATAATTTATATAAAAAAACAAAACATATGCTGTTTGCACGAGTAAAATATTTTGAAGGTTTCAAGAGTTTTCTGCTTCCGTAAATCTAAAAAAAAAAAATAATAATAATTTAATTATATGTTTTAAATAAGTATGACAAATATCGGTTGATTAATAAAAAAGACTCGTAAAATCAAAATTCAAATCTATTTCTATTTTTATAAAATAATAGCGGAAAATAAATCAAAAGAAACTTGCAATTTTTCATATTTGAAGTGGAGACAAAAAAGTTAGAATTTAAGTGTAATCTAGAAAAAACTCTGTCGTCAGCGCTGAAGAAGACGACATTGTTGTCTAGTCCTTTTTAGCCTCTTAAAAATAAATAGTACTTTTTACTACACGCCATGACTTACTTGCATTTAACGCAAGTGTAAAACACCGTTTGTCCTTCATCCGCCGATCGCAGTTGCATCGCGGCGTACGACATTTGGTTGTGTCCACAAGCGTTGCACCTTCTTTCGGCTATCGGTCCATCATCGGCATCGTCTCTGTTTTCGGTTTTTACGACAGTGTCCAAGTCTTCTATGGAATTTAAAACGATTTCGTACTCGGATATAGCATCTCCGTAAACTAAAACAAAACAAGTTATACAAATGAAACACTACTACATAATTCCATTGGTAGTATAAACAATTGCATATATTGTATATAATTATTAATATTTATAATTAACGTTTTAGAAATACTATATACTATTTGCAATGAGAATGTCATACTTTCTGGTCCGTAAACTGTTTTACACGAATAGCACTTCAAGAATTCTTCCATGCTCAACGGCGGAAGTATTGAACCGCATTTCGTACAAAATCCTGGATAGGTATAGATATTGCTGCTTGTCTCCATTTTATGTGTTTCTAGAAACATAATAAATATAATCAGTACAATTAAAATAGTAATTTTACAAGAAATAATCCAATTTTTCATAAACATAATATTATGTTTACAGTACTTGACACATTTCTGTACACTTTCTAGCAGTGTAAATACGGACTAATTAATTTACTAGGTGTTTTTGTAACAAAAAAAAAAAAACCTTTCTATTCTTTACCAGATTATACAGTGAATAATATTATCCAAACACCTAAATACTAAAGAATAAACACCTTTTGGCCAAAAAGGAACCTACTTGCGATATTCGATTTCCTTAGATACCACCAGAGGTCTTGTACGATATAGCTACCGGTGATGATCAAACTTAAAGTCAGATCTTTAGTTTTAAAAATTAATTTATAATATTACTTGATTATTTTTACTAACATTCGCTCGGGTGGAAGATTCATGTACAACTTTTAATTATAACAGACAAAAGTCAAAACTCACATGTTGATACAAAATATTTCCCGGTTTCATTTTATCTGTACTGATAACGTGACTAAAGTGTGATAACAATATATTGATTATATTAACAATTGATAACAATAAAAGTGATAACACAAATTAAATTACTCATTTCATTTAAATCTGTGATAAAAAAAACATCAATCCATGATTCAAAATTTCAACGTTTTTCTGTAGTTCGTTAAGCTGGGAAAAGAGACATTTTTAGTTTTTTGTTCTTTCCTTTTTATCGTAGTTAACAATATCTGTGAAAATACTGACTACACTGATTCATTCACACATAGCAGCCTGTCAATTTAATACTATAATATACGGTCAGTGTAATTTCCTCCACCCCCTACCTTTAAAACTTTTCTTAATAGAGAAATAAGAAAAAAAGAGGAAATTTAGACGAGTAAATTCTGTCGTGTTGATTTCACGCGGATTAACCGAAATCTAACCCTAAAAATACTAACCCTAAGAATACTTGTAAGCTTTGAAAAAATAAAATTATTTTCTAGTTTTTAGAAATACCCATGTAATTTGTTAAAACCAAAGTTAACAGTGTTTTGCCCGTCTCTGGTAATAATTATTATCTAATAATATGCGTATTATGATTTATGACGATGATTTTTTATAATGGTACTACGTTGTCAAGATTAAAAACAAATTAAATTAAATTTGTTAGCACTTGATATCATTTATTATTGTTGGTATTCTATCCAAAGAACTACAAATTACAAATAATAATTGTGCGATTTGTTGAAAATTCACATAAACATTCCACAAAGGAGGTACCTAATTATTTAAGTTTGTAGTTAGTCTTTAACATACTGTTCTGTCTGTACTATTTATTGTATCAACTTGTTGTCAAACGATTGTGTTGTTTCTTTCTGCCTTCGAAAATCAACAAGTTTGTCCTGGACGATTAAGGCTAGATATTACACTATAATAACAATGGTATTAACTATAAAATATCGATGAATATTGTTTATGGAATTTATGAACACAAGGCGTGTTGAAAATGATATAGTAGATCTGTTTATTGTCTAAGAAATATGAGTCATAACGTCTCAATTAATTGCTATGCGATATGTGCATTTTCAAATAAACAATATTAACAAACATACACTTATCATAATACAGGGTGATCCTACCGTCTAAAAATAGTTGTCCAAAACTGGTTATCAACCAGTCCCACAGATGAACAAACTGCGTTGATAAAAGAATCACCCTGTACAACAATATGAGTGTAACATAATACCATACACAGTTATTATTGTTTTATGATGTGTGGGTTACGCCCATTGTAGATAAACGCGTCATGTGCAATAAGTGGATATTCAATATGGAAAAAAAAAAAACAAAATTATTAGCCATTAACACCGGGATACTAAAAATTGACTTTGTTCTGACCTGGCCAGTGCGCGCTCTGGACAGACAGACCATCATAATATTATGGATGTTCAGGGTAAAGTCTGGCATTCGACAATGAGATATATGGGTCGGGAAGCCATTAAGAATTTCAGGCAGGGGTAGGGTTTTAGGGTAGGTTTTTACGATTTCCACGAAGCATTCCAAGGGCACCAGAAGCTGACAAAAAATACACAAAGTTTATTACTGAACAGTTTTTGCAGGGGCGGTTGTTGGGTTGGATTTTTTTTTAATTTCTAGTCTCTACTATATATCCACTTGATTAATCGACATTTCTAGACGTGGCTAATGTCGGTGACCATAAATGTGTTGAAATGTGTGCATTTAAAAATATCAAAATATGCAGTTATTCAATGGCTTTATCGAAACCGGTTAAACATTTACAGTCGAGTTTTTAAATAATTGTGATTCCACTATAAGAAAACACGCAGTCGTAAACACGCGAGCTTTAAACTTATAACCATAGATTTTAGTCATTACTCATTAGTATACATAAATATTATAATAAACAAGATTGCCAAGACGTGTCAATTACCATTTTGAATTTTCCGCCATGTTTGTGACAATTAGAACCTTATCACATGTTTGTGACTGTTATCACTGTTTATAACGAGTCAAGTCAATAGCCGAACATTTGTTTATTTGTTTTTATTATCCATGTTGATAGCGCAGAATCACAGATATACAGGGTGTCCCATTTTAAAATACTAATCGATTTTTCTCTAAAAATACTTATCCAATCAATAAGTTGCTTATTAAAGCTTTTAGAGTACAAAGTTACAAAAGTTTTAAAAATAGGGTCCAAAATTTAAAATGGCTGACAAGGTCAAAAACATGTTTTTTTTAAATGGAAACCATGTATTTTTTGTTAACCAAACAAATGTTCTTATCAAAACTAACAACTTTTGTAGGACATTTTTTTCGAAAAACCCATAATTTAATGGTAAACCATAATTGTAATTAAGTATATTTAGCTATTTTTAGTTTTGATATTTTATTTTTATGCATATGGTAACCTTGTCATGTGTAGTTACCTTGGTATGAGTGGTAACCTTGGTATGTGTGATAACCATGGGTTTTGTCTTTGTGATACACAGAACAGAGGATAACGTTAACGATAAAGATAATGATAATGTAATGGTAAGGTTAGGTTAGGAAATTATAAACATACCACGGTTACCACACATACCGTGGTTACCACACAAAACAAGGTTTCCATCCAGTACCACTACCATAGTTACCTCACAAACCAAGGTTACCACACAAACCAAGGTTACCACACATACCAAGGTTGTTTACTACACATGACAAGGTTACCATATGCATAAAAATAAAATATCAAAACTAAAAATAGCTAAAGATACTTAATTTACAAATTATGGGTTTTTCGAAAAAATTTTCCTACAAAAGTTGTTAGTTTTGATAAGAACATTTGTTTGGTTAGCAAAAAATATATGGTTTCTATTTAAAAAAAACATTTTTTTGACCGTAAGTCGGCCATTTTGAATTTTGGACCCTATTTTTTAATTTTTTATAATGTTCCCCTTTGTACTCTAAAAGTCTTTTATAAGCAACTATTTGATTGGATCAGTATTTTTAGAGAAAAATCGATTAGTATTTTAAAATGGGACACTGTATGTGTATACAATTTTATACACACCCATAAATCCGACGAAAATGGACGACGTCGGTTTCAATTATTCTTATCAATAGTGGGCAATCTAGTTTATTTACACAGAATGTTCTGTGTTGTTTATACAATATATATTCAGTGAAGTAAATCCGTGCTAGCATACATAATGGTGCTAGCATAATATTATGTACTATAGCATAGGTAGGTATGTACTATGTAGTAACTTGTTGTAATAATATTATTGTTGGCCGTGTGCGCGTACGACGCCTCTCGTCTTATCTCGTTCGTCCTACCCCTCGACCCACGTCTCGTTATCATTGCTGTAGTCATACCTCCCACCTCGGTGTCCGAATTATTGCAAACTACACAAGTGTTCAAGACTCAAAAGTGCGCCCATAAGATTCCGATTTGCGATACGTGACGGCTGTACGACGCTTTATAATCATTTGTATTGTTGTGTTTTTACATTTTTGTCCAACGCCTCGTTCGACAGTTTACACGTGGCTCGTGTTAACGCGTTTATTGTTTACTCGGCCGATTCGCAACAACAAAAATAATATTAAAATATTGTAGTTTGGTTTTTTTTTCTAGTAGGTACATACATACCTATCCCCGTCCTCGACACGGGGCATTGTACTGGCTTGTTGACATAAAAAAATATACTGCCACTACTGCCACTTTTTGTTTTTGTTTGGTGCGTTTGACAGTGTTACAGCGCCGTCCAAGGGAAATAATAATTGCATTTCAGCGACATCGTCCAATTAATCAAGGTTAGTCAACAGAAGTATTTTTTTTGGCCCGAGGTCGAATACTGTTGAAATTAGTACCTAGGTACTCGTGAAAGATCAATATCGATAGTACTAGCTGTTGAAAAATTATAATTAAAACAGTTAAATTCCTACACAGGTATCGGACATGTATCCCGAAGTGCCGAAAAGCGAGATGCCGTCGGCGCCGCCGTCTTACTCGGAGTCGGTAGGGGCTCCGCCTTACGGTATGGCTCCTAACTATTATCCTGATCACAATGCGGCTTCTATGAATTTGAAACCCAACGACGGTCAGCAGCAGCAGCCCACTCAAGTGATCGTTGTTCATGCTTCAGGTAGGTGTTTTGCGATAATTACATATTTTTAATTTACGTGGTCTAAAGATCAATATGGTTGTGTTTGTCAAGTTTCTCCCCCCCCCCCTAGCTTACACTAGTCGTGAGTAAAATATTATGTTAACCCGTAACTGGTGCCACCTTATAATTTAAATTCTATCGAGCTGCTTATCATTGTACGGTTTAGTACTAATGGGGGGTACTGTATGACGTTTTAACACGGACCGGTCCAAGGATTTCATATTAATCAGTTTGCTGTGAAGTTTTCGTATTATCGTCAAAAAAATAAAAAATCACATCAATTTTTTCCTGTGCGATTTCAAGAACTCTGACCCATATCATTTCCGGTTCCCCCTTAATATTTATGGTGAGATATATTTAACGACAGAGTTAGTTGTAAATTATCAATATTATGCAACTTGTAACTTGGTACCTCAGAAAATGTTTTTGACGATGGTTTAGGGAGAATTCCTGATATACGTAGAAATACTAGGCAGAAAAGTTACATTAAAATAGGTGTTTCGAACCGAAATATTTATTAGTTTAACCTGAATAACTCGTGTTTATTAATTTACCTTGTATAGTGTACAAACATGTTTTAATTTTCTCGTTTCAATGAATTTTAGCGATTCCTCCGTTGGGTCAGACACCAGTAACTCTAATATGTCCGACATGTAGAGCGCAAGTGGTATCGAGTATTCGCGAAGAATCTTCCAATGGGGCTTATCTTTGTTGCATGCTCTTATTCGTTGTCGGGTGAGTAAAAAATTGTATTTAAAAAAAAAAATATTTAAACAAGCCCGATATTGATTGTGTTTTTATTTATTTCAAGGTGTGCACTGTGCTCGTGTGTACCGTTTTGCATGGACTCGTTCAAGAAAGTGCATCACACTTGCCCAAAATGCGATACGTTCTTCGGCACGTACCAACCATAAGCTATCGTTACATATTATAAAGTATACAAACGCTATCAATGCATTAAGTATTCTGCTTAAAAAAAAAAAAAATTAAAATTTTTTTTTATGTGCTTAATATCTATTAGTATCTATTATTATAATTATTTATAAATATTATTTTAATTATTAAATCAATTTCTATCGTGAATTTCGCAGCTGATAATGGATCAAATTGTTGTTAAGGTTAATTTTTTACGCGCAGCCACAAACAAACAGTGTGCAAAAATCGTTGAATCGTATTTACATATTTTGTTATCTCTTCATGTTAAATTTTTATTGCTAGTTAAAATTAATATTACCACATTTTTGTCGACACACTTAATTAGTTGAAGATTACTTTAATTAATTATTGTTTTTTTTTTTTTTTTTATAAAATCAAACAATTTGAATGAAGAGAATATTTATTGTGACGATCAGTTGTATGTGACATTTAATGGCTGGCTACGTTCCTAAAACGGTAGTATTCTCTGTAATTCTATTCTAACGATACTTTTTTTTATAACAAATAATTTTAATTCAATTTCAAGTGATTAAATTATAATATTATTGTTATCAATAAAAGTTTACTAATATATATATATGAATTTTTAGGTTTAAGTTTTTAAAAATTTAGACCACTTAAACTAGTTATTTTAAAACCCATTTAATAATTTAATGATGTCCGTTTGAAATGTTTTTATTGCTTTGAAATAATATTAAAACTATGGCCATTAAACAGTATGCTTTTTAATTGAATTGAGCAAAAGATAAATTATAATGATTGTTCCTATTATTAATTTGATTGGCCATTACAAAATGGAAACGATTCAATGTATATTATTATGTTGTGAATTTAAATAATTACCATCTGTTCAATAATAAGTATTATGCAAATTTGGCCGTCGTTATGATCATAATCATCAAAATTACTTTTTAATTAAGACTATGCTTAATTTTAATTATTATTACTCTAAATATAGCGTATGTGCTTATGTACTGTATTATTAATATTACATTATTGATTATATATTATTTTAATGTTATAATATTAGATAACAAAAAAAAAAATAATAATTTTAATAGCTATAAAAATAAATGAATTGTTAATTAGAGGGTTAAACTATAAACATATTGTTGATTTAAGTTAAGATAAATCAAAAAATGCATTTAATAATATTGTTTGAAAAAAATCAATCTTAATTATTTCAACGATAATGGTGTCATAATATAATAATATGCTTCATCATTATTATCTTGCCACGTAATTGTACTTATTTTTTATATTTTTAATTGTTTTAAAAATGTTTAATTACAAACGCGATTTTGTATTCTGAATAATAAAATAAATTGCAATGAGCAAATTCTCATGTTTTAAAGTGATTATATAATTGACAAACTTATAAAGTTGGTCAAACGAGTTTTGTGATATATATATTTGAATTCCGAATGTCAATATAAAATAAATCCGTACCCAAAAAGTAAAAAGGGAAATTTAGTGATGTAACTTTAGGGAATTGCTTGAAACGGTTTTCGATTCAAATCTGAAATAACTTTGGGCTGTACAAATGTATGTAATCTTAAATATTAAGCAACGTAATGAGTTTTTTTTTCTTTCTAAATTTACGGCTCAAACTAAATTTGATCAGATTATTTTGTGAACAAAAACCAAACTACATACATTTTTAAACAATTATTTTCCCTAAATCCGAATTTATTTTTAAATTTTGTGTAGAATATCTATTTAGGTACACTTTGAATCGACTCCAAAGTTGTAAAATACACAATGCCGTTACCCGTTGAGTAACATTTTCAATGTATTGTATACTAGACTGTGTTTAAAAAAAAGATTTAATAGATTAAAAAATAGAAAATAGAAAAATATTTGAAATCGTTAAAATGTATAACTTGCTAAAAAGAAAAAGTCATCACAAAATATCATAAGAAAAATTTCCAAGTGTCATGTTTCGGCTTAAAGAAGATTCGTTAAAGTTTAAATTAGTTTTGTTTAAACATTTTCTTTGTTGATTCCAAAATGATATCGAAATTAATGTAGTTTTTTTTTTTTAACAAAAGTATTACACAGACAATTTTATAAGAAACTTGTTTACAAGCGAAAATTTGAGGGCACATTAGATTTCAGCGAAAAGTACCCATAAAGATAAGTGTTTTTTACAACTTTGGAGGGCATTAAAAAAACAACTAAGCCAGTTTAGAATTCAACGAAAAGATATTAATGTATTTAGATTGTGGTTTCAATAGCATGTTGCTCAATGGTGTTTGGGACTCCTTACGTTATTTTATTTGTATACCTTTATTATTCATATATCCTCCATTATAGTATATGGCCATAATAGTTTTACAAAAAAAGAACATTCCAATTCTATGAATTTATTGAGTATAATATTATAAAACTATAAATTATTTCAAGTACATATTGCGAGAGAGTAGATTAGCCTGTAGCATATTATATTTTAAAGTATAGGTAATGAGAATGATTTACGAGTGAAATGTAGCTTACTGTAAAGTTGTGCAAAAGTTTGACTTTTTGCGTTTACACCTTTCATCATAATATGTAAATATAATATAAACGATTCAGATTTGACAGGTCGGACTGGGGATGAAAAATTATCAACCCATGTTTTTTTCCAAGTACATCATCATTACTCATATGAGTTTATTATTATTTTTTTTTTTTTTGGTAAGGTAATTTTCTCTTTCGTCATATCGCCGCTGCTGCGGGTTCAATTTATTTTTCTTTGCACAAATTTTTGCTTTCCGTGCAATCCTCGCTCTACACGAATAGATTAAAAAAATACTGTCCACACACGCATACATGACCTTACAAAGGCACTTACTCGCCCTTTGATTGATCACTTAGGCGTGTAGGCGGGTACCTCTACCGTGTGTACTGGCTGTACATTATATTTTATTTGCGACGGTTTGCAATGTCAACACTAAAATATTTTCGCGACTAAGATAACGTGACTCTCTCTTTTAAGGCACGTAATAAATACAAATAAATATTTTAAAAAAATGTATAAATAAATGATAATAATAAAATATTGTATATGTTTCAAAAATATCATCACGTCGAAACATAATAATATTTTAGCTTCAGAGCAAACCTGAAGCGACAGGAAAGAACGAACGGAATATGTAAGAAGGCTACAAACCCAACCTTAGGATTGATTACTAAAGAAGAAGAGGCATCTAGATAATTGTTTTTACACATTTGCAACTAATTCGATTATTTATTAAAAAGTTTTAGCGCATGTAACTTGTTAATAAGTGATTTGTTATGGTGCTTTTCTCGATTTTCAAGGGAAAGGTGATTTTTTTTTTTTTAATTTTGGCTCAATAAAATACTTCACTGTACAGGTATGAAGTCTAATCTATAGAGTTATCACATAAATAAAATGGTTCAGCAATAAAAAAAAAAAATATCGTGAGCTTAAAAAAAAAAACCATCAATATTTTGCATCTAAATTTACACCTCTTTTACATTGCAATCGTTAGTAAGGAAAAATATATATATTAACTTTAAAAATATGTGTATGATTAGGGTAAATATTAATTTATATTAAGGGATTAATATTGATCAAAATATTTAAGAGTAATCAGTCAACCGATTTTTTTAGAATTTTTAAATTTATTTATCTCATGGTAAATAATAAATCCTCTCGTATGCACAACGTTCATATGTGTTTATATGAAATCTGAAGCTACATATTACTATTCAATTAGTTGACTTAAAATATTTTTTAAACATAAAAGTTTTTGTCCACCATCTCCATCTCCAGCTCTAGCTCCAACTCTATCTCGAACTCCATCTCGAAACTCCAGCTCCAGCTCAAACTCTATCTCGAACTCCATCTTCAGCTCTAGCTCCAACTCCATCTCGAACTCTAGCTCCAGCTCTCTCGAACTCTATCTCGTGCTCCATCTTCAGCTCTAGCTCCAACTCAAATCTCCAACTCCATCTCCAGCTCCAACTCTCTCGTACTCCATCTTCAGCTCTAGCTCCAACTCCATCTTGAACTCCATCTCGAAACTCCAGCTCCAGCTCAAACTCTATCTCGAACTCCATCTTCAGCACTAGCTCCAACTCCATCTCCAGCTCCAACTCTCTCGTACTCCATCTTCAGCTCTAGCTCCAACTCCATCTCGAACTCTAGCTCCAGCTCCTATCTCTAGCTCCGTAGCTCCATCTTCAGCTCCATCTCCAGCACAACCTCCAGCTCCATATCAAAAGCTCCAACTCTATCCCAAGTTTCAGCTCCAGCTCCGCAGTTCCATTTTCAGCTCTAGCTTTATCTCCAGCTCCGTAGCTCCATCTCCACATCTTCATCCACCTACAGTTCCATCTTTCACCAATCAATTAGTAGAAATACTAATTTGTTCAGGAGTTCTCAGCTTAGAAATGATGCTTCAACAAAAAAAAAGTGATTATATTTTACCACTTAAATTTATTAAATTTATTGAATATTGAATTATTTTTTATCAAGTAGATATTTAGTAACAATAGATCATATGAAAAATAATATATTTCTGAAAACGATTCGCTTGAACTTAATAGAATTAATGGTGACACTGTAGAACTGAAAGTTCTACATACTAAAAAAAATACTTAAGTTAAAACACATACTAAAAAAAAAAAATGAAACTATTGATAACAAATACAGAATCGCTTATTCAGATTGTGGTAATGTTTTACCGAAAGGAAATACATTTAACAATACGAAAATGGCATTTGATTATAATAATAAGTTAATTTCTCTATGGGTAAATTTTTTTTGAAGCCTTGAAACTATTATTATAATAATTATTTTTATATTATACTTAAATAATTATATTAAAAACTACACACTATTAAACCGAACCTAATAGCGGAAGAAAATATAAATTAATTATAAAAACAAAATATTAGTTTTAAACTGCAAGTTTTGGTAAAATATTTAAGTGATACGAGTTTTATTTAAATGGAAATTTAACCTAGCCAGGCATCTTTGTTAATGATTTATGAACGCAACTTTTGATAGTTAACCGGAATGTTTTAAGAGTATACCAAAAAGAACATGACTTTGTTTTCCGGGAAATAATATTTGAGCACACTTAACGCTATCAACGCAGTTTGTTCATTTGTGGGGAGCTGACAAAGTTAAAGAAGCAATTCGAATCTTTTTTTGTGTTTTAACTCATTATCTAGCGAACAGATATTTATATTTAAGAATTTTCGCAAAGAGTGACTAGTACACAACTAGTAAAAGTATTGACACATTTCTGTTTTTATAGAAGCATTGGAAATGAGCAAAACCACTTCTAGAATAACTCGACTACTCCAAAAGACCAAAATCGTGTGTAAACATAAAATAAAAGATGATAGATTAATAAACATGCGTCATAAATAAAATTAAACCAAATGAAACATTTATTTTTAAATATGATTATATAATATTTTTCTAGTGTATAACAGACATGAATGTTGTATTGTGTGGAGACATAATTCTTAGGGAAATCTGCTAAAAACTTGTTTTTTCTTAGACATTTTTTCAAACACGAATATTTTGGATTATTTGAGTTTTTCAATTAAATAATCATTAAACATAAATATATACTACCTAACTACCTTAAATTTAATACTATTTACTCCCTTGAAATATTATGTTGGTCAAAAAATGGGTTTAACGACGTTTAATGAATTCAAAATTAAATTTAAAAATTCAATATCAAGTATGTGTTTTTTTTGTTTATTTATGCAATCTGTCGAAATACACAACAATAAGCATAATAAATGTAGTATTTACACAAAGGTCACATCGACGACAGTGTGAAGAGGAACTTGGACAGAGTAAACTAATGATATTATTTACATTAAAATGTGTTTGTAAAAATCAAATTGTTTTTCATGGACTTTTGCAAAATGAAGGTCAACCGGGGTGCGGTTCCGACCTAAGGGGACGGGGGTGGATCTCGCCCCCGGATCGCCCCAACCTAAGTACGTATCCGAAGGTAATAAATTAAAAAATTACTTCATCAACTCGACTACTTAGAAATTTAATAACAATAATAATAATATGCGAAACTATGCAATTATTGTAAAACGATGCAGTCACGCGATTAGTAACTTGCGAATCGCAACAAGCCCTGTTAGTATAAATAATTATGTATTACCATTTTAAGGCCTGACAGTTAATTAACTAATAAACTGAAATAGAATTTTGAAAATTAGTAAACCCGACCGTATAAATTACAATGGAAATGTTGGTATTATCGACAACCGCGCACGAAGTTCGAATATTATTTTAATATAATGTAAATTATAAGGAACCTATTATTATTCCGTTTGGCCGAGTTTCAAACGTATCCGCGTCAATAGCTGCTATAGGCTTATAATGATATGCAAGTTATGTCTTTTGACACAATGTAAAAGATGCATCGGAATAGTGTACATCATACTATAAATTAGTTTGATTAACTACGGCTGTAGCTATAGCAAACAATGTACATTGTTTTTTTGGTGAAAATCGATTTCAAAACAAAAGTCTCGCTCTTTAAAAAAAATGCAACTTATATGTATATTATTATTTTCCATACGTTTTTTATTCCAAACAGCAAAATCGAATAACTACAAGTAGGCAAAATTAATAATTAATCAAATAATGGCCACAAAAGTGGTCAAATTCGCCATTTAATTTCATAATTATTTTTTTCGTCGGATCAGGTTCTTATTTCCGGAAAGGTCGCGCGTTTTAAGTAACGCATTGAAACAGTACTTTGTATTTTTGAAATTCCACGGAATTATTAACGGTTTACCTTCAGGACTGATATGTGAGATGTACGATTTCTCAGAAGCATATTATATTGTATTGACTCTTGGCAAAGTTATTATGTTTGCTCTGCTCCTTTTCGTAAGTAATATGTTTACTTGTCGCGGAGTACTTGGCCAAACGGAAGTTATTGACCGACTTTGCTGCTGTGTTTGTATGAAGGGCAATTTTCAAAATAAAACCACCCGTGCGGTTTTATACTTGGCATAAACTAATAGTTATGTCCCACAATTTTCAAAGCCATTTCGTTTTGTAATAACCGAGACTATTTGCTAAGCCAAATGCGAGTCCCCTGCGTGTATTTCCTAGCCCGTGGGAGTATCGCCTTCGACTACTTGTCGGTTTCAAATATAAAACTATAAAATGTTAATCAATTAATAACGAAGAAAAACAATATTATTATTTTCGGAAAGTCCATACAATTTTCTGGAGTTTGTCAATTAGAATAATTTTGTATACCTAATTTGAGTTTCTTTACCCAAGTCTTTGGGTTTTGCCTTCTCGGAAAGAAAATTTCTGGGAAAGCTACTAAAAACACCTTAAGTTATACCGACCAAGGCGAGTTCTAATAAGCCAACAAAACGAGAAATAAAGTCCTGGACGCGTTTAAAAAATGATTTCTCAATTTTGTTGTACATTAACAGTGGTTTACTTGTGTGTAATATGCTTTGTACACATTGTGTATGTTTAAACATACCAAAAACAAATGAGAAAAATTGTAATAAAGCTATGAAATAAATAGTAAAAATTAGTGATAATAATGTCGATAACTCAAATCAATTATGTTCCAAAGAGTATGATTGTAATAGTTTTGGATCATATTATTAGGTATCTTTCAATATGTTTAATTCCTTGTGTATCGATTAAAGAAAAACTAACAAATTATTAGTTAAAAAAAAAAAAAAAAATGTATGTTCGGATCAATGAGAAATGACAACTAGTTAATTTCAATAACTTATTGATGCAATAATTAAGAAACCACATAGCTACTTCACATGTCGCTTCGCAATCCACTCGATGAGTAAGACACAATATTATCATAACACATAAAATAGCTTTTAAGTGTCTGTCTCATGGTGTCACGACGCTTTGTCATATCTTATCTGGAGGTACTATAAAAGTTTATTGGCCAAGTGGCATGCGGTTTTTTAAACACTAGTCCACTAGTGTCAGATTGTCGGGCGAATTCGATACTTTTATAGAGTTTTTTTTTTAAAATTATATAATAAATATATATATTTTAGCGTTCAACCGAATTACGAAGCACACCGTTTTTTAAACTACCGTTTACAAAATCGCACAATAATATTCGCAGTTTTTTATTTTTTAAATTATATCATTATCTTAGTTTAAAAAATGTATCCCACAGATTCGTCAATGCCTCCACCGCCGTATCCCGTGCCACAACACGAAGCACAATCGTCTGTCATATTCGTTCAGAGTATGGATAGTATATTTTTCATTTATATTTATATATGTTTTTAATTTTTAAGAGCCACGGGGTGGGGTAGGGGCATGGCGGGGAGGTCACATGTCTGCAGGAATTAACGATTTAATGAAAATATTGCCCGTTGTCTGTCGATTCACCCACACACAGCAACCTGGAAATTGACTACGGTAAAAGTGTGTAATATTTTGAAGGGGTGGACTTTGTTTGGCCCAATAAAGTGCCTTATAGGTACGATTTGTGATCTATAGAGTAGTTGCTTACACGAAGAAATCGGTAAATCACAAAAAAATAAACACACATCTTTGTAAACCCAATACCTTCTCAGGTATTACTTTATACCGTCAAGTTTCACAAGCAATCAAATAATATAATATGTATATTTAATAGCATTTTTGTTGTATCTTTGTAATGTTTTTTTTTTTTTTGCTTTTTCTTAAGTGCTCTTAAGAGTAGAACGGCCTTTTAAGTAATATTTGAACGACTCACTCAGTTTCCGCGAACAAATTACTAATCATAGAAGATAAGCAAATCGTCAATGCAATAAAATCTATCAGTAAATAGTAATAATTATTATTATTTTTCTAGTATTATCTGACGTCGGTTGTGTGTACCTCGTTGAAGGAATAGATAAAACGGCGTCCGTTTGCTTATTGATTTATAAACGAATTACACATTATTCAACCAGAGCTGTAAAGAATACTTTTATAATATATTTAAGCAAATTTTCAAAATAATTTTCCAGTTTAGTATTTCAAATATACATTAATTATTTATGTATAGATTATTGTATTGATAAGTTACTGCCAGTAAATCGACTCTTGATGACGATGATGAATGTTGTTAATTAATATTATCAAAACAAATCACACAAAAGTAACTTTGTGTTTTTACTGAAATGTATTGCAATCAGTTTAGGGAAAATCTCATAGAACCAACATCTGTAGATTGAAGTACCGCAAAAAAAACTGAATATATTTAAATTAAAGATAAAAATAAAGTAGTAGATTTGCTACAAAATTGGCAAAAAAACAGTTTTCTTTTAAACCGCTAGGTTTGGTTAATTTTAAGTTGGACATTATTCGAATAATTTTCTATATTATTTTTTATTGTCTTAAATATTAAATTACTCATTTCCATCTTAAATGACTACACTAGTACAGTAAATTCAAAGTTCTTTAATACTGTTATCAAAATTAAGCTACAAACATTTTGTTTAGTTTTTACTATTTAGTCTAAACTGATGGACTAATTAGAGAGGGGGGGGGGAGGGAGCCGAACAAAAATATTCAGCTGTATTTTGGAATTATACTTTCAAAGAAAAAGATAAAACCGAATATATGTATGCCTGAATTCGCATAAAATATTACTATAATTTTTTTTTTTGTTGTTTTAATTTTACTTTATCTAAAAAAACGATTATTTAGATCCAATTGTTGGTCCTAAGTCGACTCGCTTGATCTGCCCAAATTGCAGGGCCGACGTGTTCACTAGGACTACCGAAAGTGCAACTGCCAAAGCTTGGATGTGTAGCTTTTTAATGTTCCTCACCGGGTAAGTTAGAAAAAAACATTTTTACTAATCGTTTTCAATAGTTTAAACGTGAATTATAAACAATTGTAATTATTAGCCAATATTTTAGGGTTTTACTGAAAATTGAAATACAAAAATCCATTGTTACAACTTGTGTTTTTTTATTAAAAGCTAAACGTTTATCGTTTAATTGCAGTAACTATTGGTTACTATTGGCTATTGCTGACTTAAATCACGGTCGACCATTTAAATTTTATATTAACTAAGACCAGAATCGAACGATGACATAAACGATGACCTTAACCTTAAACGAGTCTTGAAATTTGTTTCTATACAAGCTTGTTAATAAGATATGACTTTTGCACGTTATTTTAACTATTAATTACTAATTACTATGTACTCACCTGTTTTGGAAACGATAATAATGTTTCGGCAAAGAATAAACATATTTATTTTATTATACTATTACTTAAATAGTTATTAACGTATTGACAATATTACAGAGTTTAAAATAATTAATAATCTGTAATTTTAAAAATCATGAACACCATAACAACCAATTCAATAACAACACAACATTAATGTTTTCAAAATGTCAAAGATGTTGTAAATATTTAAAAAAATCGTGTTTTGGCAGACGATTTCACGTTTCCAAAGTATGATTTACACATTAAGTATTATGAAGATATGGCCAATGTTTTACTTATATTTTAAATATTATTATGATAATGTTAACAGTTAATATAATATAGTACAACTTGTACATTGAATAAACTTAATAATATAGCATGGGAATGTTGTAAATAATTCTTGAATATTAAACAGATAAATCTCATATAGTGTATAGTCAAGGTAATCTCGACGACGTTAAGCTTTAATGACTCAGATACGAGTTAAGTTGTTAATGGAACATAACAGACATACTTAATACTGAAAATAACAGGTCAGGTTAGGTTAGATTAGATACACCATAGTTGTTTGTAAATGTGAATAAACTAGAAAAATGACATTTAGAGTTCCGTTAGAGTACCAATGTTTTTTTCAGTTTAAACTAAAGCATATGTATTAGTTATTACTAAAAGTTCTCAATCGCCTATGACCACCTTACTTAACCATAAATTCTAATTTTTACACATCAAACGATAGTTAAAAAAATTGGATTTTATTAAATCTATGAATTACAAAATAGTACGAAAACGTACACTTAAATACAAAACAAACAACTCGTTTATGGTGTTTAAACAAAAAATGTGTACTTTGAAAATAAATTACCTTTTTTTTTTTTTTTTAACATAAAAGGTTTGTTTGAAAGTTAGTCTTGGATTGTTCCGTGTAAACATGTTTTATTGAGATTCGTGTCTCGAATTTCCTATATTTATTTCAAATACTTAAACAAATGTCTATTGGCCGGATTTTGACTCCAATGTTCTTGCAATAAACACCACAACACTATACAATTATTATTAGTATGTAATTAAGCGGTAATTTTTTATCAATTTGGCGGCTTGACATTAAATACATTTCAATTATAATAAAACAAAAAACAACAACAATAATTATCGTCTATAAAAAAAATGTAATTTGTAATACATTCAAGAAGTAGGTGATTGAGATATAGAAATCGAATTAAATGTCTAACAAAAAATTTCAATTATAACAATTTAAAAATACATAATGATATTATAGTGAAAAAAATGTGTTTATATTTTCATTACAGACTGTTTTGTTGTTCGTGTATTCCACTGTGCATGGAAAGTTTTCAAAAAGTCGACCACCATTGTCCGTCTTGTGGAGCTTACGTTGGTTCCTATCATGTCGATTGAATAAGACGCTTTCATAATAATTACCATACGCCTATGTCGGCGGATGTATTCGCAATATTATCATTTTCAAATGTATGTTTTATCTATAAATAGTAGAATTGTTACTATTATTATTTTTTTTTATGTATATACAAAATAATTAGAACTGTAGTTTAAAAAACATGAATTTCATCTAATTTCATCCGCTGGCAAGAACTACACATCAGCCAAGATTATTATAACGATCGTATGATGTGGGCTAAGTTAAAAAAAAAGAAAAAGCGCTGCCATTTAAACCGTGTGGATTGTGTTGTTTTTTTTTATTGTGTGGCAATGTCAGGTTGAAGATAATCCGTTTGTAAAAATCATGTTGATCTATTGATCTAGCCAAGAGGAGTTGCGAGCCCTGCTGAAAAATTATAACAAAATAAACAGTAATGAAATCAGCATAAAACATCTCTTTATGCGTTCACTTTTATACATTTGGCTATTTTTTTTTTTTAGCCAAAATTTAAATGTTTACTAAAAATCACACGGAAAAGTATTTTGGAGAAATCTAATAATTGGCAATCATTTCTACACAATTGTTAATAATTATTGAAAAACATATTTTAAAATTAAGTTTTGACAGGAAATCAAAATATATTAATAACACAAATATTGATCTTTATTTACTTGATATTACAAAAACAAGTCAAGTATTATACACTATTATTGTCAAAACATTTGTCTTATTTGATTTCCTTATAAATTATGACTTTAAAATAATATTGCAACAATTATTATATTTTGACCACGTGGTTTACAATTCGAATGAAAGGCATGTTTTAGAGCATTGTTAATACTGTTTATTTTATTATATTTTTTTTTGTACTTGGTATTTTTATTTTAAAGAGAGGGTTTTCAAAAAAACCCTTCGTTTTTTTGAACAATACTATTTGCTGAATTATATGACATAATATAATTATAATGTTGTACAAAGGACTGGCCCTTAATTATAGTCCTTAATCTTGTTTATCCTTTTATTCCATTGATAGCTGATGAAAAATGAAATTCAAAAAATAACTATTATTATTTGTACAATATTTGTTTGAACATTAGTATAACTAATGTAATTAGTAAGTATTATAATTTTTATACTTAGAAAATTTATATTTTATTCAATTGAATTGTGAAATAATGACAGGTATGTAAGATGTTATAATTTCAAGGAACTTGTTAAATAGGTACCATATTGTTCTTAAATAATGCTAATCTAATTTTTTAAATGTTATATACAAATTTATATACATTCATTTATACATAAATACAGTTAAACACTGGTTTAGAGCGGGTCGATTGTTTTGGTTAAACGGATACATTTTTTTATAAATAAAGAATTTGTTTAGAACTTGTAGGCGGTTCAAATGAAGCAATGAAATTGAATACATTGTCTAACCTACAAAAGTTGTCTTACAATTTGTAGTCAAAGCAATATTTTAGAGTTGTTTCACTTTTGAATCGAGGTGTCAAATTATGATTCTGATTTTTATTATTTTTTTTTTTTGCTGATTTGAATTTTGCATAATTTTATCATAATGCAAATAAGATTGAGATTGGTAAACAAATTAAGATTCATCATTATTATATGTAAGCGATTTCGGACAACACAACCGCACTAAGAATATCGACTGTTTGTAATTTATTTTTAATTTGAACAACTAAAAATAAAAAAAAAAACGGTTTTTTATTTAAATCTAAACTGTTTTAACTTAAAACTACAAGACCACAATAGAGAATTCTTAAAAAATATGCTTTTAAAAAACGTAGAATATGCACCCTCTTGGGGGGTGTCTATTTGTATGTCTTAAGACGTTGTCGACATTACTATATCACTTCACTGGAATGGACAAATTGAGTTTATATTGTCCCAAGTCGTTTTTGGATAAACAAAAGTGTAAACGACAACCAATCACGTGACACACACACACACACAGTAGGAAAAGTGAAGACAAATAAAACAATTATAATTGAAAAACAATATTGTCAATGAGTCAGCGTTAAATTAGATTATTTCTTCTAGACATATTATGTCATTTAAACCATAAATATAATTGAGTTAAGTGCGTAGAACGCTTGTCCTTGTGTTGGTTTTGGCTTTGGCAAAATTCAGACAGCCTTTTTGTGCATCTCGAATTTCAGTCGACTTTTAATTATTTCTTTATCGGTTTTCATTATTTTTTTAATCATTTAATTCAGAGTGTTTAGCTAACACTGTCTGTGACACAGTCAATTTTATTAATTTTTAATTTTTATTTCTAGTAAATTTTGTGCAGTGCTTATGGCATTGCGTATTCAAGTTGAAAGTTAATTAGACGATTACAAATGTTACTGTTATTAAAGAATAACAAATATTATATATTTTTATTTTAGCTTTTATTTTTTTACTATTATACAGAGTGATTTATTAAGGAAATGAGTCCTTTTTCCTTAAAACAATTGCAATTTAGTAGTTACCTTTTACTGTTATTCTTATATCTTATTAATTCTTAATGTGATTACTCAAAACCTTATAATATTCAGTATGCTACTCTAAAATGAAAAGGTTAATAAAATATTATACCTACCTACATCCACGTTACTATTGTGTATTATAGTTTTATAGATAGTTATATGTTACCGTTTAAGTTTCAAAAGTTGATTGAGTTCTAACAGCACTAAAACAGATGAACATTTGGAAATTGTTGAATTACATAAACAAAAAAGGTTTCAAAAAGAAAAATGTACGAAATTGCTATTGTTCCCCAAGACAAAGGGGGCATCACTTTAAGTTGAACATTTTGTCTGGTCAGAGTTCAATGGACTTCTCCGGGGTTTTCTTTATTCCATCCTATAAGTATATGATTGAATAGAAACCGATAAAGTTGTATAACCAGCTTAATAGACAATAGTAGATCGTATATAGGATTTAACGCTTTAGTTGAAAAAGAAAGTTCTAATATGGCTGTTGATGGCTATAATGGACAATGTAATTACAAGTTTTGACTTCAATATACGGTTGAAACGAAACTGCGTATTACCCACCTTAAGTTCGCCTTATCTAACAGTAAAAATGTTCAATGGAGTTAGTCTGGGTTTTTTTCGGTGAAAAAAAAAAAGTTAAGAGAGCCAACACAGCTTTCATATTTTTTTTGGATGCATGTATATCACAATAAACTAATACTATGCTAGGTAATAGTAAAACAATTTTTTTCAATGTAGTACTTAATTTATTCGTATGAAAACTATTTTAGTTAACAAGCAAAATACAAACGGGTGTGTGTTATTGTAAAATCATTTTCGGAGAGAACACAATATTGGCGATGTCATAGTAAAAAACATTCCTACATAAAAATGTATACAAATTAAAAAAATAAAAATAAAGCCAATAAACGCATTAAATTGCCATATCCAAAAACCTATTGTAATCCAAACGAGTCCTGTCAGGATCAGATTTGGCGGAAGTGGATATTTTTTGTTTCTTCATTTTCATTTTTGTTAGAACTCGTTTCTGTAACAATATATTATACAATAACTTACACAAGTTACAATCGCGGTTTATAAAACACAAGAGTGAAACAAGCGAACGTTTTTCCAAAATGGAATTATCTGATTGCGCTTCTAACACTACACCAAATATTATTTGTTCCACAAATGTTAAAAGTTATTACAGTCAACATTTTCGAACACCACTACCCATTGCGCTATACTTACCAGATCATAATACTTGTTTTTAAATTCATCAAGTTCTTTTTTCGTTTGCTCCATCACAAATCTGTACTCCGCCGTGGTCTGTTCGCTGGCAATCAGTGCTCCTGACAAGTTCTGGTTGAGAAAAATAAAGTAAACATAATATGTACATATGTATTTAAGTTATGGTAAAAGCAAAAATACAATAATATATAAATTATATTTTTAAATTTTAAAATAATATTTTTACTGGGAATTAAATGCGTATTGATAACACTATAAATGTATTTCCATAACGTCGGAAAGCGTGTAAAATATTTAGATATTATTTTTGTAATAAAAAACATATTTAAAAAAAAGCCCATTCAGTTTTAGCATACTGCTAGCCAAGGAGCACCTGGAATCAGCTGATTTCCTGAGTGTTATCATCTATCTATCTATCTTTATATATATATATTTCTTCTGTCCGTGTGTAAGTATGCAAACTCCTTCTAAACGGCCGGACAGATTTTTATGAAATTTTGTGCGCGCGATCAAGTTGATTCGAGAAACGTTTTATTGTATAGGAAAATTGCATTCCTGTTAATATTAAGATTAAAAAAATATTTGAATATTTATTTTTTGTACATTTAAAAAAATATACCTATCGTAAAAACGATTTGTGTTTTTTTCACTCAAGTTTGACCCCCAAGGTATAGTCTGTGCTGTATAGACGCAGAACAGGAATTTAATATAATATTTTCTTATAGCTTTGAGGTCCATTTCGACTTTTTACGCTTCTCGGCAGTTTTTTTTTATGTCTGCCTCACGTTTTTTTTTTCAATTCTCCAATTAACCAACACCTAAACTCAAAACGAGTATTCAAGCATTGTATTCTAATACAATTGCTGAGGGATCGGCTTAAAAAATTTGTTTTAGCATTGTATTTATGTATAATACTGACAATTTAATAGTTGCCAAATTAAACACAATTAAATACAATGCTTAAACAAGTTCTTACGCCGGTATTTCGATGGTTTTCGGACCTGAGACTACAGTGTCTCAATGTCTGCAAAAGTCCTGTAATGGCCTCGAGACGTTAGCTGACTAAATATGATACGGATACGGATATATCCCCAAACTGATCGAACAATCAACAACAACATTTCTATTCGTTAAGCCCGCGATAATGATTAAAACGTCGCCGTTACTTTGACTTTGTCGTCGTTGTTCATCAGAGTCCTTTTGATGTGGTTCATCTCTTTGAACGTGTCCATGCCCGGAAGCTTGACGAATTCTTTTTTCAAATTTTCGTATCTCGCTTGGATTTCTCGAACTTGTAAGTCTTTGTCGAACATCTTAGTGCATTGCTCGAGCAAACGTTTCTGGAGGATTCTCACTTTGACAGTCATCTCGTACGCCGGCGGATCAGTGTTCTAAACAGATTATGTCTATCTATATTTTTTTTGTTCATTTTATATCATAGCCGTATAGTAAAAAATATTAAAGAGCATGCACGACACACGATTTCGATACGCCGAACCTTTAAAAGCCGCCACGGATGAACGTTTGTCGGTTTCATCAATGTCTCCTCCAGAGCACGGCATTTCATCCGCTCTTTGTTTAGCTTTTGTTCATATTTTAGTACCTCTCGTCTGAGGTCCTGAACACTCGAGATGTTTTTCACCAGCAGGCGTTTTTGAGTGCTGCGCGCCCATTGGAAATGACGAAACACAATGTAAATAATAATTTAATTAGTCGAGTAAACAAAGCTAGTAGTATAAAATCATGATGCCGGTCGACAGAGACAGAGATGCGCGCAAACAAGAAGAAAAATCCAAAACGAACTGCGTTTACTCCGGCGATAAATACTATGATTACGTTAATAAATATTATCCAAAAGGGGTTAGGTTTTAATGTAAAATTATAATACAATTTGTATGATTAAATTACAAAAGTATACGACTGGAAAAAAAAAAAAAAAGAGAGAGAAATACGTTACAAACGGTATCGATTAATAATCGAAAGGAGAGTTTTTTCCCTTTCATTTTTTTTTTTGTAATAATTTTATTAAGTGATATTAAAATAAAGAAACTACATAAATACATAATTAATATTTGAACCATTCTATTGTCGAGTTTAATGTTTCGTTTGAAAGCTGTGTTAATATTGATTTTGTGAAATGGCTGACATTTTATTGCGGTCCATCTTGAAAGCGTAAGGTTAGGTTTAAATATGGTATCAAATACATTTTGAATTACTGAATTTCAAATAACCTATTATTTTAAATACAAATGCATTTTGATCCTAATTTAACTTATAGTTTATTTTCTATAAATAGATAATATATTTTCACAGATAATTTAAAATACATTTCATTAATAATGTTAAAAAAAAAAAACGAATTTTTTAATTATTATTTAGACATTTAAACAAATAAACCTAACCTAACCTTTCCGTTGAAGCGAGTACATTACATTATGACCGTGTCTTATGATCAGCTGATTTTCTATCTCTTATCAATCATCTATTATCAGCCGATTCTCTTATCAATATCGTCTACTATCCACGGGTTCTCTTATCAATAACCTCTTATCGGTCATGCGAGAATTAACGATTTTCACTTGAACCAAAATTACACCACCCCTCCCCCCCCCCCATTTGGTGTCGCAAAAGCGTTACACACATTTTTGGACGGGCATGTTCACGTCGAAATTGTTTCTTAAGAGCACATTTTAATCGTGCTTCGACAAGACCCAACCTTAAACGTTTCACTTCGATTTTCAGCAGCCTTATGTCGTCGATTCTTTTATGATATTCCGCTTCTCCTCTCCCGAGTGTCGTTCTCAGCACGTCGTTGGCGTCTTTTTGTTTCATCAGCTCCTCGTTGCGTATGTTAATTTGATTGATGAGCTTGCTTTTGTCTGCGTTCGCCTAAGACGGTTTAAAGGCCATTACTTTTACTATACAAACACACACAAGCACACACACTGAGACGTCGATACAATAATAATAATAATAATAATAATATGTAAATAGAAGTTTACCAACTATTATGCATGCGAAATGTAAAATATAAATAACTTGGGTATGCACATAACTTACACGCGCCAAGCCGATACGTACTTGATTATTCTGTTTGTGAAGTTTTTCGACTTTCATTTGCAAAGCTCTTAACGTCGTGCATGTCGACTTTTCGTTATCGTTTTTCTTTATTAACGTTGTTGTCATCTCTTGAATTTTGTTTTCGAATTCATCAATCTCTTGCTGGCATTTTTGCAATTCCTTTTCCGTTTGCTTCAACGCTATATTGCGGAAAAGCCAATGCGCTTAGTTGCACGTTGCATTTAAAAACGATTAACACCACCAAGTAGTACACGCACTTACTCGTGTCGTTTTTGGTCAGTTGAATCTCTTTGTACGCTACATACTCCTTTTGTTGTTCCAGCTGTTGAGCAGCCATCTTCAATTTTTCTTTCATTTCTTCGGCTTCGTCCTGAAACACGGTCAAGTGGAGTATATAAGTAGAGTATTCGAATCGAAGGCCTTGGGTTTAAAACTAATACTATCTTTCCCCTTGAAAGGAAGATATTGGATCATGAATAATATATTCCTGCTCTCTTCTTTCCATTGTGTCATACAAAAGGACACCATTCACTCCAGCCCAAGAATAATACTTAAAAAAGCCAGAAAACTATTTTTTCCATTGGATTATACGACGAAAACAAAATGTAGACTATTATTGTCAATGATAACTCATTAGATACAGTACATATAGTTACTAAATTTATATATTCCATCAAATTTTTAAGTCTTGAAATGGGTTTTTACTGCACTGAACTTAATTAATGCTACCTTATAGCAAGGCACTCTGATTAGAATCACTTTGTAGAGTCTACTGGGAATACCTATCAAATGGCAACATTTTGTTTTAACGCCGTTTGACTTTTAATTAAAAATTATACTTAGTCGAAATGCAATTAAAAAAAAAATTGAACTACTTAATTATTACTGGACTAGGTGATTTTTTTATAATACCAATCGTAATCGATTTATTAAGTCATAAGAAATAACATCTAGTCAAAGTTCTTTTTTTTCAAAACTAGTTTAGTTACTTTTTTAACTTATAAGTATCATAATTAATTTAAAAGATATTAAAAAAAAAAAAATTAAGTTTAATTTACAGTTAAAAGTTTAATCCAAAATGTCTCTTATACAAATTACCAAGTTTGTTGGGTATAGTTGTTTGATATGGTTTTCCTAAAAAATATCTCTTTAGGTATACGATTAATTACAGGCAATTATTTGACAATGCTCACTTTAGCTTCCGTGAGGTTCTTAAAGTTTAGATTTTTTTCAGTTTTCAAAGTATACAATTCGTGTTCTTGATCTTTCAGTTTTAGGCATTTGCTGTTCAGTTCTTTTTTTAATTCTCGTACTTCTAGATCTTTGCGATTGCACTGTACACAGTGTTCGTGGATGTTTTGTTTTAGTACAACGATTTCTTGATCTAATCTGGTTTGACAAAAGAAGAAAAAAAAGAAATATAAGACAACAACATTTACCAGAAAAATGACTAAAGGTCTATTAGAATTACTATTGAAAATACGCTATACTTTTCTTTGTTTTTCACCAAAGACGTTATTCTTTGTTCGAGCGAGTCGATGGTTTTTTGCGAATCGTTGTTTTCCACTTCCAAAGCGCGCAGTGTCGTTTCTTTAAGGTTTAATTTTTCCACACAAGCGGTAAGTTGTTCTGCAACGTTTCGAGAAATTATTATTGTTATGGCGAAAACCGAACTTAATAGCCGTGTTGCTTACCGTTCAATTTTACAGAGTTTTTTTCCAATAATTTCTTCTCTCGTCGTGTCACTTGCAGTGCGTTTTTCAATTTGTTATTTTCTTCTTGTTGTGCAACCGAATTCTTCTCCAAGCTCGTGATATCGTTTTCTAGGGCTTTTTTGCTTCTCGACACGCTCTCAATTTCTCGAACCGTTTCTCGGCGTTTCCTCAACGAAGACTCGTGAGTTGCCACCAGACGTGTCATCTCGGATTGAACTTTAAGCAGTTCCGATTCTTGACACTATGATTTATTTTTTTTTTTTTAAACAAATTTTGCACATAAAACGATTTAGCCGGATAGATATTAGATACCATAAGATAGTGCACTCCCCGCTGAAGCAATGTAGTTGCTTGGAAATTTAAACAAATTCAAAAAAAAAAAAAAAAAATGCCTTTATAAGAAATCATTGAACAAATGCCTGTAAAATGTTTTTGTACAATAGTTTCATTCCTGGAATATGGGCACTCTGAGTTGAGGGAGGTTCGGTTACCAGTAAAATGACCCAAAGAACCCGATTGGTTTAATCTAATCTTGCACGTTATTCGATAAATATAAAACAAATCTGACCCTTCACATTAAACTTTCCCGTTGGCCATCAATTAACATAGAACAGGTGCGAGTTACACTGTGAGTGTGATAATCTAAGATAAATTACTGGATCATTTATGCAAGTGTAAACTTTTTAACTCACGTTTATTTTTTCCTGAAGTCTGTCGATTTCTTCCCCGTTGGCAGCTCTTAGTTCGGTTTTGATTTTTAATTCCCTATTGAGTTTCTTTATTTGTTTGTCGTAAGAAATATTTTTACTATTCAAAACGCTGTTTGTGACCTTGTAAAACACCGAAGAATTGTTGCAATTTTAACCTACACAAAAATACTGTATATACATATATATTTGGTTTCACGTTATTACTTTGAGTTCTTTTAGGGTTTCGTTTATTTTTTCTAAGTTGTCTTCGGATTTTTTCAAATGATTTTTCGTCGCTCCGAGGTCAGACTTAATTTTCTCCATTTCGTCGTTATTAACTTTCAGTTGTTCTTCTAGCTTCTCTTTAGTTTTGATTTCCTTCACGAGCTGATTGCTTTGAGCCTATTAGTAACAAAAAAAAAAAAAAAAAAATAGATAATAGCTTTTAAAACATGATACTGTGCTTAAACTGTATAGTTGCTATTTAGGTGGATACTACTAGGGTTCATTGTCTGCGTGGTACTAATTGTTCGTGGCTCTTGTTACCCAAGTATAGTTATCAATATACCTTCAGTACCTGTATACTTTGAGCCTAAAAATTTAATTTGGCAAAAGTGTGATTTCACCTTTTTTATGTTTTCTTTATAAAAAAAACTTTTACTTCAGATTTTTGAGATTACTCTATAGAGCAACATAGTTTTAAGTTGTAAGATATGTAAATGTTTTAATTGTTTTTATCAATTTTGAAAGAAAAGTGTGAACATTATAAAATGTTTGCCTCCATGAAGTACCTTATAGGTATGTTTTTGATTTATAGACGGCAAAAAAAAAAAACAGCAAAGGAATAAAGGTTAGGTAAATTTTAGGTTTCTGACATTAGTAAGATAGAACTTATTATTACAATAATTTTCTTCGAAGTTACAAGAAATCAAAGTTAAAATTATCATAATGTTTTTTTTTAATTTCTCGATTTTAAAAGTAATAGTTTGATATTTTTTATGATCTATAAAATATGACAAAAACCTTTCGATACAAAATTTTCAATTCTTATGTTAAAAGTACTTTTTTAAAAGCATTAGTGACGTTTTTAAATTGGCTTCATCTTAAATTGTTTAATACCTACTTCATAAGAACTTTAAAGATAAAAAAAACACAATTTACGTTGAATACACTTTATGATTTGTATTAATTGTTTTGAATACACTGAAAATAATAAATCTAATAATAATTGTTTTAATAGATTTTACCTATGTCAAAAAAAAATGTAGAATGAACTATACTTCACAAGTTATAATAGTATAACACGTTTACATGACATATTTAATGTATTTTATTACAATTTTTAAACTAGATACAATTTGTGTATATTAAAAAAAAATACATATAAATTGGTATATTATCTGAGTTTCAGTATTGCTGAATTTAACGATATTAGCCACTTTGAAAAGGAGTAACATAACTCATTGTGTCTGTTTGCATGTTGTAATAAAAACGAAGTTCCAGCAAGTGGCTGCTTATGTATGTTGTGTAATAATTTAATTTTCTTACATACAAATCGTACAGACTACTTGCAGTGTTACTCTTTGTATACTCTTTCATTAAGTTGTCAATGACGAAGATCTCATGTTCTGGCGCACAGTTTTCATTATAAATGTTCCCTAAAGCATTAACAAGTATCATGGTTTGCCTTGTTTCACCCAGTTCTGTGTCCCTGTCTTCCTTACGTGGATCGTATATCTTGAGAAAATTCCGAATCGACAAAAAAATTTTGTAATATGGACTCGGAATTATACTTTTGTGAAAGGAATGTATCAGCTTAAGTGTACTCACAAGTTTCGACATGATATTCACACCATTTTCGATACAAGCCTTTAGCTTACTCCAACAATCGTCAATGTCTGTCTTCGTGTATAGTTCTTTGCACACATCACCCGTATGGATCGTTAACCAGAGAAAGTCATACAATTCTTGTCCGTAACCGCATCCCATTAGGTAAGGGAAATTTTTCAACTTTATGATTGGAGTTAAAGTGTTTCTATTACTAGTTGCATAACCCTTATTCATCCAGCCAAATTCGCCGTTGAACTCGGTGAACAGCATTTCATTCCAATGTAGTTTTTTACTAATATGTTCGATGTGTTGCTTTAGTTCGGCAGAGATTGCGACATCACCCATCGTCTCGTGTTTCATACATAGAACGATGAACGCAAGTATAAACATAACGATAAAATGTTTTGCCATGTTGAATACTTCAAGTAGACACCAGAATTTTTTCTCGACAAAACCAATATGACTTGGCTGTTCTATGGCGAAAAATAAATTGTCTAAATTAACACGATTTGTACCACGTAGTCGGTAACAGCACCTCCAGCAAAAACGAAAACAGGCACGTGCGCATTGTTTGCCTAAGACAGTTGTTGTTTAAATTAAAATCCATTAAAACGTCAAATTGCATACTGCCACCAATGTAATGTCACGAGAATTCTCACTTTTTTGTTCAGTACCACGTATAAACTAGCTGATATAAATCGTATAAAAAAACACAGCCTAAATCAGCACAGTTTAAAGCAGGTTAATTTAAAACCTAGAGGGCCCTATACCGTCCAGAAAATTTTAGTTATTTTTAAACAAACGTGTATTTAAACTACACGTTTAAAAATGATATACAATTTTAATTTGAGGCTATTTACGGATAGAGGCAAGCCTAATAAATATTCTATATAAATTTAGATACGATCCTACCGTTTTTTGCTAAGTTATAGCAAGTGAAAGTTGAAAGATGACAAACCGGCAATTTTTTTTTCGGGTTTTCTCAGTTTTGGAGGTGAAAAAGTTGACTTTTTCTACTTCTGACCGATCAAAGTACCAATTGCATACGATTTCTGATGTATAGAGGGGCTAATCGGCCCAGAGGAAAAAAGTTATCTTACTTACAGGCATACAAAAAAAAAAAAACCACATATCTTTGTAATACACCTTTTCAGCTCCGCATCGAAGCTAAAAACCTCACAGGCGATGTAAAAAAAATACACCAAAGTTAAAATTATATAATATCGTCAAATATAATATTATACTTACAGCCAAATCGGCTTCAAGGTCTCTGACGTTGTATTCTGTCGCTTCTAGTTCTTTTTTTTTTATATAGAGCATCATAGTTTTCAGTTGTAAGATATGTAAATGTTTTATTTGATTTTCTAAATTTTGAAAGTGAAGAGTGAACATTTTAAAATGTTTGCCTCTATGAAGTATCTTTCAGGTATATTTTTGATTTATTGACAACAAAAAAAAAAAACAGCGGAGGAGTAAAGGTTAGGTGAAATTTAAGTTTGAGACTTAAGTTGTACAGAACTATCATGCATAATAAAATTTTATTATGTGAATGTTAATTTTCTTCGAAGTTTAAGTTGAAAAATTATCATAATGTTTCTTTTTTAATTTCTCGATTTTAAGAGTAATAGTTTGATATTTTTTATGATCTGTAAAATATGACAAAAACCTTTCGATAACAAATTTTCATTTCTTATATTAAAAGTACTTTTTTAAAAGCATTAGTGACGTTTTTAAATTTGCTTAATCTTAAATTGTTTAATACTTCATAAGAACTTAAAAGTTAAAAAAAAACACAATTTACGTTTAACACACTTTATGATTTTTATTAACGTTTTTGAATACACTGAAAATAATAAATCTAAAAGGAATTGTTATAATAGATTTTACCAATGTCAAAAAAGAAAATGTAGAATTAACTATACTTCATAAGTTATAATAGTATAACACGTTTACATGACATATTTAATGTATTTTATTACAATTTTTAAACTAGATACAATTTGTGTATATTAAAAAAAATATATAAATTGGGATATTATCTGAGTTTCAGTATTGCTGAATTTACTGATATTAGCCACTTTGAAAAGGAGTAACATAACTCATTGTGTCTGTGTGCATGTTGTAATAAAAACGAAGTTCCAGCAAGTGCCTGCTTATGTATGTTGTGTAATAATTTAATTTTCTTACATACAAATCGTACAGACTACTTGCAGTGTTACTCTTTGTATACTCTTTCATTAAGTTGTCAATGACGAAGATCTCATGTTCTGGCGCACAGTTTTCATTATAAATGTTCCCTAAAGCATTAACAAGTATCATGGTTTGCCTTGTTTCACCCAGTTCTGAGTCCCTGTCTTCCTTACGTGGATCGTATATCTTGAGAAAATTTCGAATCGACAAAAAAATGTCGTAATATGGACTCGGAATTATACTTTCGTGAAAGGAATGGATCAGATTAAGTGTACTCACAAGTTTCGACATGATATTCACACCATTTTCGATACAAGCCTTTAGCTTACTCCAACAATCGTCAATGTCTGTCTTCGTGTATAGTTCTTTGCACACATCACCCGTATGGATCGTTAACCAGAGAAAGTCATACAATTCTTGTCCGTAACCGCATCCCATTAGGTAAGGGAAATTTTTCAACTTTGTGATTGGAGTTGAAGAGTTACTTCTACTAGTTGCATAAACCTTACTCATCCAGCCGAATTCGCTGTTGAGCTTGATGAACGTCATTCCTTTCCAATGTTGTGTACTAACAATATGGTTGATATGTTGCTTTAGTTCGGCAGAGAATGTGACATCACCCATCGTCTCGTGTTTTATGCACATAACGATGAACGCAAGTATAAACTTAACGATAAAATGTTTTGCCATGTTGAATACTTCAAGTAGACACCAGAATTTTTACTCGACAAAACCAATATGACTTGGCTGTTCTATGGCGAAAAATAAAATGTCTAAATTAACACTATTTGTACCGCGTAGTCGGTAACAGCACCTCCAGCAAAAACGAAAACAGGCACGTGCGCATTGTTTGCCTAAGACAGTTGTTGTTTAAATTAAAACGAATATAAACGTCAAATTTCATACTGCTACGAATTTAATTTTCACGAGAATTGACACATTTATTGTTTAGTACCACGTATAAACTTGATTTAAATTAAAAAACCCCATCATAAATCAGCACAGTCGCTAAACCAGGTCAATTTAAAGTCTAGAAAAAATATTTAGTTATTTTCATATACGTTTAAAAGTGATTTATAATTTTTATTTGAGGCTATTTACCGATAGGGGCATGTCCAATAAATATTCTATACAAATTTAAATTAGATCCTATTGTTTGTTTTTCGCTGAGTACCAACTGCATACAATTTCTGATATATATATACAAGTATTACTCGAGTGCTTATCGGCCCAGAGAAAAAAAGTTATCTTGTTTACAGACATACAAAAAAAAAAAACCACACATCATTGTAATACACCTTCTCGGCTCCGCATCGAAGCTAATAACCTCACTGTCGATGGAAAAAAAAAAACACCAAAGCTAAAAATATACAATATTATACTCACAGCCAAATCGGCTTCAAGGTCTCTGACATTGTACTCTGTTGCTTCCAACTCTTTCTCTAGGGTTTGACACAGTGCGTTCAAACGTTTGTTTTCCACATCAATTTTTGTTAGTTCTTGTTTGGCCCTCTTTAGCTCTATCTGACACGTGTCTCCTTGACCCATCGATGAAAATCTGTTTTAAATAAAATTTTTCAAAACTATCTAAGTATAGTATCAACCCGAGTGGATACACAACGGATTTGGCCTTCATAAATCGGTTTTAGCCTTACTTACACACAGGTGTTCCGAAATGTCCAATGTCACACTTTATAGCCCATAAGAGGCTCTATAAGCATAAGGGGGTGTTAATAATAGTTTTTTTTTGAGTCATTTTTATTTATTACCAATTGAGAACCTTAAGGAGAATGTTGGTTTTTTTCAAACATTTTTTTTTAAATCAAAAAGTAATTGTATAGAGCACATAAACAAATTGTCAGTTATTGTTTTTTTTTTCTTTCAATAAATATAAAACAAAATAATTTGTAATTTTTGGGTAGCCCCGAAATTTTGTAGAAAATTACAAATTTAATTTAGAAAAACAACAATTTTGAGCGACATCAAATTGTAAGGGAATCGTGTGAATTAAAATTTGGATAAACCTAAATTTTTGAGATAGGAAAACAAATTAAAAAAAAAAACTATTTTAAAATCCTATTTTATGTAAGTTGGGTGGTATTTAATTGTTTAACGCCTTGTATAAAAACAAATTCATTTTAAACAACGATAGTCGATTAACCGACAACTTTGTTGGCGGCTCTTGTTTTCAGTTGTAATTGTAAAATCTACAAACGACGGCTTTGGTTTTTAGTAAACCGTTTTGAATTTGAACTCACAGTCCTTCTTCTTCGATTTGCTTGGTCTTCGCGTCCAGTTCGTTTTTCAAGGTCTTCACTTGAGCCAAAAGGTTATCGTTGGATTCTTGAACGATTTGTTCGCGAAGGTTCAACGAATCCAACATGCGGTGTGCGGATTGCAGCTCCTGCAAATCGAATGGCCGTTTTCAAAATCGAGTATGTTATTGTTAAATAAAACGCATCGTTTAATATAGAATTTTTTTTGATAGCGGTTAGCCTAACCTTTTCGAGTCGTCCCACCGATTGATGTTCCAACAGTATAGACTGTTTTATGTCCGTCATTAGCTTGCGGTAATTATTCAAAACGACCGCGGAAGGGTTTTTTTCGTCGCCGGCGTTTTTTATGGACGCTTCCACAAGCGTTCGGATGGCAGCCCACAGACAAGACAACGTGTCTGTGAGCTGCACATCCGAAGCAAACTCGACGGTCTGAAAACAACAACAAGCCGTCGTGTAGTGATTTTGATTTTCACACGGTGCGCACATCACACTTACTTGCGTGTAGTCGATTTCGGCCTCTTTCGCACGGTTTTCCATTGCAACACCGAACACGAATGAAGCCAAACAATCGTTGGACACAGCCCGTAGAGGCCTATGCAAGTAGTCAAGGTTACGCGATTGATCGAAGCCAAAGTGAGTCTAAAGACACACGACTTACTTGTCGAGGCACCTTTACGCTAGCAATTATTAGGGCGCTTTGTGTAGGACATATTTTTCAATCGAATAATACACACATAAAAAACAAGCATTGTTGTTTTAAATGTACAATAGTGAAAGATAAATTAAAAAATTTACGATCAGAGATTTCTAATCGATGGAAATTAACAATTTGTCTCTGTTAAATCAGGCACCCATGTAATTGTGTACAACGTTTTGGTATAGAAAAATGAGTTATGGATATTTCGGTGTATTTAATTATGATAAATGTACAAAGAGGTTCATTTGATAAAAACAAAAAGATAAAAAAAATAATCTATGACGTGTAGGTTAAATTTACCGGAGAGAACTGTCCAAATGAGAAACGGCGTGCAGTTAAATGGTCGTATATTAACGTAAGGTGATGTTTTTTTACTGAAATATTATTTTATAAACGGGAATAGCCACAACTGTACATGTACAGGTGCAAATTAAATTGTCTGTTACTGTTGTTGCATTATATGGCCAGTAAAAATTATTCAGAAAATTAAATTTGTATTTAATTTATACGCTGAACGAATATTAATTATTATTGTCGTCTAAAATAGTAATAACAGAAACCCACATTGGAATAATATATTTTTTATGTTTTACAATGTATATTTATATATTATTAATATACATGACTTATTTAACTTACAACATGTGTATTGTGTTGCTAATAAGTAGAACCCAAAAGTTTATGCAATTGCCTGTTTTTCCTAAATTATCTATAAAATAGCTAGGTAAGAATTTAAACTATACTCTAAAGCGTCCCAATTCAAATTTTTATTTTGTAGCTAATTTCCTTACATTTGTGGATTTTATTCATTTTTTTTTTAATTTCATGTAAATAAAGTTAAAACCAATTAACGAAATAAGGTGAAACTTTTTTTGGAAAATTGTTAAGTTGTTTATAAATAATTTGAAAAGAGCAAAGTATACTGTAATTTATATTGTATAATTAGATATTTCCGTACTTAAAATAAAACCATTTTCTCAGAGAAACTTTTTAAAACTGTGATAAACCAATTTTTAAACGCGTATTTAAATATTATTTTCAACAGGGCTTTTATTTTATAAACATTCAATTCTTTAGAAACACTCGGTCGTGTTAATTCTATTTGGAATGTCCAATTTCTTAATAATATAAGATAATATAATAATGTTATAAATGATATATTTTATAGCTTTTTATAAACAAAATTAAACCGGATTGTTCGTTGAAAATAATATTTTAAATCAAAACATTTTCGATTAAAATGTATTTAGGTCGTTATAACACTGGTGTTAACGTGTGGTGGGCTTATAATAATCCAGTAACACTTATTCGCCATGTTTGTGTTTATAATCACATAGTGTGTACACTGTATAGTGTGTTATAATATCGCATCGCTGTGTTGGCATTTTCAGAGAGCTTATAATCAATGCTAAACCATCCATATTTTCTCTCCTTTGATGGCTTCCGGTATGCTGCCATTAGACACTTGTAGATTAATAGCGCGATTAAGTGTTGTGATATAAATGACGACAAACATAATTTATGTCGATAGTGGCTTCAATGTTGGCTTCAATGCGGATTTTGCTGGAATCTAAATCATAATAACACAACAATATAATAATTTACCGAATACTGTGACTGTGCTGAGTGTACACTATGTAAACCAAACGAATATACTATATTGTTACTTATACTATTTGAATATGAAACACTCTTGCACACTACAAATGACAAGTATTTACGCATAGCCCTCTCATGTGTTGCCCATTCGGTAATTTGAAGCTTTCTAAAAATCAACCGGTAAATTAATTGCAATGGTCTAAATTTATTAAAACCTCTTTTTTCTTAAAATATATTGCCTATACAAAACTCCTTAAAAACAGATATGGATTGCAATGTTTGTGTTGCACGCTTTGTTTGAAAACTTATTAGTATTACAACAGTATACAATATATTTAACCAAAGGTAAAGTCCAATATGATTTTTTAACCTTTATCGGTCATAACAGTACTTCAGGAATCGTGCTTAATTTGGTTTTGTTGTACAAAAAGAACTTTTAGATTGTGTTTAATATTATAACATTTTTTTTTTTACAAAGCACAAAGGCAAAAGTGAAAACAACTAATAATACAAATATAATATATTTGAACATTTATCTTACTGTTTATAATTTACAAATGCGGGCAATGATGGAAAATACAAAAGTGCATTAATTTGATAAAAAAAACATAAAACATCCGGTAATTAGGTCAACTATTGAACACGGTCGAGCCCCTATTCGACCAAGTACGTTTTGGAGTATTAATGCATTTCGATTCATAGTACTGTGAAGTAAAACCACTACAATATAGAACAGAAGAATAGTTTACAACAGTTGTACACCACTTGATCATTTCATTGAGTCCTATAAAGTATGAACAGTATCAAAACGATGCCGATTTTCAATTCAATGTAGTACTTATGTTACAGTAGACTTCTTTGTCGACTAGTGAATCGTTTGAGGAATTATAATACAAAAAATATCCTCAAAGGAAAAGTAATAAGCATATAAAAAGTGTAGTATTAACAATAACTATATGTACTATATTTTTTGTCAGCTAAATCTAATTATTAAAATACTAATTTCGAATAAGAAATTATTTTCTAAAGGTTTATTTTTAACGTGAAAACAGACATTTTCATTTGACTCGGGGATTGCACAATTTAGGTGCTTATTCGTTTCTAGCTCTTATTTCTGGTTTTATAATTAAAAATTATACTCAAATGTAGTGCTTGCTGTTATAAAACAAAAAGTTTTTGTTTTAACTGTTTGAAGGGTTACTTAAAATTTGTATTATTTTTCTTTTGAATGTCATGCATAATTATTTCATAAAACGAGAACTTTTGACCATAAGAAATGATGAATATTCAACAATCAAATAATATCCATCTTGGTTAATAATTGTTTCTTATATTTTATTCATCGTGGACTGGAATATCGTTACGGATACACAAAAAGAATGTTTGCGTTTTGAAAATTCACATTTCATATTATATTTTCTTTTAAATTCATACCAGATATAAGCTTTTAGCATTATGAAATGGAACGATAATGATTCGGAATTTGTTACACAAACTTGAGATTGGTCGTTGGAGAGATTTTTTTCGTTCATGTATACCGTGAAAAGCATAAACGATTTATCAGAAATCCTCCCCTCTACTTTCAGAGTGCTGAAGAAAAGAAGATGAACAACCATCGCTTTATGCGGTAAGACCGTAAAAAAAAAGAATCCAACTAAATAAAAAATACAAATTTACAAATAATAATCAAGCGTTCACAAGAACAAACACAATACCTATTCAAACCCAATACCGCAAGAAAAAGTGTAGATTTTTTTTCATAATATTAAGATGGAAAATTACGTACAAACCTGGAATTAGATCAACTCGAAAAATAAAACACAGTAGCCCAATAATTTATGAACGTTAAAAAATACCAATGTCTGTCAAGCCAGCTCGGTAAGTTGTTCCGTATAGAAGAAATTATACCAAATTCAAGTATAGATGTCTAAAAGGAAACACAAAATAATATACAGCAGTATTTAATGGAATAGTCGGTATAGAACATAATATTAAAGAAATCTAAAAAAAAAAAAACACCACAAACATAGTATGCAAAATATGGAATGCTACATGTTTTTACCTTATACCACAAAAGAAACTCGAATATTTATCAGCTGATTCTCTTATCAATAATCTGTTATCAGTGATTTTTACTGTTAAACAGTTTCCTCTTATCACTATCGCTACTCTTATCACTATTATCTAAACTAACACTAAGGTGTACACTTATTAGTATCTACAGCAACTTTCGAAATTTCTAGGGTTATTTAAGGTATATCAAAGGAAATTGAGGTACGGTTTTTTAACACAAAACTTCCAAATTCACTCAAGTACAACAATCCGTTTTCGGATGTTCCGCGACGGTTGGCCGTGGCTCGCTATTTACTTTCAAAAGGAAATTAGGAAAATTATTTTCCATCATTCGCTCCGGGTCGAGCAGTAAGTTTATAATAATATGTATACTCTTGACACTGCACAATGCGGTACGTCGCACGCAAAACAATACCATAAATTTAACATATTATTATTAAGGAAGTCCGCAAGTTTATTTCTTTACCAAAGCCGAACGTATGCGGGAAACAAGCTAGCGCGTGTTGCGTTTATCTCCACTGTTTAATAATATTATCACTACACTCTTGTCTACCCTTTTGCCCAACTTTAATTTCTGTACCAATCTATACAGGGTGATCATTTTATCGCGAACCACTCAACATGTCATAGGAAATTTAATATTTATTTTTCATAATTACATTGTGATCTAAAAAAAAAATCGAATTATCAATAAATCCAATGAAATATTGAGTGGTTCGCGATAAAAATATGATCACCTTGTATATTGCTATCAATTTATCAACGGTTTTACTTTAAACTTTTCCTATATATATATACATATAGAAAATATATGTATAGCACGTTTGAAATGTAAATGATTAATATGTTACCCGCTTAACAATATTATACACCGAAGGCGACTTAACGACGGAGGGATGGTTTTTTTTGTTGTTATCGTTTGCAACCCTCGAGCATTCATTACACCGTTTTTATTTCAACCCTTTTGGCCTGAAACATTACTACTTATACGCATTGCCGAAAATTATTGTAGTTGTGTACAATATATAGAAAACGATAAATATTCTATAAGAGAAGTTATCAACTTTTTTTTTTTCACGAATTTTGTTTTGTTTTTACGTTTTAATTAAACGACGCTGTTAGAAGAAACTTTATGAAATTCATCTATCAGTTTTACACCAAAGCTATAATAATCGTTTTGATCTATTTTATTCAGTGTTTTAAAAGCAGTACATAACCATGCACATGCCTTGAGAGGACGTCACGCCACTTATTTATTGAGGGATTCGGTATTGGACATTTTTGAGTTAAAATAAACAGTTAAAAAAAATGACAGACAAATGTCAAATACAAGAAAAAAATTGTTTGAATAATTTCAGTAAAGTGCTTTGAGCTAGTTAAGAACTAAAAGTCGGAATTACCTAATTTTTATTCTTAATTAAAAAAAATAGAAATTATTATAAAAATTAATGTTTTCAAAAATAGAAACTACAATATTGCAATTGTTTTAAGAAAAAACTGTCGTCTTAACCTTGATGAATATTTGAAACGTTTTTTTTAGCTAAACAAATGAAACGCTTAAATAAGGACAACGGGCCAATTTGTCTACACATTTACAGAATTAAAAATGTACGTTCCTATTTGAAAAAACCAAGTCTATAATTATTTTACAAGCAGGGGCGAATTTATTTCAACCCTTAGGGGGGAGGAATAGAAAAAAAATTGTACAATACTACACACATGTCACATAAACTACATGTCGTCAAAAATTATTGATCACTGCATTTCTATCTTCATGTAAACAAAAACGTGGCGGCCGTGTTCTAAACTTGCTATTATCATTATAAATTACATCTGTACACCAATAATAATAGATAATGTATACAGATATTATACTCTATTGATAAACATATTTTGAGAAGACGGCCGCTTCGTGTTAGTGCGGTAAGTGTCTTCCCAGTTGTATTCACAAATTTTCCTGTAAATTTATTTGTATTTACAGGAAAAATTGTAAATATTCACAAAAAATGTGAATATTCACACAGAAACCTGTAAATAAAAAACAATTTACATTAAAATCTTTGAATACAAAAAAATTCACAAAATAAGAAGTTGTGAATTTGTGCGTATTTATGACAATAACAGAGAACTCAGTCTGAACTGATATTTGATTAAAATCCAAATAAAAGACAATTTTACTAGAATTTACACCAAAATTGAGTTCTTACGTATTTTGAGAGAAAAAAATTGCGTCAAGAAAAGAAATTTTTGCACGAAAAATTGTGTTTCACATATTATATTTAAAGAAAACAAAATCCTGCGTTATTTTCCGGACATCTCGATAAATCAACTTACCCCCCCCCCCCCCGGTAAGTACTCACTTTTGGTGTAAATTGTAATATAATTATCTTGAATTTCATGCAAATACGGAAAAATTCACAACTTGTCTTGTACATTTTTTTTTATTTACAATTTCTTTGTAAATACATTTGTTTAATGTGAATTTCATTTTTATTCACAGGTTTTTGTGTGAATATTTACAATTCTTCCGGTGAATTTATTTGTACTTACAGAAAAAAATGTCGAGTACAATAATTGTATTAGTATTCAAGCATGTCACACAATACGAATGAGTAAAGTATGATTGAAATTCGTATTAGCATTTGGACATAATAGAATAATTATGCCTAATCAACTCTATGCCTCGACTCTGCCCAACAAGTATTGGGAACAAATCATTTAGAAGATATTCGTAGGATAATTTTTTGATAATTAACGGCCACCCCCCCCCCCCCCCCCGGCTGGCAGTAGTCAGATCGCTAAGAATATTGTATCAATGTTTTATCCGCGTGTAAATCTTATCGGTCGGCCAAGGGTTTTCGAGTCCCCGGGCCCAGAGGGGAGGTGATAATAATTTTTGTTGGTTTTATTTTTATTTTTCTGTGCCTTAGGTCCGGGAGTCTGCACGACCACGAGAGCGGCCCGTGTGCATCGGCCACACGGTTTTGTCCGGAGGCGCGTCACGCCGCGTACCGGATCCCGGCAGTCAGTGTGTAGTGTAGCGCGCTCGTGACAGTACCCAACCACCGCGACCGGTCGGCGACTACAATTTCCACTCGATGACTTGATCTCCCCCGCGTGTCGTCAATTTGTATTTTTCAAAAACCGCCCGTCGCGTTGTTTGTGATATTTTTTTTCTAATATTTCGCCGTTGGTTTTTTTTTTTTTTTTTTATAATTTTCGGCGCTAAAAAGTTAATATATTCGTCCGACAGCCGTCGTCGAACCGGACACACGCGATACGGTCGTTCTTGGAATCTCAACCCGATCTGCTAAATGTAAGTACCCAGTCCTATCTTTTGTTGTTCGCTTCGATGTTGATGTGTTCGTCGCGCTTTAATTGGACCGTTATTGCTTGCGCAATAATATGCTAACAACTGACGAACAACAAGGATTTCAGCCATTAGAAAATTGGTGTAGTAATCTAAAAAAAATACGTTTTTTTTTTTGAGATTATAAAGATTCCTTGTAATTGGTTTTACGTTAAAAAGAATATTTTCACTATACGGTTTTATTTGTAATGCTTACTGTGCAAGTTCACCGAAAGAGTTCATATGTAAGACAAACTCGAAAATTCCAGAATTACTACACTAAAAAAAAAAAACGATAGGTACCATCACGACGATCTTCTTGTCTCATGTTTCCATAACATTTTTACGGTATGGTAAAAATGTTTTCAAATGTATCTTTTGAAATTTGTTGACAATACTTTATTGGCAAATACCTACCGTGCAGTTTAGACAACGTTGCAAGGTGATGCTTATAACTTGAACTTACACAAGACAAATCCCGACCGTCATTATAAGTGTTTAATGTCGAATATTATATTTCTTCGGCGAGGAGGAAAACAAAAGAGTATTTTGATCAGTTTACTATTTGAAAAAAAATGTATTGGCTAATATATATTTTTATGATAGTCGTCTACCTCATGTGCATGTTGATTGTATCCATAAGTTAATGTTTCATACGGATTATTGTTAATGCTGCGCTGTTGCTGTGTATTTATTAGCAACCCAAGTATTATGTTCTTCTTATCTGTTAGTAGAGTAACAATGGAAAAAGTATTTGTAATTTTCATGAGTGCAAAACAAAGCCTCAAAGTTAAATACGATGATGTACAATAGTTACATAATCAATATGTGCACATCGTAAAGTATAAAAAGCGGAAGAAACAAATGATGTACATATTACATAAACTGGTGTAATATTAGAAGATACCAGGACAGTTGAAGAGTATACTTTAAATTCTTAAACTTATATTCGCGCAAGTAAAATCTTGGATTCCATTACATTCGTGGAGCTTAAGTTAGGGACCGAGTATTAATAAGGCATTGCTCGCTAGGGTAGTTTTTGAAATTCATTGGTGTATACCTTTGCGCCCGAATTGGAAAACATTTAATTAAATAACGAAAAACACAACCGTAACAAATCAAAATGACAAATTAATCGAAACGGAAAAGACAATAATTTTCGATAATCGAACAATACTCTTTTTATTCGAGTAAATTTGTTATAATTTTTTTTTCTCAATTGTAATATTATTTTATTTTCTAATAACGCCTACAGACATCGACAGTCTCCATCGACGGCTATTAGTATATTTTTTTTGCTGACAAAGCATCGCGTTTTCCAAGGTCATACTTGCACGAATTGCTTTCGAGGGATGATGATTGGGGGGGGGGGGGTGTTTTCCCGCCCCCGCACTGTTGAAAATCGTACACAGCGTGTATTGCCGCGCTAATGAACGGATTTGTCTTGCACTCGTGCCTGATAATACAGGATTTCCTGTAGATTAAGAAAATGTAGGTAGCGACTGATTGAATGATGTAATTATACTATAATTGTGCGCGGGTTGTCCGCAATGCTCATCATGCCGGCATGCGCCTTGGTGCCCTGGCCGTTGTAAATCTTCGGGTTAGACGAATACGTGCAAGTTTTCATCTAGTAGTGTTTAACACTGTTCGGTGGATTAGGTCGAGTACAGCCCAATCTTAGTTCATTGTGCGCACCCGGGCTAAATAATATTACATTGTAAACGCAAAACGGTTTCCACGGTTTGGTGCCATTTTTTCAATTCGAACCGCTACAATATTATCGAATACTGACATACCGTACTAGTTTATGGTTTACGATTTTGATTCTAAACCAAAATACAATACACACGTGTAACTTACCCAATCGGCGTGAAAAGCTTTTCGCAGTGTAAACGGTATATTGCGAAACATAAATATTTAAAACAAAAGATAATACACCTTTATGTCAAAACCGTTTTGAACGTTTAACAAAAGACCATTTTGACCAGATCTTGCACAGCGGTATTATATTAATACGGTTTCAATATTTTGGCGGGAAACGAAATTATATCGACTTATAAACATAATATGTTAACAGTAATGTTATGTTGATATAATGGTATATTGACAATATTGCCTAAATCTGAAATCTTAAAAATATATAAAGGTAAATTTTAAAACGAAAACAAAAGTTATTAAATAAATTTAAAAGTGTTGTAATACTCTCAAAGTTAATATTGTTGTGTCACTTTTGATTTTTTTAATTTTAGAGCAAGTTAATATAATATTGTGCGTGATATTGCAAAAAAAAATGTTACATTTCAAACACAGAACAAGTGTTTTTTTTTTTTGTTAAATAAATATAAACATTCAGTTTTGATTTGAACAAAGACCCAATTTTAAAACATTCCTTAGGCTAAATTAAAATAAAAAAATTAATATTTTTTAAACTAAATCAACCCATTAAATGTTAATAAATTAGGCAAAGTTATAAAGTGTATCTAGAAAAGTACATTTCTTGTGTCTCCTGGAAAAAACCATAATTTTAAATTTCGCCCTTTTTTCTAATAAGCGTCTCAATTGTAAACATTAAAATAATTTCATGTTATTCACAAAACGGCACATGCCATTATTGCACATTGTAACATAATTTCGACCACAGTTTAATAAATAAATATCCAATCGGTCTTAAGTAAATTAACTCTGAAGTTATTTTTTAATAAGCGACCCTATTACAATTTCATCACGAAATATATTGAAAATATATATTACTAAAAAAAAAAAAAACATTGTAATTATGTTTTGAACCTTGAATAATTACAATTCGCAATTAATCATACTGTCATGAACCGTTTGTGAAAATTAAATTGAATTTCCAAAAATCGATATTCGACTTACCCGCATAACACATTTTTTTTATGTATAAAACTGTTGTAACAGTATCTTTATAGATTTTCTCCAAATCGCGTACGTTATTGTAATTTTTTTTTCCAAATTCAATTGTAATTCTTTGAGGAAAAAAATTGTACAGATTCAATTCTCCTTTAAATTGGCGAGTATGTAAATCACTTAATCACACGCATGCTTACCTTTAGTTAAAAATGTAATTTTTTCTTCGGAGCATACGTTTCCTTTTCTTTTTTTTTTGTGAAAATAATTTCCTGTATTTCAGTGGTTTTCAAATTAAACTAAAAATAAGAGCAAAAATATAGCATGGCTATCAACGGAGCCAGTTTAATACATTTTAGTATTCTCGTTTCCCCTCCAAAAAGCAAGAAAAACCGAATTTGCGTGTGTCGAAAAGGAAAACCCATAAGAAGATAACGAAATCTTTTTTAAAACCGTTTAAATCAGGAATTTAATCAGAACTTTGTGTCTAGCTAATAGTAGTCAAAGCACTTTTACTACACTATTTGATTCCGACTTTTCTAAATTAAAAAAAAAAAAAACGTCAGAGCTGTTATTATTACGTTGGAAACATGTTTTGGAGTCATGATGTGTTAAACGAGTCGCCCTTGATAATTGCACACAGGGTTGACCAACGCAGTTTCAATGCAAATAAGAAGCCACGCAAATGTATAATATATTATGTCCATTTTGTCGTCTTGTAGCTTGTGCAAACGTTCAGAAGAACTCATTTAATCATGCAAACATGCAATTATACCTGTTTGTGTTTGTTCAAACCAAATTTTGGTGTTCTCCAGAAATAATGTCCATTGTAACGCAGCGCTATTTCAATTTCTAATGTGTGTTGCTTAAAAATTGCAATGATTATTATATCTGTATTCGGATCATTGAAAACAAAAACCTCGACGTAATCAAAATATGGAAAGGGATCTTGATTAAGTATTCAGTTTGTGATATTAAGCTTTCTATAAATGACAACCTAACTTACATTTAGATTGGAGGATTATTAGGGTTGATGTCATTGTAGGTTGTGAGTAGTTATGTGCTCAAAATTTAAGCCCAAATCCTTTCAATCGGATTATTATTATGTCCATATTCAGGTACGACTATTGAAAAAATATATATTTATCACAAAACTTAACAACAACAATATTTTTGTGAACTATGTTTCACTTTGGTTTTCAGTTGTTGGATATTTGTATTACTCCGAGATGAAACTACCCCATTTGACTCAATTGGCTTATACTTTTTTTTAAGTATAAAAAGCATTGAAATCGTCACATTGAAATTATTGAAAACGGATTATTAGTAAATTATTACCGCCAACCGGACGTAACAACGTTATATAAACACAATACATTCTGATCAGTCGAAAACAATATAAATGTGTACGAGCATGCGTTTGAATTGCAAAACACTATACACTATTCTATTTAAAAAAAAACCAAATCTCTCTCTCTCACTGTTTATTTTGTTTTTATCAGTGCCGAGATCTCGGGGACGGTCCGGTAGACAATAAGTAAGCAAACGTGACTTGAAGCGTAAATAAGATAAATAAGTATAATATTAAATGCGATTATCGTACATTTTTGTTTGTTTTACAATTATTATTATTAAAACGATTAATTTTACAACAAGGGGCGAAACGGGAAACGGGTGTGCTGTTTATATTTTAACGGTCGCCAAAACTGTTAATTTGAAACAATTTACATTCCACTATTTTTTTTTTTTTTTTTGGTTTGGTTACAAGAGTCCATTCGTTGGTTGTTGCGGGAAAATAGTTTTTTAACATTAAAAAAATGTTAAATAAATTTAACATTTATAGCGATAATATACGAATAACCCGATGACAAAGAAATATTTTTGACTGAATAGTTTTACAATTAGTGCACATAAAACATATGAAATATAATAAACATTGGCCACTGTCCCTCGATAACACATTTAGAGGATATTTTCGTGTTGTTGCAAACTTATTCGAGCGTAAGCGCTATTATGCATTAAGATTACAAAACAGCTCGTTTGTGGGTCACAACAGTATCCGACAGATTTACACTTAAAATGTGTATGTAAATCCG